CCCGGAACCACCCAATTTCACCTTTACCGTTTGATTAGTTCAAAAACGGTGGATCGAGCCCGCCTGGGGACGCGCAAGCACCTGTGGCCCCCCGCGGTAAGCCAAATGGGTAGTGCTATTCGGCGGAGATTGTGCCGAGTCGGGACCGGGACATTGTTTACGTTGCAAGCATACCTTCCAGTTTTACGGATAGTGTAAGGTCCAAGATGTGAGGCTCAAGTTCAGTGAATTTGGATATCCGCAAGGGTCTCGGATATTGTTGGTAGCCATGTCACATATCATCGCAGAATTGTCGTTTTGTGAATTGTGTAACTCATGGGTATATTTGATCCCATTATCAGCGATAGCTTCCCACCTCTGCCTCTAGGGCAGTCAAAAGGTCAGAATTACAAAGTTGGCTAGACCCAAAGCTGTCCTCCAACAATGTGGAAGTGAAAGCGAAAGAAACCCAGAGGTTCAAAAAATCATGATCCTCGGGCATAAAAAACGATACGCCGCTCATTGCCTTTGCCCACCGGAACGCCTTACTGTGCAGTTTTGAGGGTTTCTCGTCCAATGGACCTTTTCGTCGTTGTATGTCCGAACGAAATGCAAAGCCTCATGTAGTCTTGCTCATCTACCACTTTCTTTGACTCGTCATTATGATTCTGGCCACGGCACCTTAGATGACTAGTCCCTTGCCGATGCCCTGGACCTGGAACCCAAGCTTCTCAAGGTCGGGAACGGAGACGACGTTACGCCCATCGAGCACAAGACGAGGGCGCTTCATGACCGACGCTGCCCACTCCCAGTCCACCGGGTCGCCCAAGTCTTCGTTGGCGGCATCGAAGTTGCAACCCTTGCAGCCTTCCTGACACTCAGCCTCGGCCTTCATGCGCTTCAATGGATCCGTCGGCGTGTTGGTGCTGGTGCGAGAAACAAATTTCTCAAGTTCGACAATGTCCATCTCGGACAGAGTATCCTTGATGAAAGCTTTGGCCTCTTCGCGGGACGCCTCGGGGCTACTCCAGACAGACGAGCGACGAGCAGTGGTCTGGGCCTGCTTCGGGTATCGGAAATGGTACCAGGGGGTAAGAATACAGATCGCACTCGAGCCGTGGACGGTGTCCCTCCAGTTGGTGTGGACCTTGACACGCTCGACGACACGCTCGTCTGGAATAGACTGACGAACCTCCTCCATCACCTCGACAGGGTCACAGCCAGGGTCGAAGATGGCGATTTCGTTGGGCATCTCGTGAGCCAGCTCAGTGATGATGTGCACAGCAATACTGTTGCGGGTATCGTTGGTGTTCTCTTTAAAGGCAAATCCGAGGATGGCCACCTTCTTGCGGCGCAGGTTGCCGTTGAGAGCGCGGTGAACCTTCTGGGCAAAGCGCTCACGCTGGTACTTGTTGATATCAAGGACACCCATCCAGTAGTCGGCGACAGTGTCCAAGTGGAGAGTACGGGCCATGTAGGCCAGGTTGAGGATATCCTTCTCGAAGCAAGAACCACCGAATCCAACACCTGCGTGGAGGAACTTCTTGCCCAAGCGAGTGTCCGCGCCGATACCCTGGCTAATCTCCTGCACGTCGGCACCGAGCTCCTCGCAGAGAGCACTGATGCTGTTGATGCTGCTAATACGCTGAGCAAGCATTGCGTTGGCTACCAGCTTGGTCAACTCGCTGGACCAAGTGTTGACGGTCAAAATTTTCTGCTCGGGAACCCAGGCGGCGTAAACGCTCTTGAGGGCGTTGGCGGCCCGAATACCAGCAGGAGTGGTAGAGCTGCCGATCAGAATGCGGTCGGGGTGCATGAGGTCGCGCACTGCGGTTCCCTCGGCAAGGAACTCAGGGTTCGAGACAATCTCGAATTCGGCGTCGGGCTGATACTGGGCCATCTGTTCGGGTATTAGTTTCGATTTGTTTCTGCTATGAAGACGGACTATGTTGTGGTTGATGTATTCTTGGGTTTAAGAACTTACAATTTCGCGAATCATGCGAGCAGTACCTGTAGGTACTGTGCTCTTCTCAACAATGACAGCACCATTCTTTGCATACTTGGCGACAGTCTCAGACGCTCCTTCCAGAGCGCTCAGGTCGGCAGTGTAGCCGGCACCGAGTCCGTAGGTCTTAGTAGGCGTGTTGACGCAAATGAGAACAATGTCTGCTTCGCCGATGCATCGCTGGACGTCGGTTGTGAAGGTGAGGTTGGGCTTGCGAGGAGCAATCTTCACGGAGTTGCTGACTGAGGGGAGGAAGGCTGTCGCCTCATTGGTACCATCACGAGAGATGCGGACGATCTTGGGAAGTCCAGCCTCGTGGATAGGGAGATGTGGAGAGTTCCATGCGGCGATACGGTCGGCATTGAGGTCCACGACGTTCACGGTGAGGTCGGGGTTGTGAAGTGCGATCAAAGCCGCCGTAGGGCCACCTGCAATGATTTGTTAGCTCCATCTTGGATCCTATCGAATACGAGGTCTGTATGAGTCCAATTTTGACGACAGTGCTTGCGTCAGATTTAATCAGTGACATTTACAGCATCCACCAATATTAAGTTCGTGACGCCTGCCAGCTAATTCGAATCTGGAGCTAATCAAGCAGTTCAAGCCTTGTAAAACATGGGCTGAACAAGGATGTAGGATGGACAAGAGTCATGGCCACGGCCACGGGGGAGAATTCGATGCCGATAGCCATCGCGACAGTTTCACTTACCAACAAAACCAGCGCCAACGAAGCAAACGTTCTTGACGTTCAATGGCTCAAGGGGCTCCAGATCTGAGGCATCCAGCGATTCGTGATGCTTCAGCTCGGGGCTGCGAGGCCTAGAAGCGGGAGGGGAGGAGTTCGGCGTTCCGGTGCCAGAAGCAGCATCTGAGTGGCCTGCGCTGAGGGCCGGTGATTCGGAAACCATACTGCCGACGGTTGAGGATGAGTCTGTGGTGATGAGGCTTGTACGAACGAAGCTTGCAGCCATCGATCAAATGCTCTGTTGACGAACAGAGCTAACGATAATGGACGAATGATAGAAGGGTTGACGTCCCTTTTTGTTCACTGTGATGAAGGCCTGGGGTATTTGCAGGGTACGCAAGGCCGGTGGGATGTCGACGGGTTCCGAAGAGAGAAATCAAAAAGTGATCCAGTCGATACTCTTGATCAGAGAAACGTGGCTTGAGTTTGCGGAAAGCGAGCGAAAAACAAGTTGTTGTGGTAGTTGTTGATCTTGCTGGCAAGTCGGAGTGACGAGTGTGGCCCTTTTGAAGGCACACGGGTTGGGAGTTTGGGGTGGTGAATGGTGGACACTCTTAGGATCGGACGACGGCCGCGAGTTGTGTAAATTGATGGGTCTGAGAAGTGACTGATAATCGAAAATGGGGTTCTCAAAAGCCCAGAGCTGAATTCCCTTGCGTTGCTTGGCAAGTCGGTTTCTGCTTCCTTTTTCTGCGGTTTGTCTGGTGAATGAACAGCGAGACAAATCGAATCGAGTCGTACTTTTGGAGCGCAGAAGTACAAATTGGCGGGATCGGAAAGGTGGGTGCGGGTGACGGCGTAGACGTAGGACGAACGGCGTACGTGGGAGCGGAAGTGGGATTGGATAGGTGCACTAACGCTCAAACCGGCTTCACATGGGATTGGCGCCCGTTGTAAGAAGTGGCCGATGAAGTTCGGTGATGTGTCCCAGACAGGTGAATCGGGAAGAGAGGTAAGGGAGGTGAGGTGAAGTGAGGTGGGAAGAGCTCTTGGAGGAGGGGTGATCTGGTGTAGTTTAATGTGAAAGAAGCTGGGCAGACGTGGAGCGAGCGGCAGGTTTATTCAAACCCGGAATTTCATCAATCTCCAACGAAAGTGAGGGCAAAGCGCACGAATACAGTAACAGTACCACAGTAATGGCTGAACGGACGATTTCAAGGGAGAAAATGCAACAGGTAGGGCACAGGGGCTCTTTCTTGATATATCCTGCAGGGTCTTGGCTCTTTTTCTTGCTACTCCCCTCCTTCTGTTCCGTCGACGGTGCCGTCCGAGAGTTGTGGACTGTGGACTGTGGACTGTGGACCACGAAGCTGGACAGTCGGGATAGGGGATGGGTGATGGACGATGCGTGATGGGATGGGATGGGACGTGGTGCGTGGATAGGATGGGATGGGATGGGATGGAGTGTTGGAGATGGGCAATGCGGGACCTCAATGTGGATTGGATGGGAGCATGGCATGGAGAGAGAAAAAGATAGGCATGGCATGGGCATCGCATCCTTGTTCGCAGATGGCCAGAGGGAACCAGCGATTTCCCATCCATCCCGGTTGCCGTTGCTGCTCCTTCGTCGTTGCTCCTTTGCTCTGCTTCGCTGCCGCTTTCCTATCCGTACCGGTATTCGTGACAGCAAGCATACTACAAAGTCGGAGCAAGAACAGGGACCAGGAGGTACCAAAGACGAGGACACACCCAGGACTCTTGGAGCAGGAGCACAAAGTAGCGAGACCGGGACCGGGACCAGGTACTTGGCTTTCCTAGAATAGCGTAGTGGACGTGTGTAGGCAAGGCAAGGTACTTGGGTCCGTCTGAGAGGTATTAAACGGTACGCACGGGGTATTGTCACGGAATACTCTTTTCGCCTCTTAGTGAGCCTGACGTGTCCTGACTACCTTCCTTGTGAAGTCAATGTTCGGATAGCCTGTGGGTGAGATATTGGACGATTTTCGGCGGCACTGGGAGCAGAAAAGAAAGCAGAAGCCAGATGCAGCCGGAGGCGCACAAGGGAGTGAGTTAGGCTGTTGTTCGCTGTCGCTGACTCTTCGCCTTGGAGACTTCTTGGCCTTATCGTACGGCAACGTTTCCACCGCTCGAAGCTTGGCATTCGGTACGGCAGCCGTGTCGAATCCCAAGATTCCTTCGTTGTGCAGGTGAAGGTTGCAGTCACGGAGTTTTACTGCAACGTGAGGTACTGTGCATCCGTACGTACGCAATAGACAGCTTCATCGAATAGCGGCTCAGGCCTGGCCAGGGAGGAGAGGGAGCCAGCCGCGCATGGAAAGGTACGTCGTCCGTCACGGAGTGCTCCTATTGCCATGTTTGCTTTTCTGCAAGAAGGCGTCGTACCCACGCTGTACCATTCTCTGTACTCAGACGCAGACCCCGGATACTTGCGGCTGCTGCAGGCGTGGTGGGATGCCCCGGACAGTTGCAGGCTGGCAGCATCACGGACAATGAGATGGCGTGGAAGGGATGCGTGTCCTCCGTTTTGGAAAGTAGAGGGTGGCCGGCCTAAGTGTAGGACGAGCAACGGGAAGGTCTTGGCCCGGTCCCTGAACTCTCGATCCAGAAGGCTCCCCTGTCTGAGCCGTCTCTGGTTCTTTGGGATTCTGCTTTTGTAGTCTCAAGCCTGGATGGATGAGGCTTATTAATGGGTAGGAAACATTCGCTGATGGACCATTTCCAAGCCTTTGGCGTAGTATCTCTGCAGTGCCGATGTTCTTAAAGCTGCAGGCTTGCTGGCAAAGTGGTTTTGCGATGTCAGCGCAAGTTGCTTTGGCGAGCTGCGATGCTTGATATTGACTAATGACAAGACTTTCATTACGTGGTCCCGGGGGAGGCACCGTACAGATGCTCAGGAAAGCGAACGGGGATGAAGTGAACAGAGGGAATGGGAGCCGAAACGGTTGGCTTCAAAGAGCCGTTTTTTTTTTTTTTTGTCTTTTTTCCATCTTGTGTATCCCTTCAATGTTGCGTGGTACATCGGATCGGTACTAGTTTCTAGTGGTGAGATGAAGTACCTCGGTGGCTGGAATATCGGGGCTAAATGGTGAGCCGAGAGGAGCACTGGGGGCCCTCACAAATCTTAGTGATACTCCAGTACGTACGGATACTTGTAACTTCGAGAACAGTTGGAGATTGGAGAAGCACGGAAAATTGGGTTACAAGTATCTACGCATACCCGTCCCTTAGCAGAGTGACTTAAGGCAAGCCGCAAGCGCAGATAAAAGGTGAAATTGAGTGGCCGTTACGGATACATCAGGAGGGGCCCCCGTAGTTGCTTGGCAGATGAGATACGTAGTGACGTCCTCTCGATGCCTTCCGCTCTTTTGCCTTGGGTTCCGTCTGTTCTTCCCTTCTCTCAACTGAAAGCCTCAAATGACTAGACGTCAAGATAGGTAGCACTTTCCTACCACTCTGTCATTGCCATGTCATTGTCCGCGTGCTGACCGTCCGTTCCTACTATTCCTCTCTGTCCCTTGGGACTGCCGGAAACTCAGGAAGTCACTTCCCTTCCCTCCCAGATTAACCCCTGCCACAAAGAGCACGGAACGACAGGAGGAGAGACTCACTACCGGGTCCCAAGTCCCAACTGCTGCACTAGCACGGCACCGCATGGCAGGCATGGCAAGCGTGGCAGGCATGCCAGCAGGGGACCTGAATTTGTCTTAGCCTCACTTGCCCGCAGGCCTGTCAGCTTTTGATTGAGCCTTGCAGTCTGTGACATCATCTCGAACTGGTACCTCAGCCCGAAGTTTCTGGACTTTGTCGATTATGGAAGCTGCTCTTGCTGGTAATGTCTTTTTGTAGATACTGCGGTGCATTGCTACCCGAGCAGTTTCCACGTCCCATCTTGTTTTCGAGATGCGGGAAAGAAGCAGCAGGGCAGGGAGAGATTAGAGAAGAAAGTGCGGCAAGACAGGCAACGACAGGCAAGACAAGTCTAGAATCTTTGGATCATGTCGGAGGCAACTCCTTCAAGCTTAAAGCGCCTCCAAGACTCCAGCAGGTTCACCCCCACTCTGTCAGGTCAGGTTTTGCCATGTCAATATCTGCTGCTTTCTTCTTCTCATCCTGTCTGCTTCACTTCCCGCCAACCTCCGAGATGGCGTGCGCTCGCATGTACATACATACTGGCGCTGCCGCCGCGGCGCTTCCACTGCCCTTGGTTCGGTTTGGTTAAATGCTTAGCAGCAGGTGGTCACAACGTCCCTCTCAAGACTCCGTCGGGAAGTACCAGCGCTCATCACTCCACTTTGTGCGCCTAAGAGACTTGTTCCTGGAATTTCACCATTCTACGAACCCGCATGGTTAATGAACAGACTCCACCCGCCGATCCAGAGTCAGCGGGGAGCGCTCTGCTACATACGCGATCAGAAGCCCATCCGAGGTGCTTGCTTTCCGCCCAGCCGGCGCGTCGCTTGTCTTTCAGACTATCATGGACGAGGTCTTTCGAAATACATGTATTCGGGAGATTACTGACCAATTCCGACTCAGTACTCCTTGCGCTCGAAAAGAGGGAGAAACCCTCCCATCAGCGATCGTCATCTGCCACAACTCCCCTGGCGCTGGCGGAACGCTCTGAAGAATTGGACTCCAACTGACGGCGGACGCTTGCTGCTCGTCGTTAGATACAGCGCACATCCACTCTACTACGCGACGGGTAAGGAAGACGACAGAGATACCCCCAATGGTGGCCCCATTTCGCAATGAACATGGGAACCTCCATCGCCTCAGAATTAAGGTAGGAGACTAGGATCGGTTTGACATACTCGCTGATCGCCATCGCCCGTTTGCTTTGTCGTTTTACCCATACAACCCTCCGAGGGGTCACCCCGACCCTGTCAATCGGCTTCACAGCTCCAATGGGGGGGAGTGCTGAGCCTCTCTCGCTCAGCCATTCTGCGTCCTCCGCCTGTACTATTTCCACCATCGACTCAGGTCACTCTCTGGTGCAAGCACGTCGGTGCAGCCTTTACGGACGGTATACTGCGTAATGGATGAGCTGCAGGCTTTCGTATCCTGTAGGGGGTGCCCCAGCGCCCGAATGGAATTCAAAGCTGACAGCCGCCCGAGACACCACTTGCGAATCTTCCTCTGCCTTCTTTCTCCTCTCCACCCCTCCTCCTAACTCCCGCTCTCCTCCTTCATCGGAGTGGCGGAATTCAGGAGATGAGGACGGGGTTCATGGAGGGACCTTCATTACGGGAAAATCGCATCGGGTGACTGGCCACACAATACCGCCGAGACTGAGACTTGCTAGATCTTAGCGGTTTCTCAAGGTTGTCGCCTCACCTTCTCAACCGGTCGGTTTCCTTCCAATGACCATCAGTCAAAGACAACTTCAGGCCTGCACATCAACAGGGAGCATATGCAACCATCCAATAATCGCCATGGGACAGACACTTCGAGAGGCAAACCGTGAACAGAGGCTCGTCAAGCTCAAATGTCTCGCACAAATGATTGCGGCGTGACATAAATGCCATACCTCAAAGAGTGCACCAGAAAACTCGGCAATATGCACCATGCAGACCTGGAGCAGAAGGAAGACTAACAGACTTGGAGTCGTGATCTTCAGGCACAACAGGACGGATGAGACACTTGCCCATCAGTGGCCAAGCCACTTCACTCGAGCAATTGCCGCGGGGGGTGCCACCACACCTCAAACGAAGCCTGCCGTTGGCTCGAGACTCTCGCTCTTGTCCCACAACGTGACGACGACAGAGACAATTGAATCCACAAAGAGATTGAGAGTCAGTCAGTCTAGACTCTACACTGAAAAGTCCTGACGCCCATTCGCACGGTAATTGCAAGAAGCTTCATTGTACCTCACAATGTGCTTCTGCCAGCGAATGTGCGGCGGCTGGGTACGCAGGCGCTGACTGCTATTGTTCAAAAGGTTCAGACAGAGGTACCACGATAGCTACCAAGATGAAACCGGTTCCCCAGCTTGACGTGCTTATGTCCGCACCCAATCGGGGGTACAAAGTTCGAACTGTGTGAGTGGGCTTCCCAAATGCAAGGAACACATTGACATGCTATCCGTACTTGCGAGGAGATCCCCGTTAAGTCGATCAGTACTCTGCGGTGCCTGATAAGTGCAGATTTTCTTCATGTCTCTAGTCACGACCCTCGGCGTCGATGCCTGCGAATAGTCATGTGTGTTGGCGATGGCTCGCTAGTACCCGACGAGCTCGCGGGGGACGATTCACGACGAAGCGGTCAGAGGCGCCAAGAAGATGATGAAGAAGCAAATCCACAGAAGTTCGTCTCTTAATGGCGGGCAGGCGAAGCTTACGGTACATCAAACAAGAACGGGTGTGTGAGCTGCAACATGCGGTGGAAGGGAGAGAGACACACCGTTACTAGCATGACAACAGGAGTCAGGACTAGTACTCCGTAGCACTGCTCAATACGCTGGTCTGGGCAGGCAAAAGTCACTTGGCCCCCGGACATTAGTGCAGCGGATTGCCAAGTTGGCACCAAGAGCGGAGAGACGCAGGTTCCACCAGGTCCAGCATCATCCCCTGTCGGTGCTGACGACGACTCGTTGATTACAGGCTCGGCAAGGTGGATCGTGGGACGGCACAGAGGTTCGGATTCAAGAAGGCGAGGGAGAACTTGAGGGCTGATGGAGCCTTGTGTCTCGACTTGGGTCGATTGGGTTATGGCGTGGCATTCCGGAGTCGCACTGGAGAGCCCGGAGAGAAGGCGTTCCTTTCCTTTCGCGGATTTACCCTCAATCAGGCCTGGTATGGCGGCTCGCTGTCGTCGTCGGCTCGTCGAATCTGTGCTCGTTGTCGGTTGATCGGTTCAGTCTCTCACCATTCTGGCCCTGTGCCCCCCAACGACTTTTTTCTGATATTTTCCATCCCGATTCAACTGGAGCGCCAGTCGTCCTCCTGGTCAGGCGCCTTTGCTAATTGAAATACTCAAGCCGTTCCTGCCACATTACCCGCGGGTTGTGAAATCCTTCCCGAGTCTGGACTGCGTCTGCATGCTCCAAGACCGTAATCAAGGCTCTTGGTGTGTCGGCGAACGGATACGGCGGCACTCTGCCCAGAGTATTCCCCTTTCCTGTCGCGGGATCGCCTTTTCGCAGGCGAATTAGAATCGTTGCAGTCTTGAAGAAGCTGCAAGTCGCTGGAGACATTCAGGTCTTGGTGTTCTTGGTGGCCTTGGTGTGATGGTGCGGCCTTTGATCCTTCGGATGAGGCGGAATTCAGGGGCCTTATCCCGCCACCGTTTGTCTGTCTTTCGCTGGGTCGAAGTCCGGGGTTGGAAGGTCATCGATTCGTCGGACTTTTGCATCGACACCAAGGACCTAAGCTATTGGCGTATTTTGTGTCGGTGCCGAGTGGTGCCGCGGTGTTGATAGTGGTGGTGGGCGACGTATTGTGGCATCGTAATCCGACAAAAGGTCACCACCCAAAACATCGGATTTTTATGAGCTTCGACATGGTCATTCAGTCAGATCTCTGCTGTGCGAAGAAGGATGACTGAAGTCAGGAAGCAGACGGGGGGCGACGCAGCGATTATGTACTGGAGAGGTGGGCAAATACGAGATTCTGGAGGATACGATCTATCCCTTTAGTATTCACCCCTGGATGCCCTCGCCCATCATCATGCTGGTTTGGGCATGTTACGGGTTACGAGCCATTGCTGCTCTGAGGCTTAACACGGTGGCCGAGAAGCCCGGTAGGCGTCAGTTGGAGAAGCACTGCAACATGACTCGGGCGAAGCGTTCTCACTACTCGGGCGGCTTACTAACGCACGTTCTAGGCTCTGTAGGGCCTTGCAGGGCGCGCAAGGCGTAGAGTGCGAGTTTGGGGGCTGCTTCGCATTGCGATTTATGGTTAAGTTTAACTCATTGCGGCTCTGGGGAAATTGGGGTGTTGCCTGAAGAAAGTGCGAGTGCGCGCAGGGCATCACATCGAGGTGAAGATTGCCTCATGACAGCTTCGGCTCCGGCTCATGCATGTGAGACTTTGGGAGGAAGGCTGGACGCGACTCCCGCTCAACTCACACTGCACGCGAGGACCTGAGCAGTGGAATGTACGACAGAGCCTGCCTGGTTCAGGTGAGTCTAATCGACCATCCACACGACATTCCCTTTGCGTAGGAGCTCTCTTGTCCTATCTTTGTGTCGACTTGGATAGGTATGGAGCAGCTTCGTAGTATTGATCTCGTATCGCTTACCCGGGCGCTTGACTGAGGTACATAGGAAACTCTCAGAAATAGGGTATATACACCTCACCTCATACTAAACAACGAATCTCATCGAATTGAATATTGGGACGCATTGCAAGTTTGCTTCCACTTGTGGATAGGCAGGCTCGCTACCAGCCAGGTTGATGGCTCAAGGACCGGCTAACATCACGACGACTCTCACGGCGTCGAGTGTCAGTTTCGTCGTCGGCCATGTCACGAGGTGGGGCCATGCCAGCCTGTCGGAGTTTTGCCAGTGCCTCTCTATTGACTATGTATACTCGATCATATGTGAGATGCAAGGAATTGTCAATTGCCAGTGAGTTGCTATATATCTATTTGTTCAGCAACTTCACTTTTTACTGTTCATTTGGGCAAATGATTGCTGGATATTATCTGCTTGTGTGGGGAATACTACGTCTGTTTACTGCCAGTGAGACGAATGCCTACTGGCTCACTCAAACTCGATTATTTACTTACCTAGTACACTCACTCACTCATGCACTTCAAAACTCATACTCGATCAGTAAATTACACTCGTCATTACATGCTTCGAGAAACATCTCCTAGCCCACAGGCACGATCTAAAGCACCACTCATCATCAACTTTGGATCTTATCTCTTCGGCGCAGCCACGGATGCCGTCCCGACCAGGTCGTGGGCGGCCGGCCAACGCCTTTTTCCCAATTTGGAAGAGACGGTGCATATGCTTGTTTTTTAGCTCGCCCGCATGCGCCGGGCCCAGCGGACAGCCCAGCTGAGGCTAGAGCTACCTCTACCTCGAAGCTAACGAGAGGAAAATCAAGGTGAATGAGTGAGCGTGGTGAGGTACTCCATACCTTCAGGTGAGGTGATGTAATGGGGAAGGACACCAGGTAGCTGCCAAATAAAGCTAGCAAATTCGATGCTGCCGCCAATGCTAATGCCAATGCCAATGCGAATTGCCAACATCAAACGGGAGAGCACAACCGAATCATCGACCCCGGACTCACACTCGCCTTCCTGTACCTACCAATGTACTCATTAGGTCCTGCCGCTGTCATTCGACGCGAGATAAGCGGGCAGGGTCAAAGGTATGGTTCCTGTCCTTTTTCAGCCCCTCCTGCCAATATTTTCTCAGCTCTTGGATGGGCAGGCGAGCTGGGCCCAGAACGTGAGGAATGTCACCAAAGACCTGTATCCGTAGACTAGCCTCCTTCTCTCGCAGTATGTCTCTCTTTTTTTCCTCCGTCCTCATCGTCATCTTTTTTTCTCTTCCTTCCATCTGCTCCACCCAAAGACCCCAGCCTGCGCCTGCCTCCCCGGTCCCGTCCATTGAGTGAGTGACACTGTGACAGTGAGGTAGCTCATCCCGTCGGACCCCGTCAGCCATCTTCATCGCCTGCTACAATCGTCCTCCGGTCTGCACTCCGACCCTTTGTTCTCCTTCCGTCATTGCATCTTCCCGTCGAGCTCTCTCGCGATCAAGAAAGTGCTTCTTTTGCTCATCACGGTCTTTAAGCAGCACATTTACGCCCACTAACACAAAGATCTCACATTTTACGTGAAAACCCCCCTTCAAACCTTCCATTCGTCTCCCAAAATCTACGGCGTAAACAAAATGAGAAACGCTGTTCTTCTCGCTGCCGGCCTGACGGCTGTTCGTCACGCGTCTGCCGCGTACGATACGACAATCTGCGGCAAGACAAACAAGTTTACGAGCTCAGATACCCAATTCATCTGTACGTGGATCCCCCATCACACTCCTAGGTCTGACTCCGGGTCATTCGACGACACCTACTTCCATGTAAACGCCGTCAACCTAGATTCAGCACAACATACTCGTTTTGCCTTTTATCGTGGATCAGGCTAATACGAGAATTCTGCAGTCCAGTCAAATGCTTGGAACCCTGTTGGAAATGGCTCCTCGTGCGTATCGGTAAGTAGTGTGACGTGACCAACCGTCGTATCTGGGCTTGAGAGTCTATCTACACCTCGTTGCTCCTATCATGCCCCTCTCCTACCCATATCATACCATCCCGCTCCCGTCAGCCTGCCTCGACCCTGCATATCATCACGAGCTCCGTCGCGCCTTTCTTCCACCTGCCATTCTTATCAGCCTTCTCCTCCCATGCCCGGAAATCCTGTGCCCTCATGGCGTGACCACATCGACTAACACGATGCTCTTCGCGACGCGTAGGTTGACCAATCCATTCCGGCCTTTGATGCCAACTGGAACTGGGAAGATGACAAGAACAACGTCCACTCATTCCCCCATGTCCGCTTCAACTCCACAAGGCTGCCAACCAAGCTGAGCGCCATCAAGACGATGCGCCTGGCGACGCAATGGACCATGCGCAAAGGCAACCCCGAGAACGACCCCCCTCGCGACTTTGCCGCCACCACCTGGGCGGAGAGCAAAGCCGAGCTCAGCGGCGTCGTCGCCAATGCCGCGTGGGATTTCTTTGTCGACAAGAACAAGACCAAGACGTACAACCCCATTGACTCGGAGGCGGAGATTATGATCTGGCTGGGCAAGGTCGGAAACCCGTACCCGCTGATGGGCGATTCCATCCTCACCAACATCACACTCGGCTCGACAGAGTTGTAAGCATTTCTCTCAGATTCCCCCCGCTCGTTATTATTCACGTACTGCGTACCATATTACGGTGATGCTAACACGCTTCCTGTGCAGCTCCCTCTGGTTCGATACCAACCAGCGCAACCAAAAGGTTTTTACCTGGGTCACGCGAGACGGTTCCGACGTCACCCAATTCGACGAGGATATCACGCCGCTACTCAAGTTCGTCCTGGACTCTGGAGAGATTGACAGCGACTCGTGGCTCGGCCTTGTGGAGTTCGGCTCCGAGGCATGGCACTCACCGGAGAACATCACCTTCAGCGCGGCTCACTTTAGCATGGACCTCGACAACGGCGACAGCGGTTCCAGCAGCGGCAGTGGTAGCGACGATAAGAACGCGGCCGGAAGAAGCGCGCTTTCGGTGTTGGGTCTGGCTTCGGCTTTGCTACTGTCGATTTCGGCTTTGGCTATGTAAATCCACATGCTTTTCACTTTTGTTACTACAAACAAGTCCGCGTAAAGGCGGAACGGGATGACGGCTTGGAGTACAGCATTTGATTGGTTTGTTGATGATATCCGGGGTTCAAAATAGCAGTGAATTCGAGGTTGTGTGAACCTCGACAGACATTGTACTTAATCAATACATAATCGCATAGAGAGAGCACGGGAACCTTTTCCACGCCTCGAACAAGCGTGTTTTTGTGACGTTGTCTGCAACCCCGAGCTAATATCATCCAGACTTTGTCTTACTTCTTGAGGATAATTCCTAACTCTACGTAAAATCCACATCAGTTACGTGTGACCAACAGCAAGGCTAGCCTTGAAGCTCTAAAAGATTCCGGAGCTCGCGCCGAAATCTCGATTGGAGGGGTCACCGGAAGGAGCGTACCTTGCCTGGACGGTGTCACATTCTCCTGCGAGATCGCTGGTCACACACACATGCACACACACAGGCACCCTCCCAGTAATCAGGCCATTCAGAGAAGATGGCGGCCTCCCAGGAAGCCAAGCCGGAAAGAGAGCACAGTCTAAACATAGCACTTCCAGTCATCATCCGAATGGCGTTGCCTCCCTCGCCTCCAGTGTCCGTATCCTAAGCCCCAGCCTCTGCTGAACATCCTCTTTCAAGCTGGACAGAGACAGTGTCAGCCACTGACGGTTGTAATACGGTCAAAAGGCTACTTCTTGCCGCTTGGTAGCAAGAGCGTGTGTATGGCGGTCCGATGCGGGCATTAGGCGTGAGCAGTAGGGGCCTTAGCATGCAGTAAGCCAGCGATTGATACTCTGGGCCTCGCGTTGTTTATTGCCAGTCTCCAGCCTGCAGACGGAAGACCGTTTTCGACGAACCATGCTGAGAACGCGTATGGCAATCTCGTTCGTTTTCCATGAGTTGGTGGTGGGCAGCATGCATCTCGGCGCTCGCAAAGGATCAGTTGCCGGGATGTTTTTTTTAATGGAGACATTGTGGCATGGATGAGGGTGGGATGGTGGGATGGTGTGCACGGTCTTGGCGGAGATGGTAGGGAAAGGGGCGGGTTGGGCGGAGCGGGATTGGAGAAGAAGGAGACTGGACTGGTTGGTTTGCGGCTGGCGGCTTGCCTCACAGGCCCAGAGACCAATACCGTACTGGTGACGGGGAATCAGGTTGGCTCTACCTACTCCGTATGCAATCCCACGGGAAGAGTAAAGGAAATTGTACCAAGATGCTGCGTCATCGAGATCCACGCCTCGGAGAGTGGCCTCAATCTGGGACAGCAAGATCCGTAGGACAGTCGCAGAACAATAGTCTGATATCCACACATGGCGAGAAGCGGCGAAAAAATTGGTGTTGTCGTTTCAATGTTGACGGTGTGAGGAAAAACCAAGGAAAAAAGACCAGGAGCTTATCGGGCGCGCCATTCTTTCGTATTGGTGGCTTGGCGCGCGTGCCGCCATGCCGAAGTAGCCAAGACAACGGGCGGCTTAAACGGCGACGACAACGTATGGATATGGGTGGCGGAGAGGAGTTAGGGATCGCGGAATATTCGTTTGACTCCTTTCTTCTTGCCGATGATGTGCTGCAGGATCGCAACCGAGATGAGGATGTCAGTTCAGGTTTTGCGTACTGTTCACCCCTTCATCACGGATATTTAGCCAGCATTTTGAGGGTACTTTGGGAACATGGTAGTTGTCGCTCCCCAATATGTGCCGCTGTGAGCGTGCGATTATTCGCTTCGCCGCAAAAAAGTGCCTTGTACCGTGCTTCAGCGCAGAGTAGGATGCAGCTCAGGACTTCAGATAAACCATCTCGATGAAAGCGAGAAATGACCTATGGATGATGTTGCGATAGTGGAAGCTCCAGCGGGCGACAATAGACACGAGACCGGGGTAAACCAGGTCGCCCCAGCCATTCAGCTGGCTTTGGCTTGCCATGTCTCGGTATTGGAGAACCGGATCGACGTGGCGGGTGTGAATCGTCAACAATATGTTCTGTGACTTTGCTAGGTGAGTTGAGACTTTCATTGCCCGCGTGGCATGGTGGATCCGATGGCATTCGTGGTAGCTGGGGTGCGGAGGAGTCTTGGGGCCCATTGTTCCAATGGAACGGCGGGATGCGAGGGCTCGAGAGCGAGAACGACAGACGAAATTATTGAAGAATGCCCCGGCCAGATCAGGAACCGGAGCGTCGATGTGGGTAGAGAGAGTCCGGTTGGCGCTGGTACATCTTCTATAGAAGGCGCTTGATCATCGCCTCTCTGAGAAGATCCCGATCGCCAGTGTTCGTACGAGCCATTGCCAATAGTCAAAGGCTCTTCTCGAGACTCTGTGACCGCAAAGATACCTGGCAAGCGTCATCGTTGCTCAGGCCAAGCGCGATGTAAGACAAGGATTCGTCAGCGATGCTCTGCAGAGGGGACGGGTGGGCGGCGACCGATATTGCCGCTGCTCATCCAAAAGGAAAACGGCGGCGACGGAGACTGCTGAGCCAAGGAGCAGAAGAAAGAAACACTGCAGAAAGACAACGGTGAGCTATCCGTCGAACACGCGAGAGAGCACGCGCCAGCGAATGAGGATGTCGAAATAGCCTCTGAGGTGGATGCTGTCAAGGTTTACGCTTATTAGCTTATTGGCGTGGGCAACGTATGCGTATGTAGTCAGGTATCAGTGGGCCAGCGAAGGAAGAAATGGTCTCGAACTGGTGGCTCAATTGAGTGGTATTGAGCCTCCAAGGCTTTGGGGCTGGAGAAGGTTTTGGTGGGCCAGTCAGACAGGATGCGCATGATGGGTAGAAGTCGCTGGCGTTGTTTGCATGTGCTGCAGTGACAATACGAGTAGCGTGGTGGTTTTTGACCATCAGAGATTTGAGAGAGGTAGGTATGCGTTGTTGGTTGGCTTTAGTCGTCCGTCAGTAGGGCGACGTTGGAGAAGCCCACAAGCCACAGACGGGGTGTTGAAAAGTTGGCACAAGCCGAGGAAGACAAAGGAGGCTGGTGTCTCTCTGCAGGATTGCAAGTTCCCAGATCCCAGCACAGCTGAAGGAATGGAGCTTCAGACAGCCCGGCGACTACCGATGGTCGATCTGATAGCAACGGCCGCCGGCTCGGGTCTAGTAGCGTGGTAATGTGATTAGCAGTGATTCAGTGAATGCCAATCGTGGGCCCATTCCCACCGTGGGCTAGCTCAACGCTTTGTGTTTTTGAGTTCCAAGGTTATCTGCGTAGCGCGGCGGGTCAGAGAAGCTAGCTGGCATCCTGGCAGACGTTGAATCAGAATTTTTTCGATGATGGCGGCACTGAGCAGATTGCAGGTTTGAAAAGCGCCGGAAAGCTTGCTGCACTTTGAAGCATGCAAGTCGATAGTGCGTAGATGTGTGCGGGATGGTTCGCTGTGTGGTGTCGGCATCCCAGTTGATGCTGTCAAATGGCGGTCCAGATTGATGCTCTGACCATCAAAGGTCCGTACATTTTGACAGGGACAGCCTGCTCGACAGCTGCCAACCCTGCTCCTGCCTCTTTTCCCTGCCGTGGTTGTAGCTCCTTCATCTTCGATCTCCGCTCTGCGGTGTTCCTTATTGATTCTTATCCGACGTACGGAGTATGCGATATACATAATTTGCGAGCAAGGAAGCACAAGTGAGAGCAGGAGCGACAGCGTGCCCGACACAGCAAGAAGTGGGGGTCTATCTACCCAAGGTACCTACCTTGTCCAGATACGAACCTCAGAGATATGAACCACGACAGGCAGGCAGGTGCAACAAAACAGGCCACAACAGGCGGGAAGGAAGATAAAAAGAAGTAGCTGCTCATCCGGAAGGCGGCCGACACGATGAGGCGCTGTGGTGGCTGCAGTTCGTGCCGTTCGTGGCTTCTTCCCACAAGTTCCCAGAGCAAGTCGCATGTCGACTTTCCCTCTGGGGCCTTGGCGCCCGTGATGTGGTTGACGCTAGCAGCGCCTGCAGGTCTACCCCTGTTCATGATCCGGTACGTATACTACTGTGGTAGTCAGCTCATGGTTCCGTTGCACTTGCCGATAAGGTAGGTAACGTCTTGGCGGCTCTTTCCCAGGCCCATGGGCTTTTTCCAATGTCCATCCATCCCGTCCCATCCCCGCCTTGTCCTCTGGTGTTTGCGCTTGCAAGAATCTTCCGAGTAACTGCCCTGAATTGTTAGTCCAAAACGCCGCAAATGCAATAGGCAAACCGGGAAATAGGCCCACGTTTGATGATGCAGGTGGCTTTTCCTTTCTTGCCCACCCTGTCTCTCCCGCGACTCCCGCCTGCCTGCCCACCTGCCACCTGCTTTGCGGTTTGCCATACCATGGATGGCAGGCACGGGACACCTACCTTATTTCCCACAACCCTGCTTTGATCTTTTGTATCCTTCCTCTGGAACTGCCATCTGGGACATAGCTATTATCTGACGCCTTCTTTGCTTGCATGGGTACTTTGTACGGAGCAAGGTATCTTGCTCTCTGAACTGGCAGGCGAATGTTTCCCTCATTGATATTTACAGGCTGCATTGCCCAATCATGTACGGAGTCCACTCCGACCGGCCCCACTCCACTCCGGCGTGGCATCAGATTATGTTTCCCATGCTCTTCTCATTCTTCGTGCTTTCCTGACTCTTGGATCCAAGTCATGATTTCTCTCCGCTCCGTTTGTCACTTTTTGCCCAGCTTTTCTTCCTGGCTGATTCCGTTTGGCCCAGCCCCCTGCCTTCATACACCCACACGACTTATTGTACCGGTACTTGACTCCGTAGCCATGTGGAAATCCTTAAGCCAGGTCATTTCCCCCAAGGCTTCGCGGTTCACCTGCAGTCTGCGGCGACTGTCAACCTTCTATGCAGATTTGGCCATGGACAGCAACCTACGGTCATTAGCCTTGAGCTAGCCGTAGCACGCTGCTACGCTGCCATGCCTTAATCTGAGATATTGGGTCCAACTGCAATGGCACCTGCTAAGGCCAGTAGGTATTCTGACTCTTTCCCAGCGGTGATGTCACACATCTCTCCCACCGGGCCATTGCCATGATTTGCAAGCGACGGGAGTCAACACAATCCGTAACCAGGCAGCTAAGCGCATGCAGACATGAGAGACATACCCGCAGTGAAGCGGCCCTTGTAACCGCCAAACGGTCCAATGGTCGCTGTATCCCTGCCACGATCCTTTTCACTTGCCCACACATTAGCCACGGGTGGGCTGGCGACTCGCGGGGATACTCATAGCAGGGGCAGAGAAATGTCCTTGTCGATTTTGCAGAAGATACTTACGATCCGGACATTATCCAACGAATAAACATGCTCATCTTGAAAGCAAGCCCGGAGCAGCCCAGCCCAGCCTAGCAATGAGGTACTTACCTATGGATACCACCATACTGTACGTATTCGTGCCTCATTCCGTGGCCGTGATACCGTATTCACATCCTTGCAGGAGGAAGCAAGACGGTGTGTTTACTCCTGCTTGGCCTGAAGTGGCCTGCTACTACGGCTCGCCTTGTCTTCCTCTGCCTTTTCTCCAGGCCGTTTATTCCTGTTTCTCGTATGCTTGCGTGTCTGTCTAGGCTATACGCATGCCGTAAGGTAGCCGCGCCTTCCTCTCTCCACGCTGTGGTGAACCTGCCTGTTTGGGTCCGCTACATTCACCAGCCCCATCCTATCTCGGCTTCACCTTGGGCTCTCACCACATCCAATCCCGGTTACTGCCTGTCTTCCCCTCCACCTCACCTTCACCTCGCCTCTCCTAAGGAACCCTACACCTTCTCCTCCGTCATTCCGCCGTCTGTGTGGCTTACCTTGAACAAAACCTTTCCTCCCTCCGTCCCGCTCGTTGCACCTAGAAGCTAGACGTTGGCTCCTAGTCCTCCGCTGCCATCATCGCGCTACTCTCGCCGCCTCGCCCGCTCGCTAGTTCAACTCCACGAGGCTGGTCTACTTTCAATTTTCAGTCACTCGCTTTGACGACTTTCGCTGCTCTCTCTTTCTTCCAGCTTCGAGCTCTTGTAACACACTCCCCCGCGTGCGGTGCCGAGAGACCCTGCCGTCTACTTCGAGGAACCTAATGGGAGTACATCGACACTTGAAGCCATCTTCGTTTGCCTCACCACCCCTTCCGCGCACTCGTTATACTGCCAGCCGGAGCCGACTCTCGATCTCCTCCACACATAGTAATCTTGTGGGAAAGTAGCTCGTGTCGCTTTACGGGAACCTGATACCACAATGTCGCCTTCTTACACAACACGGGGAGCTTCTCCCGACTCGAGCCTGACGCCCCCGACTAATCCGTTCGGTTCTAACCCGTTCGACACCGACAACGATTCGAGCGCGGCCCCCTCCCTCGCCAGTGACTCGACTTTTACCGTGGTACGTTTCCATGAAGTGCCACTGGCAATGGCTTCCGGTCTGAAGGAAAAGGGACTGACATATCTTAGAACGCTGTTGGGCAAACACATCCGTACGACACCACAGACAGATCAGGTCAGAGATCGAGCTGGGCCGACTCCTCTCACCACCGTCTAAGCAGACCCGATATCGTAGGTTGCTCAACATCCGTTTCTCCGAGCCCAACTAACAGGTACCAGGAGCCCTCGCCGCTGGGCAGAGAAGTGCCGGTCTATAATGAAAAGGGCCATCACCAATCCTCTTCTGAGACGGACGTTGAAGCTAGCCATGTTCCGCCTGTTATTTCTGACCCCGAGAAGGCAAAGGAGACGCACACGACCGCACTTCCACGCTCATCAGGCGAGTCTTTTCCCAAGAGACTTTACGGGCGTTTCCGCGCAACCTACTGCCCCAAGGAAGAGCCGCCTTTGGTCTTGCCTGTATGCCCGAACGACACCGAGAAGCTCAGCTACGTTCACACCAACCGACTGCTTCTCTACATCTTTGGCGTCTTCTCTTTCCTCTCGCTTGGCGCCGGAATGTGGCTGTTCGCGCTCTCTGCCCCCGCATTCTACTGGTATGGCGTCTTCGCGGGAGCAATGTGCATCTACTTGTTGATCTCCTACGCCGTCGGAATCATTGGACGAGACTGGGACTACAAGGCTCACTTGGATTTGGTTGAGCGCTTCCCTATTACCGAAGACAACGCCCCGACTGTCGATATCTACCTCCCCTGCTGTTCCGAGCCCATCGAAATTCTGGAAAACACATATAAGCACATTGTCAATATTGATTGGCCTGCGTCCAAGCTCCAGGTTCACGTCATGGACGACGGCAACTCGGAACCGGTTCGACTTCTCGCTGAGAAATATGGCTTCAACTACTCTGTTCGCGATGACCGGCCCCGTCTCCGAAAGGCTGGCAACCTGCGATGGACCTTTGCACAGACCAGCGGAGAGTTCTTTGCCATTTTCGATGCTGACTTCTGCCCACGCCCTGACTTTGTTAAGGAATTGATGGTTGAGCACTTGGGCGATGATAAGACGGCCCTTGTTCAGAGCCCTCAGTACTTCCGCGTCACTGACGACCAAACTTGGGTTGAGCAGGGTGCGGGTGCCACTCAGGAATTGTTCTACCGTGTCGTGCAGGTCAATCGTAACAGATGGGGAGCCTCAATCTGCGTTGGTAGCAATGCTCTCTACCGTCGTGAGTCTCTTGTCGAGGTCGGTGGAACGGCGGAAATTGGCTTCTCCGAGGATGTTCACACTGGGTAAGTTTGATCCAACCAACTTGCAAGACCATTGACTAATATATCACAGTTTTGGTGCGGTTGACCGCGGCTGGAAGGTCAAGTACATCCCTCTCTGCCTCGCCACCGGTGTTTGCCCCAACTCTCCTCGCGCCTTCTTCTCCCAGCAGATGCGATGGGCTCGTGGTTCAACGACTCTTCTTACAAACGGCCACTTCTGGGTCTCGAATCTCACCCTCATGCAAAAGATCTGTTATCTGTCAGGTTTGTACTTCTACTTCACAGCGATACAGTGACCATTCGCCCATCTAACCAAATGCAGGCTTCTTGTACTACGCTGCAGTTTCACTCAACATCTTCCTTGCCCCTATTGCCGGCACTCTTCTCCTTGCTATCCGCCCGGAATGGTTCAAGTTCTGGAACCTGGCTTTTGCTATCCCTTCGATCCTATATGGTGTGATCCTCATGCGTTGCTGGGCTAAGGCCAAGTATGGCTTCAACGTGCAGCATGCCATGACGGTCCAGAGTTACGCCTACCTCACCGCTATCAAGGATCGTCTCTTCAACATCGAGCTTCTCTGGGCTGCCTCTGGCGACTCCAAGGCCCACAAGAGCAACAAGTATCGCAACATGCGCCTTCTTTGCATCATCTGGACCCTCATTGTCACTGGTGCCATGGTCGGTGTCGTCACATGGCGCCTTGTCACTGGCTTCACCTGGTACCACCCCTTACCACTGATCATCATCAACGTCTACAACCTGTTTATCAACCACTACTTCATGTTCTGCAACTGGTAAAATTCCACCGGTGTCTAGGCATGCGAGGGTTGTGAAAACGATGAAGAGGTGTTTGTTATTAAAAGCTTGCATTATACATGGACAAATGGAGTCAAGACATTTGATTTTCGCGATTGAGATGACGGAGGTAGCATTGACGGTTTTACCCGTATGGAAACGGCCTTATACCATGGACATAGACGCAAGCACTTAAGTCTGCCTGCACACACTGCTTCCGCAGCATACATAGTTGGTGCTCTTGTATATCACGGTGGATAGAGTAATCGTGGAAGTACCCTGGCAGCGCTGCTGCTCTTCATAATCATAGTAAATAGTAATACTTGTACGAAGAATTTGCGATCTCTTTCATCCTTGAAAGTAATTTGTCGACCTCGAGACTCGCTTAGGAGTCTTGGAGTTTCGTCTTCTGCCCCCAGCTCGCCTGCTCGTGTTCGGCTGTGCCACATTCTTCGTAACCTTAGAGTCGCAACAATTCTTCCGGATCAAATCTAACACCTCGTGTACTTAATGGATCCAAGCTATTCATATGCTTCCACACATCTTCGGGGTTGTCATAGTTCTCAATCATTCAATCTGGTACCGATCCTCGGGGGGCCGTAAAGATTGCATTTGTTTCGCCAGCCCAGATAGGGCAGCCATCTTGTCCTGCTCCTTACTGAGTCGAAGCCTTGAGTATTCATTTACTGTTCGATACCACAGAGATTATGGGTCTTTCTCAAGAATACCATATGGAACATAGGGATATACCCTCCCGCTCCATCCATCTTCGCAAGTAAAATCTTGGTCGTTGTCCATGCTCTCGCTTTTCTGTGAAACCCGGTAAACCAATACCACTTCCTGGGCACAGAAGTGCAGTACCCGTCGTGAAAGTGGCATTTCCTGATAGGCCTATCCACGACTCAAAAGTGGCCAGTCTGGACTTGCTCTTGTTTGATACTCCCTCGACATAAGTGGAAAGTCAGGAAGTTCATGGCGAACATATGTATCTTTGTACCCTGGAGAGAGTTTTGACATGTACTTGTCACTTGTTTTTCTGAAACAACCACCAGACGCGTCGCTAGAAATTGTTGCTGCGATTGTGAGATATGCGTTTGCATAAATATTGGCCATTTGCGCAGCCTGTTCCGTCCAATCTGCTACGGAATCTTGTAAAATGCACAATGAATCGATCCACAGATACGAGACGTCTAGATGACGACAGACTGTGATTGCATCCTGGAATGCTGCATTAAGTTGATGCCAAGGTATGTTTCTCTAGTGATCTTTGATTGTCTCTTTGGTCGTTTTAGCGATTTGGGCGCTTTCACCCCAACAATAGCTCAGGCATACATAACGCTGCTGCCCAACTTTCTCCCGCAGAATAACTTGATCCTCACTGATCTGGAGAAGTCTCTTCGGTGAGGCTCGTTGATCATGCCCGTGCTTGCCACTTTCATAACAACACGTGTGACTTGAAATCCACTCATTAAGCCAACCTTTGATTGTTTGAAGGGTTGCCTCGGAGCTTGTGCTTCCTGGAAGGTGAGCAGCAATCTTTTTTGAGTGTAACGGGTTTTTTTCCTGGCCTATGAAATCATTGATCAGCCGTGTGAACATGAACGAAAATTATGGCATGGTAGACCATCTCCCCAATATCCGACATCTGCTAAGAATTACTGGTTGTAGTGCTTAGTGTGGAGCGATCTACCATCTGTAGTGAATATATCGACCCTTGTATCTTCGTACGACTCCATACAATAGACTCGGAAGGCATGGCCTTGGTGAATGCTGATTTTATAGACTTGCTGCGTATCAATCGGAGCCAATCTGATCCATTGATCGAGGAAGACGCACCGAGAGCAGCCGTTTCGTATACCCCGCCGGAGGTTCCCCAACTTCACAGTACTTAGCCGCTTTCGCTTCTCTTCATCGCAGAATTGACAAGCCATGTGAAATCGCGATACTGGAGATTCGGATGGGTAAGATCGATACGCACTAGTCTCGGACTAGCTCTCGAATACTGTTTTGAGAGGCTCCAAGCTCATTAAACTCTACGAGCATTTGCAAAGTGCATAAATCTATCAGCGTTCAGATTTTCACCATGAGACCGCGGAGTTGCTGATGAAGTACTAATAGATGAACAAGTTTTCCATCTTCTCCTCTTATCTTTCTTCTGCCTCCTCTCACTGGAAATTCAAGAAGGTCTCAGGCAGCAGTGTCTTCTTGGCGAACCAATAAAAGGTACCCACGTAGCCCATGAAGACAGCAAATCTCAAAACGCATTGAGCAAACCAGAGAAGATACTCAGAGTTGTTCTTAGCATTATGGTATCAGGCGTGCGTTGCCGTTCCGTAAATCGAGTAAGGTAAGGAAATTAAACATCCATATCAGTACAGGCCTCTCCTGGCTCAGATACATAACCAAGCGTCATTCAGGTCTGTCTACCTCTGCGTGAGCTCTCATTTTCAGCCATCACTAAGCCCCGCCTGCCATCTCGCCTTGCGTGCTTATGTCGGGCACAGCTTGTGGCGCAGGCGTCGAAAAAATGCTGCCTCGTTCAGTGGCTTAGCAGCTTCGCCCACCTCATTTTTGGTGGCTTTCTCAGTTTTTTTCAAGGACAATGTTGGTGTAACAGACAAAGTATGCTACCTGCCGGCAAGGCGACAAAATGTCTCAGGAGAAGACGAAAGCGTATGGGGTCCTATTTCAGTCGTGTGGCGTTAGGCAGACGCTCAGAAATGTCTCTTTCGATGGAGGCCTCCTGTCAGATACATAAGATCAACCTATTGGAGAAGACGAGCTTGGGAAGTTCAGCTTCTTCCACATCTGATACGAAAAAGTTGGCCGTTAACTACACTGCCTTAATTCATTATCCGAAACCTTCGCAATGATCAGACTTCACTGGTTCACCGTTCACGGAGTCTACCTCCTCACCCAATTTGCTTTTACGATGGCTGGCATCGTGGCCTTTGTATCAATGCCATTGGAGTTCAATCACCCGATATCGCCCGCAATTCCATGGGGATCCTCTGCTCTAGTGCGTTGAGTTTCTCGGTCCCTCCCCTCGCAAAGCTCACCATTCAGAATCTTTTCGGACCGTATGCTGACCATTGGAGCACTTTTAGAGCTGTTTTTCACTCTTCGTGAACACACTCATTTTGTCCGCAATCTTTTCATCTCAACGGCCGAACACCTTGATGACCGAAGAGAATCGTCTGAATAGCCGCCGCATCACACTCCTCATCAGCGCTTTATTTGCTGCCGGATTCGCCGCTGCAGACTGGGCTTTTGCCCTATCATTTCACAAGTATGGATCGACTGGCCCCGAAAAGACGGCCGGCGTTGTAGCCGGGGTGGCTTCGTACGTGAAGAAATACCTAACTCCCACTCAATAATCTGGATACAGGCTGACCAACTTATGCAGATTTGTCGCGGTCGCTGTCATGGTAGTAGATATCTGGAAAATCTGCGCAGATGCCTCAGAGGCTCGGGCTGCCGAGTTGTTTGACCGAGAGCAGCTTGCTGATGTAGAACCGTTCACTGATAGTTGAAGAGCCAGAAGGGTGTTGAAAGGCCTCGATAGTCAAGGGAATTGTATAGTGTTGCATCATAATCTAGCTCCGCGACATCATCGATACGTACCTACCACACAAAGTAAGCTTTTTCATCTTCATCTTCGCTTGTTTAAGAATTGAATTGAAGAGAGACGCTGTCGGATCCTTATCTCATTATGGTGCAACGCACGTTCAAAGCATCTGCTCAAACATGTAGATCTTTTCAAATACTTCCTCACGTCTGGGATGCAAAGGTGATGAGTCAAAAAATGAGGGTTCCCTCGCGCCGCAATATTGGGACATTTGGGGCTAGATCGCCGTCTTTGGAGTATGGATGCAGTAAACGCCCCGAAAACCAACAGCCTGATGGTGAACAAAGAACGCGCGGACGTACATAAGCGAAGGAATGGCTGACCTCGGATGTCTTACAGCTGAATCAGGTCTCGATATGCGATTCGTCGAGCCAAGAAAGTCAGCCTGACACTGCCGCGGCCCAATAAAGCCACGCGTCTGCTCCAGGGAGCACTGCGCGTGATCTACCAGATATCCAAGAGAAAATAATTTGATAATCGGAACCGACCTTTCCGCGATACTTTTACCTCGCAAAGGATGATGTCGTGGTTGTTCCGAGCACGGAAGAAAGACGACTGCTTTTCTACTATTGAGGACTTCGGCGATCTGGACAGACAGCAAAAGTGCCGTGGCTGCAAACAGATTCGGGCTCTTTTCGATTTCCACAGGCGCCATAACATTCTTCCACCGAAAGCTGTTGTTTTTCACGAAGACTATGCCTCTCTCGACAGGTGTGCTCAGCTCTGCGTCACTTGCCGCATCTTTCGTCAGGCGCTGCTTCTCGAAGGCGTCACTGCCGACCATGCTGCTGTGTTGGGGCGTTCGTTAGGGTCGGTTTGCGCGAAGTTGGTTGATGAGGATGGTGGCTTTGCGATAAAGATACACGTCAACGAAGATGGAGAAAGCAAGATGCCGGTGGCGACGGTCAGCTGTGCACCGCTGATGGACCCGAAGCCTCCTATGAAGCTTTCGGTGAATTCAGAGGACGATACAATCTTTCAGCAGATTAAAGATTGGCTCCGCGTGTGTGAACAGTGTCACATTGACTGTGGCAACCTCGCATATTCGGACCGCATGCCCACTCGGCTTCTTCACCTCCTCTCTGACTCACGAGCGCAGTTGGTCGATAGCGAGAATTTGTTGAACGGCAAGGCCCTTCGTTATACGGCCCTGAGCTACTGCTGGGGCACCGGCACGTTCAGTGGCGACGAGAACGAGCTAATCGAACAGGGAAAAACGCTGAGGGCCAACTTGGAGAGTCGCTATCGACCGTTTGACACTGGAATTCTTCCAGGCACAGTACGCGATGCTATCAAAATCACCCGGCGATTGAGTGACCCAGATAACGAGCTTGAGCTTTGCTTCCTCTGGGTTGACTCGCTGTGCATAATCCAGGATGACGTTCAAGATAAAAAGGTGGAAATACACCGTATGCAGGAAGTCTATGGTAACGCCGCTGTCACCATTTGCGCGACAATGTCGGCTAAGGCCACGCAGCCGTTGCTAACGCCGCGTCTCGCGTGGTCAAAGCAAATCAAGCCATGCCGCGTCGGCACCTCCTGGCTTACCGTGAAACCTACGGCGCCTGCTGGTCTCCGATCAAGAGCTCCGTTATTCCTTCGGGCATGGACGCTTCAAGAGGAGCATTTGTCGCCGCGACTGCTTTTCTGGGGTGGTCAGCGATTCAGCTGGGCTTGTGGGCGTGGCGAGTATGCCGAGCAGACATCTTCTTCTGTCTCTCTAGATACTTCTACCATTCATGTACGCAAATTTCTTGCTGAGTGCCGTATATCGGAACCAGAGGAGCTCTGGCTTGCATGGAACTCAGTTGTAGAGTCATATACGGCGCGGAGCCTGAGTAGCCCGGCAGATAGATTCGATGCGTTGGCGGGACTAGCGACGCGATATTTAACTGCTCTTTCCGGAAACAACGAGTATATGGCAGGTTTATGGCGGGCAACATTTGCGCAGGACCTTCTGTGGCGTGTTTCAAGACCACCGGGGCTCGACATAGGATGGCCAGGCACGGCAGGAATCCCAAGCTGGTCTTGGGCGAGTCTTCCTATTGGCCTGAGGGCTTGTATGTGGCACAAATTTGAGATGTCGACTGAGGTGGAGTTACTCGGCGACGGTTCCAGTTTGGATGTCGAGCCATCAGAAGCGGTTGCTCAAGGTGCGCATTTGGTTCGTGTCCGTGCTCGAGGGCTCCTAAGAAATCTTTGGAGCCCCGGATCACAGCTTCGAGAGTGGGGCGATATTTGTGTCTGCGTGGACGGTGTCAATAAGTTCAGCTTTGGTTCTAACCCGGGCCAGGATGTCCATGCTGTCGATTGCCTCACAGGCAAATTGGTTGTGTATGAGGCGCGAAAGCAGGAGATTGTCGCCGAACTGGACTACTGCAGGCTCGCGAAGGACGTCAATGAGAGACTGTTATTGGAGGTTCACTGTCTCGCCATCTCTGAACACGGAATGCTTCTGCTGCGCCATCAGAATGACACAGGTTCTTTCGAAAGAATAGGCATTGGCTTTGGGTATCGACGAGATTTCTTTAAAGGGCTGGAGAAGACAGAAATTGTTCTGGAATAAGCAAGCATGCTAGCGAGAAATGGTTTGGTTTACAGATTGGAGTGGTGTGATGTGATAAAATTACTCTTCAAGAACTCGATTCGTGACAAGAGAAACGCCGTAGGTGAAGATATAAAAGTAGCAGAACTCCGGCCTTATAGAGGTAAGCTGAAGACTTGTCACGAGTTCAGACCCATGACATCTGATTGGCAGGTTATATCATCAATCCCCGACTCGTTCCTGAACATTTTGGGGGTGTGAGCTAAGGGAGCCCATAACTCATTATTTTGTTGGAGTCTATTGCCTCATACGGCGATCTCATGCACCACTACAGTCCCATCATCTTCTAAACACCTACGCTTCTTCTAATGGCCGCTAGATCTTAGTTAAGTATACTAATAACACAAATTCGTACGTCGTTCGAAAAACTAAGATAATGTCTTCAACTATACCTTTCAAAATACTATTATCATTCAACTTCTTATTAATAGATAGCTTTAAGTAAATTGAAATTCACTAACTAATTTTTGAGTAAAAGATTAACATTAATAATATTAATGAAGATTAAACGGTATGAGTCGCTATGATATATTATAATCGCTGGGGCCTGTAGGGCGCGTGTTAGTTCTAGTTATGCATACTAGGTCATGATACTTTATAATATATTTATAATTATAAATACCATTTATTTGATATTAGAGCTCTAACTTTTATTATCATACTTACCATAACCAGTTAGCCGTGATATATACCCTAGTTTATTCAAGTGTCTATGAGAAACGAGCTGTGTACTAAAACAAAAAAATCTCAAATTTTAAGCCGCAGCGCGACCTCGGGTCTCATAGGGCAGGACTAAGAAGATTAGACCAGCCAAAATAAACAAGGCTGCCGAAACCCAGACGGGGTAGTCATTGTCAATGCCAACATACGCCGCAATGATAGGAGCAATAAGACCACTCAGGCGGTTGAACAGGGCTACTAAGCCATTGGCAGTACCACGAACTGGAGCAGGAAAGAGTTCTGGAGTGTAAGAGTACAGGAGTCCGTATACCAGATTCTGAAAGAAGGCAATAGCGCATGAAAAGCCTAGAACACCAGCCTGGGTAGTGGCGCGGGTAAACAGGAACAGGAAGACACCAGTTGACAAGCAAGCGATCGTTCCAGTACCCTTTCGGCCAATACCCTTCAGGTCGACAGTGAAACTGCCAAGGAGCGAAGCTGGGATACCGCAGACAGCCTGGATGACATAATTCCGGTACACATCGTTAGTGGATTTGGCACCTGAAGTAACGCCCTTGTTCTCAAGATAGATAGGGATAAACGAATTGTAGAGCGGATAGGCCATCCCAATAGAACACCAGAGGAAGATCATCAAAGTTGTAGAAAGGGCCATACGAGGGCTGGAGAAGAGCACACGAATTTTGCTAAGTGAAAGCTTGTGCAAACTTCTCTTGATGATGTCCTTGTTGGTATTGTCCGGCGCAGTAGTCTCCGTGCGGGTAGCATTCAGTTCAGCGTCAATAGACTCGAAGCGGGACACAGTGAGCCACGAGGTCTTCCCGTCTCTGGCGGCGATCTTCTGAATAGTATCAACAGCCTGCTGATCTAGACCCCTGCTGAGAAGGAACTTGGGAGTCTCGTATACTCGAAAGAAGAGTCGAAGAAGGAACATGGTGAGAGTAATACCACCGAAAGTCCAGTAGGTGTAGCGCCAGCCCAAGTTGTTGCTGTATGTGCAGCCAGCCTCAGACTTTGGATCGCATGAGTAATTGGCGATGAGCGGCCAGGCAACCAAAGCTGCTACTGCCTGACCAACTGACCAGAAAGCAGATTGCATTGTAAGGAGGTACTGGTGAGTAGCAGGGATGTACTCCAGAAAGATAGCGCTATCGACGGGTTGGTTGCCGCCGGTACCTATGCCAATGAAGGCAGTGAAGATAGCAAGGGCTACGAAGTTGGGACTTCCAGCCCCGATCAAGCCGCTGACTGAGGAAATAAGCAGGGTGATGTTGAAAGCCAAGCGGCGGCCGATGATGTCGGCTGTCATGGGCCAGACGGAGGAACCAACGACGAGACCGGCATATTTGGCGAGGGTAAGAAAAGCAATGCGCTTTACTTGGAATTCGTTTCGAACGGGGGGACCGATGATGGTGATCGCCTGCATCCAGAACTAGATACCTGTTAGCTGTCTTCTCGTAAGCTCATGTGGGATCTGACACTCACATTATCCACAAACCATCCGAATCCAGTCATGGCAAATACCTTCCATTGGAAGCTGCCCATGCTGATGTCTACCAAAGCTTGGTTCATAACAGCGACCTTTCGTTGATAGACTTCGCTGACGCCGGAATCAATACCTCGCATATCAATTACGTTTTCTCTAATCATCTCGACTTCTCCCTTGGAGTGGGAGATGCCGGTGGCAGTTTTCTCGACGGGCGGTGTGTCTTCAACATCTTTCTTGTCAGGTGCCATCGCAATGATGTGAATCCGTGAGCGGAAAGAGAGATACACAATAACAAGATAGCCTGAGGTAAAGATAATCGAGAAGATTGAGAATAATGGTATGGCTGATCTTTGTTCCAGGGATCCCAGACTTGACATGCCTATATATCTTGCCCGTCCAAGGTTTTAGCAACAGCTTCATTTGATAGGTCAAAGTCAAGTTGGAGATCGGGACTGTGCGCGTGGTAGATTCTGGGTAAAGGCGATAAAGGCAAGGCCCTAGATTCGAATGGATATCAATCCAATTTCGCCATGTTTTTCCCAAACAGGAAAGGGAACACGGTCAGGGAAGAGATAATGACTTTGTCACCCTGGACAGCCTCGGTGCTGTAGTCTAATCCCCTGGAACTGGCTGACTGTTGGGTCGGCGCCTCGAATACTCCATTTCCGGTATAGCGCTATCTGCAACGGCAACCGAAGGATTGCGTAAACAACTCGGTATTCGGATTGTTCCGCTTCAAATACTCCAAACTTGGTATAACGCGGATATGTCACCTGCAACCTTCTCATTTCACACTCCGATCGGAGAGAATCTATTTTCCTCTTTGGGCGGCTGAATTACTCTTTCCATGGTCAAGTGTAGAATTGTACTATTCGTGACTGGTTTGACTGCCGACTTGTTGTTTCATTGCGCTTTGAATACCCCAGCTATGGTATAGTGCGTGCTTGCTTTCCCCGCACTTTCTCTATGTTTGAGGGAGTAGAGAAGTCAGAGTGGACATTGGAATGACCCTGTGTATTATTACTGGACATGGAAATTGCTAATTCCTGTCTATGTTTAGTCGCACGGATGTATATATATATATTTATATATACCTATCTACTAGAACCACCAAACATCGGATAAGATAACATTATCAAGCTACAACTTTCCCAGTCGCATCTTGATTGAATTTTGTTCTCTCACCTTTTGTCTAGAGACCCTAAACGGTCGCCATGGCTCCTCCCATCTCTGTCGAAAGCGTCCCCAGCCTGGACGCCTTCATGCCTGGCAAGAATGACACTTACACACCGAGTTTTGCTCCCTTCAACCCCGCTAAGCATTTAGCGTATTCCCCTCCCTCCAAGGTCCTGACCATGAAGGACCTTGCTCTAGAACCGACTGTCCTGTCCCCCATCGCAACAACCGAGCCTTTCCCGCTTCTCTCCCAGGAGGCCATTCTTCGTTATCGCCAAGACTTATTCAGCAAAGATGTCCTGGACAACTGCCTCCATCACACTCGCCCTGGATCTGTCCAGCTTCGAGGCATGGCACCGCGTTACTCCGCTTTCATCCACGATCTATGGCATTCCCCCGAAGTTCTCAGGATTGTGAGCGACGTTGCTGGTGTCCAACTCGTTCCTGCCATGGACTATGAGATCAGCCACACCAATGTCCAGCTTGGACCAGGTGGTCTCGATGCGGTTCGGAAGACACCCGTTGTACCTCCTGAAGCTACTGAAGAGGCTATCAAGAACTTTGAGGCCGAAAAGGGCCAGGTCAGAGCTGTCACTGATCAATCAAAGCCTATTATTGAGTGGCACAAGGACTCGCATCCTTGGGTCTGCGTTGTTATGCTCTCGGATGCTCGTCATATGACTGGTGGCGAGACTGAGTTGATGAAGGGAGATGGTACCACCGTAAAGGTGAAGGCGCCGCAAATGGTAAGCATTAACGAAAGATGGAATACGTCTTTCAAGCCTGACGTTTACAAATTGCAGGGCTGCGCCGTCCTTCTCCAGGGCCGTTACATCTCCCATACCGCCGCTCCCGTCGAAAACATGCCCGAGCGCGTCACAGTCGTCACCTCATTTCGCCCCAAGAACCCGCTCCTTGTCGACGATACGACCAACGCCAACGTTAAAAACAAGTCTCATTTGACCGAGCTATACTACCAGTGGACCACCTACCGATTGGAGGTCATGGCTCATCGTGCTCGTAGTGCTTTGACCGAGTTGCAGGAGAGGTATGCGAAGAACGTTGCCGAGTCGGATCCTGAGGGAAAGCCTGGTCTCTGCAGAGTTGAGACAGTGAGTTCGGAGGAGATTAACAAGTGGTGTGTGGAGATGATCAAGTATCTTCAGGATACCACCAGTGAGATGGGACTGCCTGGAAACAAGGCCTAGAAGATTGATGGATTATTGAGTTTAGTTAGAATTGCTGCTAGCAGCCTATCCTCGATATGGAATGCAATCTTTAGAAGAGATAAGCGATGTGGTAATGATCTTGTAGAATGTCGAGTCTTCACTGTAGTAAATACGCTTGTGTTCGGTGATAACGCGAAATCTGATGATATGATTTGTTTTGATTGTTTTAAGCAGGCAATACCTTCTAGCTTTTAAGCCTTTGCAAATAAAAGGACCCTTTAGCTGAGGCATTTTGTGCTATTCCACTTGGGGCATTAGCTCCATATCTATGTCTCCACACCAAATCACTGGGCCCAAAGATAACTTGCTTTTCCCCGCCCGCCCTGCCGATGTCAAAGTCGAGGTCGTGCCACGGTCACACCAAGAGCCGCTCCTCTATAGAGAGATGAGCTTCAAATCTTCGAATAAAAGATCGAGAGATGGCTGTTGGACATGCAGAAGAAGGTACAGTCTGAGCCAGTCAGATTCGCTTGCTTACTTACACACCCTAGACGAAAGAAGTGCGATAGCGCAGTCCCCGTATGCGAGAATTGCCAAAGACTGGATCTTGACTGTGACAGGGGCACTCAGCTTGTATGGGAAGATGATGCGCGGAGAGACGGTATGAGAAGAAGAGGTCCCTTACCTAGGAAGTCGACATCTGAGAAAGCCAGAGGGATACCAGTGTCCACTCCCGGTAGCTCGCCGTCCAATGCTCTCATGCTCTTGCCAACGCCGTCGCCTTCGCTTGGTTCACTCAATACGGTATCGGCTGAAGACTTCCGACTGTATCCCAGTTTGTCTGACTGGTCGTCCCATCTTGACCCACTGGACAAGCAGATCCTGGACCGCTATACGAAGTTCTTCTCGACAACTTACCCAACCTGCAAAGATGCCTCTAACCCTTTTCTCAAAGTTCTGATACCACTGGCGATGAGACATCGAACTGTTCTCGATGCCATGCTTGCCCTCAGTTGTGTTCAGAGCTGGGAGAACGGACAATTCACAATGCGTGCTACCATGCTACGGTATAGAGCCAAGGCAATTAGAGGATGCAGCGACCTCGTCAAGAAAGTCATGTCAAACCCAGAGGCCCGTGAAGACGCATTCAGCCAAGGCCAGAATACCTTGATTCCAGTCATCACCCCACGAACCACGGAGATCGTTGAAAACGATGATATCATCCCGCTACTGGCAACATCCGTTCTACTTATGCTCTATGAGAAACTCCACGGAGAGGGTAAAGAAAACGGAACAAGCCACTTGCAGCTATTCGCTCAGCTCTTCCCGTCCCAGCTCTTCAGCAACATTTTGGACAGACTTACGCAAACTTCCAAGACGGGTTATCAGACCGACGCGATGCTTTTTCTTTCCAATTCATTCCTATATAATGATCTTGTACGGTCTACGTCACTGCGAACCACGACGTTATCAACATTCTACTATGAGAGACCATCATCACCCACAATATCGCATCGATTTTATTTCCCCACTATCATAGCTCGCATAGGCGCCAATGATATGTTAGTATCAGATGCCGATATAATTGCCTGGGACGGAACGCTCAGTTGGCTACCGAGTCTGGCCCTTCAATTCTCAGGTCAGAGCGAACAAACCGACTTGCGACTACTTTTAGACTCAAGTTTGATATATGGCCCCACCTTTCAAAAGCTCGAGGCCTTCGTGTGTATTAACACATGGAGCGAAGAGAAGCTGATTTCTGAGCTCTACAGAGTGGCAGCTCTGGTCTACAGAAGACAGCAGCAGCCAGATAAGTCCTCTTCTGCCATGGGCAGCCTCCCAGGATGGGCCATGGAAATTTTACGTCTCATCCCGCCGAGCTCACCGTATGGGACAGCTCTTCTCTGGCCAATCGCCCTTGTTGGCCCGGCATTAACCGATTTGGAACACCGAGAATACGTATTTAGTCGTCTGCAGATGTTGGAGCGGCAGTGCAAGATAAAGACGTATGCTAATATCGCTGAGCATTTGGTCAACCAATGGGGATGTCATGATAATGGCAGCCATTATAAAAGTCAGTTAGCGTATTTGTTCGGATAAATCACCACTCAACACTTTAGTTCATCTTGATTAGTAGTTTTGGTTAATCATTACTACAGCACAATTTTAAGAAAATAAATATAATAATACGATAAACTGTTAAAAGGAGACCAAAGCCGCTATAGATCGCAAAAACGCCGCTCTCGTCACCCACCGTCTCCCACCACAAGTGTAGCATCACAAACGTTAAGAAAAAAAACATACAACACCGGGTATTCGCTGATCGTCACCGACTCAACTACTAATCCGGCCCTCATTAGCTTATCTAAGGGAGAGCGGACGGGATCCCGAGTTTTCCAATGGGTATGGTCGTATGTGAAGGTGTTTGGAGACTTGCGAGTTTATGATGCAAGGAAGGCCAGCAGGTAGAGCTGTACATCTCAATCTATGCAATCAAAATGACATTAAAACAGTGGTTAAGACTTGAGGGGAATCCGGCTCTTTGGACATACTACACATTATATCGACTATCGCTATTTCTGACTGAGATAGTGAAGTACGGCTCAACACCATGGCGTCTCAATAAACACCAACTCCGAACAGGTCATAATGTCTACCTAAGTCATCTTGGACTTGAGAGCCGGAGATGCTAGCCACGAACTCGGTGTTCATCTTCCCAGCTCCTTGCCCCGACCACCTCGTGGCAAACGCCACCACCGAACATTTTGTGGCGAATAGCGGAACATATCTGGCCCTGATGACAGGAAACTTGACCCCACCCAACGCTTACTCGCGCTTCCGTGCGTGATACCTGCTAAAAGTCTTCCGTAGGTCGCCGGAGGTGCTCCACCACGAGAAAGTAGTGAGCCAGCCGGCTAACTTGACCATCATCTTGGAGTTACATGTATTGTCACCTAGTCTCAATCAAATGAGCAGAATATCATGATTAGTACCACTGTACTATGTGATATTTTTTTTAAAAAAAAACACTGAAAAAAACTCGATAGATGGGGTCACTGTCTTCAGTCAAGGTGTGGTAGCGATTTGACAACAGTTGACATCGGAGAAGATTTTTATCTGCGAGGTTTTTAACCACGAGTAGAGGAGACACTCAATAAAAGCGCAGTGCTTTTGAAAGTAGAGTGGGAAGAAGTTTGAGTATGTACGTTCACTGCGGAAGGTTGTTGTTGATTAAAACTCATGAGGTTGCCTTGGAGAGGCATCTGCTCTGACCGTGAACCAATGAGAGTGCAACCTCCTCAACTACACTCTTGTCTCTAACACTCCCGTCCTTGATTGCCAACTGCCAACTGCGTCGATGTTTTTTCAGTGAAGGTTGAATCAACTCACAGACATGATCGGTCAAGGAAAGCTGATGAAAACCTTGATCTCGTCATGAGCATTGAAACGAGCGTAGTAGGCCGGAACATCCTCAATCGAGATACTCGCCGAAGCGATGAAATGAGGGCTGGCCTTGCCGCTGCTGATAAGCTCCACAAGTATCGGCGCGTACACCTTGGGATCGACGGGGCCAGCTTGGAACTTCAAGCGTTTACCAAAGAAGTCGGACAGAGGGAACTCGGCGATGGGAGAAAATGTGGACCCTAGAGGAGAGCCGGGCGAGTCTGGTTGCGCCATGTATACTCCAACTTGACCAATGCCTCCGCCGACATGGGTGAGGTTGACCATCTGATTCAGGATAATGTTGGGTTGATGCTCTAGAGTCGAGTTGAGAGCCTCGATGCCAACGCAGTCGACGGAGCGCATGACCCCGTTCGGTTCGGAAGCCATGATCTGGGCGACGGGGTCGCTGGCTGCGAAGTTGATGGGAATTGCGCCAATTGAAGCAGCGCGGTCGAGCCTGGCTTGGACGTGGTCGATCACATAGACCTTCGAGGCGCCGCGAAGAGTGGCCGAGTAGGCAGCCATGAGTCCGACTGGGCCGGCGCCGAAGACTGCCACCGTATCGCCTGTTTCAAAGCCTGAAAAGTCAAGACTTGCCCAACCTGTAGCGAAGATGTCGGAGATGGTTAGGTAGTCTTGCTCGATGGTGGTGTTCGCTGTCTCCCGTGTGAGCGGGATAGGGATTAAATTAGAGTCGGCGAATCGGACTCTGGCGTACTCAGCTAAACCATACTGCATGTCAGTCTCGAAAGGTGCTGTGGCAATGAATCAAAAGCTTTCTTTGATGAAAGCCATGGAGATTCGTCTTAAGGAGGGATGATGACTTACACTGGAGACCATCTGTGACAACAGCTCCATTACCGTAGAAATCCAAACCAGTTGGCTCCATCTCAAGCCGACCGTGGTTCACCGTGTCAGGAATGATGACGTAGTCACCAACTTCGAGCCCAGAGACTGCACTTCCAAGCTCGGAGATGTAGCCAATGGCCTCATGTCCCATGTTCCACGGGGGAGCGCCTCCCTGGTAGCCGCGATAGACGTGTAGGTCAGAACCACATAGAGCAGAAGTCGTGATACGGACTACGGCGTCGGTCTGGTTGAGAATGGTGGGCATGGGGATATTTTCCACAGTCATCTCACCGGGGACACCGCGGTACATGACGCCGCGCATGAAAGCGCCGAAGGTGTTGTTCAGAGCCATAGCGAGGAATATGAAATGTGACTGCGTGAGGTGAATGAGGAAGTAAGCTCTCCTTTGTCCCATCTAGGAATGCCATCTTTATATGTTGAGAGGCTTGGCTCTCAAATCTCTTCGTTGCTCCATTTCCTCGATACAAGGCTCTTCTGGCCAATATGGAAGGTATTCCGCAGCGCCTTGGCAATCGAGGCGGTGTTTTTGTCCGCGGTCTCGGCCACTGCTCCGGCATACGTCAGATTTTGCATGGAGACAACCACAAACTCGCGGGCCGACTCAGGTGCTTGACCTTCTCTAGTGCACATAGATAGCCTAGTTGCATTGGAGAATCCGCTTCCTGCCACAACCCGGGCTTGGCCTGGGCCCTGGGACCAAGCCAGCGTCAGCCTTTTAGTTATCTTAAGTCCGGCCAATCACTTGATATTTTCCAAGTACCTTGCTACTGAAGTACTGTGACCGTATGCAGACTAGGATCACAGCCTTTTTTTATGTGGTCAATATCCCTTTGAGGAAGTTCTTGAACCAGTTGAGTTACATTCCCAAGTCGTCATCTTTTCAAATTCGTCCTATCTACCTTGGTTGGAAGAATCCGGCCGCGAAGCGAATGAGCATGCCCAATCCACAGTCAATCATGTCAAATAGCCTCTTACTGGGGCAAGGATACTGGTTGCATCACGTAGAAAATGTGTTTGACTTGAAGAAGCCTGATGATTATTTTTTTTGGGAGTGGCATTAGCTCTAGTCTCATCCGCTATCTTTCAAAGTGCTCACGCTTTCTCCGACGTGGAAGTCGATAGTTACACAATCAGAGCAGAACGATTCGACCCAGAAATTCTTCGTATCGATTAGACAAACAAACTCATGCCCTTTTATACCTAAGGTAAACTGCACACCTACAGAATACTCCTCATATACGGGAAAAATACGACACGATGAATGAAAATGGAAGGAGAGGCATTTGAGGAATGGCGTCGATCTTGTCGGAATGCGCGAAAAACAAAAGGGTGCTCAGGACTGAATTGATTGGTGCCACTTATTTTCGAACAAAGTCACACTGCTGGGTCTTGCAAATGATCGGGGATGAGTCTGCAAATTCATCGTTTAAAATCTTCTAATCTTGGCGAGAGGCTTTCTACTTGTCTATATATGCGATACCTCGGTGTCAAGAGTCACAGCTTCAGTGATTAAGGAAAGTCTACCTCATTCCGATGAAATTGCCTTGGGGGCTTCAACCCAGTCAAACTTGCCCATCAAATTCGTCAGCCACACATCCCCGGGATGGTAAGCTCCTTTGGGGGCGCCTCCAAAAAGGGAGGTGCCGCTCAGGAAAGTATGAGGGAATCCAGGATCGAACTCGTGAGAACCCTCAATCTCGCGAATATCATCCTCGGTAAGAGCGAGACCAAGTCCCTTGATGTTGCTTTCAATGTGACCTAGCTTCCGTCCACCCACAATAGGGAAGACAAATGGGGCCTTGTGCATGACGTAGGCGACTGCAACGTCGGGAAGCGACGCGCCCTTGGCGTTGGCGACCTTTTCCAAAGCCTTGGAAACCTTCTTATCGTGCTCCGAAACTTTGTTCTGTCTGCCCGGATTGTGCTTCTCGCGCTCCTTGAAGCCCTCCTCCGTCTGGAAGCGGCCGGCGTTGAGGACGCCCCAAGGGCAAAGACCCATGCCTTCGTCCAGGCACATGGGGATAATATCCCGCTCAAAGTCGCGCAAGGACGCGTTCCAGTTGCCTTGGTAGACGACGAATTGGCGAAGTCCTGAGAGACGGGCGTACTGATTTGCTTTGGCTACCACCCAGGCTGGGGTGTCGGAAATGCCCAAGTAGTGGACTTGGCCAGAAGAGACCAAATCATTGAGTGAGTGCATGACCTCAGGAATGGAGGCAGAATAGTCCCACCAGTGAAGATACAGAATGTCTATGTAGGTCGTTTGGAGGGCCTTCAAAGACCGGGCGACGGAGTGCTTCAACGACTTTGTGCTGTTGCCGCCGTAATTGGATTGAAGCTTTGACTTGTCATGGAGCTGGTAGGCACTACTGTACTTGGTGGCGAGCACAATATCGTCGCGATTGCCTCGCGATGCGAGCCATTCGCCGACCCATTCCTCGGACTGGCCGGCCTGGTAATTGTTTGCGGTATCGATGAAGTTACCGCCCTGAGAGTAATAGTGATCCATGATTTCGAACGCGGTCTCCTTGGTACACTCGCCCATTGTGGCTTTCTGCTTCTCTCCAAAGTTCATGGCGCCAAGAGCGAGGGGGGACACGCGAACGGCCGCCGTCGGGGAAAGCTGGCGATGCCGAGCCAGGTAGGTGTCTAGGGGTTGTTGAAGTTGAGGGGCCATATTGGATGGTTTTGTGTGTTAAGAAAGTAAGGTATTTTATGGGACTGTTTTCACAACAACCGGTTGGCGCTGGTAAAATGAATTATGATGTGAGGTTTAGAGTGTATCACATATGTTATAAAAGAGCTGTCAGCAGTACTTATAACATTCGCTTTCATGACAGAGCACAATATCTCGTCATGGCACTGAGCAGGTTTCCCACAACAAGACTTAGCGTGCTGCTCCTACATCGGCATTTGGCATCTCAGTGACTAGGATCAGATGCACACCATCGATCAACAGCGTTCGGAATTAAGTTGGAGAAGTCCTAACGCATGGAGCGTACAACGGACGTCTCGCTGATATCGGTTGAACAGGACGAGGAATGTGGCAGCATGCTAATGCTAGGACTACATGATTGCGGGTTCGGGGCACGGAGATGGCAAGTCGATTGGGCAGCAAGGCATGATCCGATTCCGAGCTACAGACGGAGATTGCTTCACCTTGGTGTAAGGAGGTGGACGGTAGTCCATTTCTGGCAGTGGACATTAGTTTCGTTGACAATACCCCCCTACAAACCGAAGCAAAGAGTCATAAGCTGCCCAAAAGCGACGTCAGCAAAGAAGATTGAACAGACTCGGATTTAAGAATGATGCTGTGATTTGGCGGCTGTATGTTTAGTCGGGGAAAGGAATATGCTTCTTTGACGTTGATGGTCTACCTCAGCCTCGAAGCGAAGGTCCACTTGATCCATGCACACTACTGCAGCCTGCTGACGCGGTACGTACCGCTGTTTGATCACTACCCCAACTTCTCGTCCTGCAACCTGCTGACGCAGATGATTCAGCAACTGTAGACACCTTGGAATCCTTGTGACATCAGAGCGTTTCTGGAATCACTTATTGAGGTAAGCGTTACGGAAGAGAAACTTAGCTTAGGAAAAGTTTTAGTCCGGCTATCGCCTCAAAGAAGGTTTAGGTGTGTTGATTACCAATGTGACTTAAAGTATCGTTGATACTCACACGCGTAACCTCTAATTCCGTGCTGGTGTTCACTATTGCTCACTTGGGATGTAGGCAAAACTTGTAAATGAGAACATTGAAATAAATACACCGAATGATGTTCGCCTAATTTAAACACTAGTTGTGTAGGATATCATGACAGAAAGATGCGGGAATATCATTCGAGGAAGATCTCATTTGCTTGCTCGCTGGAAAGAGAATTGAAACCTTCCAACTCCTAATTAGTCTAATTCCGAATGCCACAGGTAGATGTAGTTCTGGAACAGCAAGGCAATATGCCATTGATCCAGCAGTGACAAAGTTGCTCAAGTCTGTTTGGTGGCAATCGCAAACAAGTGACAGGTGTCTTCATCAAAGTGTCCTGAAGTACTGACCGTCTATGTGACAGCGGTGCCCCATGTTTTCCAAGTACTGATCCTCAACTCGTATATCACCAAGATTCAGAGCTATTCCAAGTTATAAGAGTGCAAGTGAAATGCATAATGGAATAATGAGATTTCTCGGATATGAGTAAGTTTTATTCATCAATTCGATATGTCTATGCAATGCTGAGAGATAATATTACGCTTACACTCCATCCCATTAATTAAATTGCGAAATCAAATCAAACACCTTGCTTAGTGCAACCTTTTTCAAGAGTATGAGATGTACAAGCCATTATCGGCATCATCTTGCATGAACACACGACCATCTTGTCCATTGTTAAGGTTGACTGCCAACTCCACAACGATTCTCTCCTCACACTTCACACTCGGGCCGCCGTGTGTCGCAGGGGCGGAGAATTCAGGCTGGTCCCAGAATGTGAAATCCATGCCCGCCGAGAATTCGCTGCCTTCTTGGAACGGCGTGATGGTCGTGGGGTTGATCAGAACGTTGCTTCCCTTGGTCCATGTTGGGAAGCCTTCGGACTTGAGCTGGCGTGAAGAGACGAGGTCGTTGCCGTCGACGCGGAACACACGGGTTTCAATTGGTCCCTGGCGCCAGCCGAGTGAGCAAGTCGTAGCCGAAGACGGAATGCCGGTGAAAATGACGACCTGGCGGGTGATATTGGTGTGGAGGTCGAGATGCGGGACGTTGTCTGTGGGATGGTTCGGTTGCGTGGCGGATTGATAGATGTTGAAATGTTGAGGATGAGCGATTATGCCCGGTGTTAAGGCTGGGGTGCACTCGCGAGCTGCGTGGGGTAGCGACGCAGCGAGAGAAATGATGCTGCCCAGGGCGAGGATGAGCTTGGAAGACATTGTATTGCGTTGGAGCCAAGCCTGAATAATAGTACGAAGTATGTTTTGGGTAGGTTGGAGCAAGTTGTGATGCGACGAAACTCTGAATTAGAGAAGCTAGTTTGGAAATGAACTGTTGAGGTAGTGGTAGTGGTGGATAATCTGGAAAAGAGCCGTGGCTTTATGTATCACTGAAAGGATGACCAGCGCTCTCACGATGGCCGCATGATTGCTATGCTCGGTGAGGCTGGAGCTGGAGCTAAGGTGGGCTTCCGTTGGAAGAGTGTCACGACGGGCCTAGCCTGTATTACGGCTTGCGGCAGAGCTCGAACAAGCCTCGATGCAGACCTCAGTAAGTTCGCCAAGTGGTCCGCAGCAATGGACACAAGACCGAAATGTCATCCGGATAAGCATAAACATAGGCTTCCGTCAATGGTTTCCAACTTCGCCTCGCAGAAGCTCTGGATGAACCACAGCGGGATCCGATGAACTTCAGCTGATCTCGGTGATGCACGTGTTGGAAATGAAGCGAAGGGAAAGTGCAAGGCTAAGTGCGAGTCGGAGCACAGCATACATACAAAGTTGGAGAAGGATTAGGATCTAAATTTAGTCGTCAGCATTAGCGTGTGAAGGATTCAGTGGATGGCTTGGTGAGCGACTGAGGCTTAGCACACAAGCTTGGTAGAGCAGACGCACAGTGGTCTGGAACCTGATTGAATTGAATCAAGTACCTTATGACATTACATGTATATGAACCATGTGAGACTGGCAAAATATTAGTGCCATTTTATGTCTCGTTTTCTTTAGGGAGAACGACAAATCTCTTGTTAACTTCAATGCTCAAGTTGTGGCATTTGTAATTGAGCAAATGGAGTGGAAGCAGATGTCGTACTGGCGGCATCCTTTGCCTTAGTCATCACACGCTAGGTGATGGAAGCGGTAGCTGCTATCACTCAGGTAGCAATCTCTCACCGATCAACAATTGGAGGTATGCCTCTACACTTATGATACATTGGTCGGGAATTTTGGATGAACTGTTTCAAACTTGGAGGAAGCCACACTATTTCCTTCCGAGACTTTGCTCGCATTATCCCATCTCCGACTTCAAGTCAGGAGCAGAGGGAAAACCAATGCCCCTGTTTTACCCCGCTTCTGACGATATCACACAATGTCACAAACACCTCAGCTTCTACTGGACAGCCCTACCCTCATTGAATGCGCTTTTTGCCAGGGCCTTGGATTGAATAGGATCAGTCGAGATCATGGCTCGAATCTGTCGAATCTTGTTATAGTTGACTTACGTCAAGTGCACAGCCGTTCTAGTGCTGGGTGCGTTGGATGCTCCGTCATTGAAAAGGCATTGGCACACTTGTCTCCCGAATGGAGAAACTTTACGACTCGCTCTAAGTGTGAGAAATGTCGGCCAGAAGCCTTTAGACTGTGTAGGACAGGCGACTGCGCCAAGTCGGCGTTTGCTCTGCTTCCATTGGTGGAAACGACAGAGCTGTGCTACCCATTTCACATACTCGATGATCTAGCCGCTGGGCCTGAGAGGAACCTTGAGCTGTTCATTAAGAAAGGCAATGCCCCTGGACGCCCAGAGAAAGGAATGTTGCCGCTGATAAGAATGTCTTAGGGCGGCCACTCAATGTTGAAGAAACCATTCTCATGACTCAAGGGCGAAGTTCTGAACAGAGCTGGCAGGTGAAGCTGCAACAAACAAATGCATGGATCCATCATTGCCTCAACAACCATCAATGCAGTGGTGGACTAGCAGCCAAGACATTTCAAGAAGACCATGAAAATGTAGTTGGTGGCAAAAATGAGAAACATTCAGAAAAAGGTGAAAGCTCAGGCGCGAGTCTTCAAAAAACTCCATTTCTTGAGGTTCACCGCCAGATCTCAAAATCACCTCGAAGAGTCCTTGACCTTCGACAGTTTGGTTCAGAGAAACGGCTGCGTCTCATGGATTCTATGGCGGATTGTGGTGTTTATGCCTGTCTGAGCTATACATGGGGTCGACAAAATACGGCTGTGACAACAACACAGAATCTTCATGATCGCCTAGACGACCTCCCGTTCGACAGTCTTCCCCAAACATACAAGGACGCCGTCACGGTTACTGCATTCTTGGATATTCCCTTTTTGTGGATTGACGGTCTTTGTATCATTCAAGGCGATACCGACTCAAAAGACTGGGCCGAGCAGTCTTCACAGATGGCGGAAATCTACGGAAACGCAATTCTGGTGATTGCGGCTGCTGAATCCAATAGTGTTGAGGAAGGCTTCCTCTCTACACCACAGCTGCCACGAGAACTCGTCAAATTCCAATCTTCGGCATTGGGAAGTCTGGAGAATGGGAGCGAAGGAACTGGCTTGAGCGTGTTTGCCAGAGCTATGCTGGACCACAGTTGGCTTGGCTGGCCCACATTGGCGGAACCAAAATCCCACGGGACACTGAGCCGCAGCTGGTGTTTCCAAGAGGATGTCCTTGCATCTCGACTCCTCACCTTTTTTGGAGGCGAGATGAACTTCCAATGTCTTGAAGACGAATACCGATGCGAATGTGTATTCCCCGCCGCACCCCTGGGTCTTGTCACGATCAAGGAGCTGTACGAGCCTCGCTTGGAACTAGGCGATATGGAAACTCCAAATTGGATGTGGCAGAGTACCGTGGAGCACTACACCCGACGGAAGCTGACGGTGGCCACCGATAGGCTTACTGCACTATCTGGAGTCGCCCGGGTCGTGCAGTCAAGTCTCCGCACAAAGTACGCTGCCGGTCACTGGCTAGATCGCGACTTTCTGTGCAGCTTGTGTTGGGCGCCTGTAAGAAACAGGGAAACCGAGCGTACCTACTCACAAGATTACGTTGCTCCGTCGTGGTCTTGGGCTGCCCATAACGGACCTATCACCATGTGGATCCCTTATGGCGGTTCGGAAGAGCCAGTCACTCCGCGCTTCCTCAGTAAAACCGTTGTCCGCAATGTCGGCATCATCCCAGCAACAGAAGATTAAACGGGCGCGGTGAAAGGAGGAGGTATAACTGCTAGCGGCGTCTTTCTCGACATTTCGGTGCTAATGACATCACGAGATCAACCCGCAGGCGTCATGGTGAGAAGCTCAGAGAAAATCCCATTTTACTTCGATCGACCAACGGAAACAGTGAGGGACACTGACAAGTACTTTTGTTGGATTGTTTGCACATTGCCGAGCCCGCCTGTCAGTAAGAAGAGATCTGAAACATACTGTTTGATGGTACTCCGCACTATGCCTGGCGGACCTGCTCATTTTTGCGAGCGCGTAGGTTTCACCGACTTTGATGGAACAGCTTCCGACCCTTCTATGAAGTTTTTTAAGGGGTTTAGAGACTCCATTAGAACTGCCGTAATAATCTGATGGGTTTACATCCGAAATAGGGGTCTTGGTCAAGAGTCATATACCAAATTCAACTTTTGAGGTTGAATGGGTGCTTGAGCTATCACTCTCGCATCTCTGCAATATTCGCTATTATGGGATTCGTTGGAAAAAGCGTTCTTGTCAGGCAGGGCCCACCATCTCTTCAGCTATCGATACTCTTTACGGAGTAGCGAAGGATGATTTTGCCTTGAGTGATTTAGTTGAAACCCGGGTAGCTACTAGATATCAGACCCGAGTTATGAGAACAGAACTCCAGCACCATGTAGGAGAACAAGTGCACTCTCGGGATTCGACTCAGGGGGACGTTCGCTTAAGACTTGGCAGCTAAACGGGACGGAGGTGACATTTATTAATACCCGATGTTTCCATCCCATCTCAAATTCTTCCAGGGCACGGATGACGTACAAACCACCAATTAAGGAACATGGGCTTGTGCTGGAGTTTCAGATGGTCGATTTCCCGGAATTCCCTGTAATCCCTCCCGCTTGCCCACAAAACGTTGCTCTCCAGCGTCAGAGCGGTAGGCAGAAAAAAAGGGGGAGCTTTGCCAAAGCCGGGGCACTCAACCAATCAGCTTCACGTAGAGGCGGATTACTGATACTTTGAAACTCTCGGTAAAGTCCTGGGTGTATCAATGACTTCAATTGCAAAAACGAAATTGTAGAAAATGCAAAAAGACGAAGTGTGTTGAAGATGAATAATAATTCAGTAACCCTGGTTGTGGCAACTGAATCTCGTCATGTGATTTAATCCAGACGTGCGTTTGGTCATTTTCTCTTAGAACTATCCCCCCCCGTCCATTTCCTGTCTCGTTCAAGAAAGACTGAAATAAGCCCACAGAGCTTCGCACACCAGCTCAGCCTCACTAGAAGCGGAAATAGAAAGTACAAAGTGGCGCGTCAAGGATCATGTCCCGTGGCGGAGGCGGTTCAGTAAGGGGCTCCGGGGGGCACCTATGCCATTTTAGCCTACATCACCCCGCCCGGAGCGGAGGAAGCAAGGAAGCTTTCGCCTAGACCATCCCACCGGATTCTGCCGCCGCGTATGCTGTAGTGTACCGTACGCGTGGTTCATTCATTGAGCCGATCCTGATAATCTGAGCTTTCTATTGTTGAGCACATGGGGGTTCGCGAGACCTCCTATACTGTAGAGCAATAGAAGCCTGCATTGAGAAAGAAATTGTGACAGAAAATTTGGGCTTAACCGACGTCACATCGCTGTTGGTCAAATCTTTTTACGGATCTTGCCTGCCAATGAGACAAGAACCCAGTAGCCAAGTCCACAGAACACTCTAGGGAACTTCCTGAACAATGTAATGCATATTCATTGGAGTAGCTCCGCAATAGCCTTATGAGATTCCAGCCGTGAAGGGTATCATATGAAAATCGGCGTAAGACGTCCGGTATGGCCGAGTGGCCGGAACGGTGGGGGCACGGCCTCTTCCGAGGCTGGACCCGGTGGACGGGTGAACGTGACGTGACGGGCTGTCCGCAAAAAACTTCGAGGGGGGAAAGAAAGGAAAATCCCGCTCCGCCTTGCCCTACGGATGCCCGATGCCTGTGCGTTTTTCCAGGGTTCGATTCGGCTCGTGCATGTTCATCCCACATTCCGAAACGAATTGTGCTGGTTGACGTAGGTACCATCTAGGATGGACCTCATTCTAGAACAGACGAAAAAGGCACTGCCGTTGGCGATTACAAGGCCAATGCCTGTTTCTTCTTCCAGACTCCCACCAACCGCGCGGTTGCATAAGAAAGTTGTGATGATAGATGAACAACTACGTACACAGGTGGAGTCTCAGCCTCAGTGGCCTGAGCCGCGATATGGGATGATGGGGATGGATGTTGGTGGTTTTGTTGGTCAAGAAGCTTTTTTTTACCAGGTTTTCGGGCGGGGAGATCACGTTGTGCCACGGATCTCCCGGACAGAGATTCATCAAAGTTGGCTCACTTTGCTCTAGATAAATAAGGAACTTGAATCCCGCTAGAGAACTTCTGCTCAGACACTCATCACTTCTAACTCAAAGTAAAAGTAATCACTCTTACCTCAGTCCGTCACTACTACAAGCTATCTACAGCTTCAAACAATCGTTCAGCAACTACTCCCAAAAATATCACGAATATGCAGCACATCGGAAGCCTTCTTTTGGCCTTTGCCACCCTCACTGCGGCAGTTCCAGGAATTGCTCCGGCTAGCGTGAGGTCTGCTAAATCTTCTCACGTTCGCCGCGCCGACACCAGCTCTTTCCAGATCTACGCTTATGGCACTGGAATTGGTGGCCTGGCATTGTTCACTGCTGGAGGTAAGCTATTTCCCCGACTGCCAGTTCGACTTAAGCTTTGTCTACAAAACTGTAAACTGCCGGCCGATACCACCTGAAGATGGTCCCGAGTCTTCACCTAGTGTCTCTTCAGATGCAGGAACTTTACCGCCAGTTCGGCTCGGCCTAGGCCCCAACTGCCGAGACATACCCTTAGACTAACACTCATTTGCACAGGCGATGCCTACTTTGGAGACTACACTCAGTTCAACGACTCCAATGCCGCCCCAGTAATCTGTAAGTATCAGCTACCCCACTTTCCTTTCTCGGTGACTGCGGGACTGACCAGACGATCGATGACAGTCACCCCTGAAGAAGATGATACCGAGACATGGCTTGGAGCCCCTAACACCACCGCTGTGACTACCGCTCCTACCTGGTCCAACCTGACCTTCACCATCCCGACCGCCGACTCCGGCGTGCACAATGTTGCTTTCCTCAATAGCAGCGCGTCCACAACTGGCCGTAAGACCAGCGGCTTCAGCTTTTACGGCAACTTTGTGCTGGTCGAGGCCGAGGATGGCAGCTTTGAGTCTTGGTGGTATGCTACCGCCACCGACATCGATGGCATCTACAACCTGAGGTGGAATGAGACCGGCGATGACACCGATGACAAGATCATCTTGAACCTGAGAAGGACTGCTCCTTCCAACTAGGCTCTCAGCCATCTTTGGATTCTGTATGCATCTGGTACAAGTCAGGCTGGTGTTATCTTGCGGTTTGATAAATTTTAGCTCCGATCGCAAAGGTGATCACTTTAAGGAGTGAAGCTCATTTGGGCCTAGCAATGGCGCACAAAGGTGGAGTGTTTAGGATGGTGCAGATACAACTTCAATTGTTTTCTACAGTAAATTTATGTCTCTTATTGAGATGATCTTTAGTGTTTCATGATTTGAAAACCTCGAGTGAAAACCAGACAGCGCGTTGTATTAATGCAGACGAAGTAAATCATCAATCTGTAAGGAGACAATTACCTCCAGATCGTGATGACGAATTACCTTCTGCCAGACCTTCTATCCGCAATTCCGCAAGTACGTAAAGATATCACGACGGCTTCGGCCTCGTGGTCCCGGAAGTGGTTTGTTGTCGCCCCCGTCATATCGATATGCCCCACCCCCACAACCCGACCCGAGTCTTCCTCACCTGTGTTCTTGCCGAATCGGTCGCGACATAACCCCACAGTCTTTGCCGCACACCTCTTTCCACCTCCATCCTGAAGGATCTGACTATTTGGCGACTGTAACTGACTCTTGCTAGGGTTTCCGTTGTCATTTCGTAAAGGGCTCATATGGTTCTCCAGTGGACATAGCCAGTATCCAACCCCCTTTGTACGACGCTCTTGTAAGAGAAGGAAATATCAATCACACGCTATAGCAGCCAGCACGCCCGCGAAGTTCGCCCGCGCCTATGTCCGGGCCCAATGAGGCGCAACATACAAATTCAAAGACATCCAGTGTGTCTACTAAGCTTATAAGTACCCCTAGTGATGCAGACTATCCCTCCAAGTATAAGATAATGTTCAAATGTGTATTCCTATGTCTCTGACGTCCCAATTCTTTGACTTGAGAGTATGAAAGAAATAGAATCTGTATCATTACGTTTGGCTGTTGCTTCAAATAACTATATTGACGTTACCGCAGTCGGGGATATCTCAAGTACGGCCAAGACAAATGTGATACGCCAGGCACGCTAAAGGCGGAACATGGATTCCACCGCTTCTTTTTGACCTCAAAGTTGAAGTTTTACTTTGTATTAACCTGTATCTTCACGTGAACATCCGTCATGCCTCTTCTACGTAGAAAAATAGCCTTTATCGATACAAAAGCATCGATCACCACATGGATCCTCCGTCTTTCCAGTCACAACTCGCCAGAATCTACTCCACTCTCTTCATTCCCCACTATATCTGTTGCTTTCTGTGCTGCAACAACTTGCTGAGCAATCTCGGTCCAGAACCCACACGCCTTCTTCGTGTTCTGGTCGTCTGACTGATCTAGGAGGAACGCAGGCTGGCCGCTAGGCGCATACACTGTGAGCACATTCTCCAGTTGGTCTCCACTATTACCATCGGCGACGGGCCACTTTGGCGGATCTCCCTTGGGTACATGCGGCATTGGGAGTGTATTCGGGTCGCCACTTGACAGAGCAAAAGACGCGAAGTAGGTCTGGTACGCCTGAGCCACGTGCGTATCTACAAGTAGGGAAGCATATTGCGCGGCTAAGGGGACCTTGTTCTTCTTCAAGATATCCTTGGCTTCCTCGAGGTTGTTGGAAAAGAGAGCCACTAAATCCGCCGCGTGGCGGGCAAGCTGGCCGATAGGAAATCCGTATCGCATCATACGCGCTATACTTGGATATGCGGAGTATAGATCGCGAGTGTTACAAACAAAACTGGCGTCGCGGATCACAGTGGCTATGCAGAGCCTATAGTCGCCGTTATAGGGGGATTGGGCACATGGGTATTGGGCGGTTATCTGTTGACGTTGAGGCGCGAGCTTGGCTCCTGGCAGGAAGATGTTGAGGAATGCGTTAAATGTGTCGAAAGAAGTCACCCACGACGGAGTAAAAGAAGCGCTCTCGTTCAGGGTGTGCGACACAATGATTGACTGGATGGACTTCCAATAATTACCTGGAGGCACAGAGTTAGCGAGCATATAAAACCACAAAGCGATCATCGCAGAGCACATGATCCAAAACTCACCACTTGCAAATGAAATGGTCGGAATTGTGGTGATCCATTTTCCGTCCACAGCTGGTCCAACAGGGAAAAGACCCGTCTGTCTGACAGTGTTGAAGAGCTGCTGGTTTGCTGCTGTCAGGTTGGTGGACTTCCTCAAACAGTCGATATCAAAGGTCAAGCCACAGCCAGCAAGACTAGAGAAGTTCTGGTAAACCTGATCCAACTTGCCCTTCGGTTTATTGTCCCACGCCCATTCGAATGCCGGGCTCTGGATAGCAAAAGTTTTGAACGTGGGATCCACAGCACCGTCTTCGCGAATAAGATGGTGAAGGATAGACCCGGCGCCTGCAGACTCGCCCCAGGCACTGACCTTGGACTCATCCCCAGAGACCTGACCAATGTACTTCTGCACCCATTGGAACAAAAGAGCCTGGTCGTACAGTCCCGCATTTGGCTGAGCGTTCTTTTGCATATAGTCTCCTGAAAGCCAGCCGAAAGCACCGAGGCGATAGTTGCCAGCGACAAAGATTGTCTGGTATCTGCTTGCGGTAATAACGGATCGACCAGTATAAAGAGGACCTAGCTGGTTCTTACTGCCGAAGGCGAATGCGCCGCCATAGAGCCAAATAACTACCGGCAAAGCCTTCACCTTGGTCGATTCAAATGCAGTCTTTGGTACGTAAAGGTCGAGGAACAAGCAGTCCTCGCCTTGCTTCGTGACTTGGTCATCTGGGGTATCGACAGGATCGTCTCCGCCTGGTGCATTATCGACATCTTTCGGGTCAATCTGGATGCAGTTTCGTCCATCGCTGACGGGCTGAATAGATGAATTTACCCATGTAGGGAACGCTGGAGATCCAAATCTTGGAGGATTGGCGCCGAAGCGGACGTTCTCAAATAGATAGATCTTCTCATGTCATTAGTTGGAGGATAGGCAGTGAATTGGACTTAGACGTGTTCACAGCGGTGCGAAGCGCCTACATTTGCGTCATCCTTCATGGGTTGACCTTGGTATACTCCCCATGGGAGGTTGAGTATGGGTGGTGCTGCAGCCTCTGCATTGAGAGTTGGGAGATGGGCAAAGCCCATAAAGCCATACACTAGCAATTTGGTAAACATGCTGAGGAGAAATGGTGGAAAAAGAGGAAGTCTGTCGATACTTGGGAGGGACAGTGGCTGCAGGGCCAAAAGACCCCGGTCAAGTTGAAGTATTTATGATCTCATGTTGTCATGCAAAGCTCCCTTTACTAATGATTGTCTCTATGCTAATTTGTAATGTGATGTGGCACTGATAGTAATCGATCCGTGCTAGTACGGTGTGGTTTTCAGTGAAGAGATCTTTCCTGCTGTGCCTGCTCAGTCGCTAGACTTTTAACAGAGGCTGGCATGACATCGACGGACATGGGCAAGATCGTCAAGCTTTCAGCCAGCCATTATTTGCGCCTGTAGAGGTGAAGACTAAGTATGCACCTTAACGTACTTCCGAGACCATCCCTGCGCCCGTGGCAGTCGGAACGGCACGCAACTCCCTTAGGGCAAGTGCGACCATACGACCCAGGCCATGTGGGTCCCGGGGATGCGGGAAAATGAGACATGGCTTCGTAGCATACTGCGGCTGAACCTCGATATATCATATTTCATAGCAGATCATTCATGATGTTCACACACCACCAAAAATATGCCCAACTTAGGCAAGACGTGGCGTCCTGCGCGCCGGTCCTAATACATCATTGGCATGAGCGTTAATTATTTTCGGTGACGGTGTGCGGTCACGTTTGGTAGACATTTTGAGTGAAGCTACGATTTGATCCCGAATACGACTTTTGACCTCTGAAGCCAATAAGGTGTCACATGGGTGTCACCGGCCGATCTTAGGGCCGATGGAGTCATCGCATATTTTGACCTTAGGCATGTCAGCAAAGATCAGTAGGAGCTTCATAAATGTTATTTGATCAAGCGGGTCTAGGCCTGTCAGGGCATAATGGCACCTGTCTCCTCCTAAACAGGATGGTGGCAATGAAAACTGAGAGTATTGACTTCTTCTCACAACATTAATAAAGAAGTCCGCATATAATAGAAAAAGGACTAAACCAAAAAAAGATTCAGAACAAATAATTAGAGTTCTTGGCAAGCACTTCAAGCGTATGCACCTAGGTGCTCATCTCCGGATGACACAATGGCAGTTGTTCTATCAGCGGGACCAGTTAGTTACGTACACTGAGACGCCGCATGAGAAATATCATTAGCTAACCAAAAGCAATCCAGTCAGCTCCAACAGCGTACAGCAGACTATCGTCCCAGGTTTCCCCGTGCCAAATGAACCCATCTGGGGTGATCTTGTCCGCAAAGACCTTGACCCTTAGCTTCTTGGCACTATCCATGTCCAGCTCACTCAGACCAATGAAGACTTTGGGCGTCTTTTCGAATGCACCATTCCCCGCGAAGTTTACCTTGACTTTGGTCTTTGCCACCGGGGGAAACCATTCCCGCACATTTGAGGAGCTGACCTTGCCGCTCTGGACCCCTTCCTGATCTGCGGGGTGGGCCACCCACGAGGCGCTAGCGCTGTAGCAAACGGTGTCTGCCCAAGTCTCGATGACCAATTCGAAGCCTTTGTGCGTGACTGCTCGGGCAAAGCATCTAATCCGCCAATTTGCATCCTTTCCTAGGTCAAGGCCTGTCAACCAAGTTATGATTCTGGGAGGCTGGCCCTCGGCGTAAGCGTCCCGCGGGAATTCAATCTGCGTAATATCTTGGCTCAGAGTCATGCCAGTGGCATCATCTCGAACCCGCTTCGCCAGCACTCCAAGGTCTCGATCTTCAAGCGTGCTATAGGAACCCACTGTTCAGGCATCATTAGCATCTTGGATTGAACTTTGGAGAATCTCAGCTTAGTATGCGGCCCATACCTTGGTATTGTCGCTCATCTGGTGAGAATTCGAGCCATGTCGCACCGGCATTCTGCATTACTGAGTCAGACCAGGTGTCCATGTTAAGCTTGAAACTTTCTTTGGTGATAGCCTCGGCTCCAAGCCGAACCCGGATGTTTGCGTTGTTTGTCTCGTCGAGCTGCGTCAGGCCGAGAGCCATCAGAGGCGGGGCGAGATATGGAGGAGTGAAGTCAACTGCCTTCGAATTCAGAGCCACAACGTTATTTTCGGATGTTCGAATTCCCGGTACAATGTCAAGCTTGCCATCGTTACGCGTACGAAAAGGGTATACCCTGTTGATGAAACTCTTGTCGTTGTCTGAAAAGTTCAGGTTCTTTGGGGCAGATTGCCTGTTCACGGTCCACTCAGGAGGGAACCAATAGCACATGATTGAGTTAGAATCGAAGGATGTCTTTGTCAACCTCGTTAAGTCGGGCTCCAAGTTCAGAATCTGCTGCTTTGTGGTTTCCTCGTCCCACTTGTAGCGGGCAAGACAATCAGCAATGACGCGTGCCCTGTCCCATTCGATCCGGTTGGCTTGGTGTTCATGGACACAACCGATGGCGTGGCCAAACTCATGCAAGACAAAGTGGCAGATCTCGCTCTCCCTAGAGTTGTCGTTGATTTCGTCGAAATGCATGGTGGGTTGTTTCTGCGATAGGACGAACTTGGTCGCGTCCCTGCCAACATACGACCAGGTACCTGCGTATCCCGGCAGTCGGAAACCGATTCGGATGTCTGCGTCGGCTTTGTCGTTCTCGGCCAAGAACTTGAAGCTGATATTGGCGAACTCTTCCCATCTCTGCGCCCAGTATTTCACACTCTTTTGGACCTGGAGACTGCCATTCAAAAAACGAACGTGAAGCTTCTTGCCAGCGGGCCAGAACTTGTCACCATTGACAGCCAGATTGGAAGGAGCGCCATCCTCGCCAATAAGATTGCCTGCAGGAATAGGTTCTGAGCCTGTCTGGAGACCATCGGTGCCACAGAGGGGAAAGAAGATCGTGCTTGCAACAGACATCGTGGATAAGCTATCTGGGGTTCGTAGATACAAATTACGGTTTGGAGTGATTTGATGGATATAATCGAAACTGACAGAAAGTTAAGCAGCGGTGGGAATCCATTTTCAGCGGATGGTCTGATGTGAGCCTTAAGAACTAAAATACAAGTCGCGTTCTGTGATTATACATCTCGAATCTCAATATCCAAAACATTATCAAACACTCCGCAAACGACCGTTTGCGGGCTATCGCTGTAGACAGAGCCCTTCATCGAGGCTGCAGTGTCACAGAAGAGGCCAGACACTTCACTGCAAACTAAACCACTTATGAAGGTCTGGGAACGAAAGTTTCCTCTCCTGTCACTCGTACTCCCTGGCCTCTCCCATAAAAGAATCAATGAGCGTACTTTCGAAGCCCGCCAAAGGTTGTAGCCGTACTCCAAAGAGGTACTGCCCTGGCTATCCCGGTCGAGAGATACATGTAATCACCGCGCGTAAGGCCTCGCTCGAGCGCCGATCAATGCGGCAGGTAGTCTCAGCCAGCCAGCCACTCCGTCTCCTCCGCTTCCAGCCACCCCTGCCTATCCCTGCACAGGTTTGACCAAAGCTAACATCGTTAAACAGCCAATCATAACTTGAAGGGTCACCTATCTGTTTGTCGATCTATAGATCCGCAATTTACCTGAAAGCAGTTAAACCTTACCCCGAGTATAACACGACATCTACCTAATTCCAAGACAGAAGTGAAGAGACCTTCTCCAGGAAATATGCATGTAGCTTTCACACCGACATTTCTGTCGCCATTTTGGCTGAGATTATCTCATGATGTCGAATCTTATGCCCAAGCTTGGCAGAAGGGAAGAGACACTCATGACTCAGTCCGGGTGCCTCATGTTAGGAAGCTTTGGATGAATTTGAGCGTACATTTGCGAGCAAATTTGGCGCAACCGTCTCAATCTACGTTCTGCTTTCGGCGTGCCTGCGGCTGAGTGCTACAATTTTTGATCATAGACAGAAGTAGATAAACTCCATAGGAAACAGCCTCACGGTCTGGCTTACACACCGACATTTCGTTAAGATTGCCCTCGAGACAATAGTCATCTGAGTGGCGGTAGGATGAGCAGATGCGTCTAGGGCCAGCAGGTTTCTCGCGTCATTTGTATGTCTTATGATGATGGGATTGGCAATTTGTGATGGAAGGGTACTAGCAACAGCGACCAAAATCTGCATCAACGTACCAGTCATAAACGCCAGTTTCAGCTCAGTCTCGAGTACAGTGGAGCAAGCAAACTTGAAGGCTGCTGTGTGGACTCTCTGGCTCCAGTCCCCTTTCATGCATGGGAGAGACTGTGGCTATGGCAGAGGCTGTCATTGGTGCACGAGCTCAAGATATTGAGAAGTGAGTAGCTTCAACAGTCCTTGCTCGGCTGCTCAAGGTTGAGGACAAGGCATGTGTGTGATCGGAAAGAAACGATCAGCTGGCTCATTTTGTGATGTATCATAGAGAGGAGGGAGGTTAGCGAGTTCCGCGACGAAATTAAGACATACGAGAGACAGTCCAGGAGGGGTCAGATGAATCTCGAAGCGAAGGCTGAACTTGATATGCACAAGCATTGATCCACAATAGCACGGAAGAGAAGAGGGGTGGCCGCGGGCCAACTTTGCACTCGAAATGATACCCTGGACCTATCGACTGAGTGGCTATGGGGGCTTACAATCGACATGAATATAAAAACCAGTAAGGTCCCAAGTTTCTGGAGGGGAGATTTGTTACAGCATCGCACGGATTCAGACTTTTTCTTTGCCTACTCCCTGTCTATTCTTGGTAAACTACCAGTTCCCACTTAACGATCAACCATACTCCTTACACCACAGATCATCATGGCCGAGCAAAACGTTGGTGAGTGAACTTCGCTTCTCGTCGCACATCAATTAGCCTGCTTGGCTCTAATCATACGTGCCTCGTACAGGTGCCGTCGTTGCCCTTTCGCCCCCGGAGGAAGGCGACAATGTCTGGGAGGCGAAGCAGGTTGAACTCGTCCGCAACCTGCCACCCGGAGATGACCAGGGACGCCATTCTATTGACTGGAGCTTTGGACCTGTCAAGGTAAGTCTTCCAAAGGCTTTCTCCCCTGAGCAATTTCGTAGCATCAAGCAGCAGTAATTGCAAGATTGCTTCTGCAGGTGCAAAACTCAGTCATCCTTTGACAGATTTTAACTGAGCAAATGTTTCTGCGACATAGATCAGCGGCTACGTCGATACAAACACCTTTGAAGTCGGTCTGACCGTCTCAATCGCCGGCATCAACATTGGCAACATTTTTGGCAATCTCAAGGACGGTGTTGGTCTCAAGATCAACCTTTTGGCTGCTAAGGGCGAGATCAGAGTTTACCTCAAAAACGGGAATGAGGTCTGGATTCACCTTGACGTCAAGATTGTCTTCGATGGCCACTATGAGGGAGATTACAAGATCATCACTATCTGATAGATATTCATGTCCGCATGGCCACCAAGCTTACATGTACGGTACCTAAAGCTTGATACTAAATGTTAGCCATTGCGAGACCGACAAATAGATTCATCGTTATTTGTCGCAAAGGATTCTAGCAACAGTCTTTACTTTACTTGACAACAAGAGTCCAACTTGAAAGTCGTTGTTTGATTTAAATGCGGATCAGTTGATTGAGTATGATATAATGAAGCATTTATCATTGATCTTGAGACTTGTCCGGACATGGCGACTTGCTGCACAAAAGAATGTGAATCACAAAAAGACTTACGTCAAATGGGGGTGTCATCTTATCAACTACCGCGCAAAGTGATTGAAATTCGTGAGAAGGCGTCTGGTGACGGGGCAGAACAGAACATAGTAGGAGCTAGTGGAAGGCCGACAACGGGTAAAGGGGCATCGCCCAGTAATCAAAGACATTGACATACCTTCAAATCTAATTAGATGAAGAACATTTAACAGCCTCGAGGTGGTTTCCTATTTGTAGTTCCATGGTGGCTAATAGTATAGACAAGATATCATAAATTAGAGTCCGCTGGAATCCCAATTCATCTTGCAACAACTGAAAGTATGCTACCATCGACTGCCATGGCCACTCGGTGCGTCTTGGACAAGATTGTGTTTACATCAGTTGTATTGTTACGAAAGGTATTTTTCTTCGGAGTTCGAAGGTGGTTAGAATTCGTCCTCTTCTCCGGCATACGTTTGACATCGTATCACCAAAAAAGCGAGGTGACTGGATTTCTCTGTGCAACCTCGTATTTCTACGCTGGTCTCGCTATCTAGATGTTCCAAAGCACGTCTCTGACCTCATTCATAGCCACATTGAACGCTCAGCAGCACGACAAATCACATACTGACTGAGGTGTAAATGGTGCTCAAGGGGCATACCAAGGGTCTTTACTGGCGAGGCTCTAGCATTTGCCAGTGTAGCAAGAAGTAGCGCCGCAGCAAACGTTCTTGTGGTTGGAGCAGGTGCAAGACCAGATCTGGCGACTGACAAGCTCGTTGACGACAGCTTCGGCGCGAGCCTCAAGGGCTTCAGCAGTCTCAATAGCGGGCGCTGCCATGGCGAAGGCGGCGAAAAGGCCGATGATCGTGGCGGAGAACTTCATTGTGGGATTTTGCGGAGATCTGAATATGACGGCAGTGGGCGTCAATGGTCCATGTCGCCACAAAAGGTGGGTGGAAGTTTAGCGGGGACTTACTTATCTAGTTGAGAATAGATTCTGTGAAGTTTGATTAACTTGCGGTGACCGAATTCGAATTCGAGGTTGTTGATGATGAGAATATGAGATAGAGAGGAGTGGAGGAGGGCTTTATTTATATTCATTAACTGTCTAAATTTCCTCGCGATTAGTTTGCCAAACCTCGAGACTATCCACAAGGCACCAGACCAAGCTGTCCCATCAAGAACAGGAAGGTGTTTCGGAACAAAATCCGTTCGAGTTCTAGCGCGGTGGCATGGAGGCACGGCAGCTACCGCATATCAACCGAATACGCTTGTTACGTTGACGGGAATTCGGGCATAGTAACCGTAAGCGGCACTTTGTAGTCATGATCAATTAGCAGATCAAAAGTCTTCGCAACGACAGACTGCATAGTATGACGGCTGCGTTAGAGAACTCAGCATAGGAAAGTGCAAACACGGGCTTCCCATGAACCCAACAGGCACCATGTCACAACATTATTTTCCACCTGTGCCTACCATTTCAATGAGTCCTTGGGAAGCATGAGAGTTGTTCAAACCTCAGATCAATGTGTCGAAGTTCAAAAACAAACATCGAGAATGAACTGAGGATAGGTACGGTAAGTACATCGCCAGACCATATCCATTGGGAGCAGGAGTTGTCATGGCCGAAGTCTAAAATCTGAGTAAATTCTTCAAAGTCGGTTTGTTCTGTTGCGCTCGAAGGAGTACGATCACCAAACTCTGAATGGAGATATAGGCACCGAAGGATTCGATTGCATCAAACTCGTACTTTATTGAGCCAAGCACTGAAGGATCTGTTTCGCGAGCGGACCTAGCTCGCTTTGTCTGCGGTGTGCATGCAGAAAAATCGACCAATGCGTGCTGTGCATGCCTCGCTTGAGTCCAGAGTTGCCTGATGTTGACAGAAAGGGGCAATTGTTGCGTTTGGGTCAAAATGACGACTCAAATAAAAAAAAGCCCCAGTCTGGGGACTTTTGAATATTCAAGGGATTGTCAACTTGATCGCGATGAGGGAATCCAGTCAGTACAGTCGTTCCAAGTCCTGAGGCATAAGGTGTATTAGATTATACAGCGGTGACACTAAGTACCCAGCTTAGGCATGTTGCAACTCGTATTTATCACCTGATTTCTATCATATTTCCCATTCCAGTCTTCGGCGCATCCTTCCGACGCCCGACTACAGTGATGCCTTGGTAGCTCAGCTCCCAGTATGAGATACTTCAAAATTCAGTAACAAAACACACAGTCCAAGGAACTTTTGAATCTGTGGTTCACAAACAACATTGAAGGAGTCAACTCAATTGCTTCAAGAGTTCGTAGTGCATTGACATATTACACTAGCCGTACAAGCCCAAAGTACCTCATGACTGTGGCCACTGCTCCGTCCCATCCGCAAAATGCCCATCTGTGCCTAGCATACCCCACAGATGCTCTAGCCGAACACCCCCAAACAGGTCCGTATTGCTGATCTCGGTAAACATACCCGACAAATCCGGAAGCCCAAGGTCCATTAGGTCAATATCTGGGTCCACATTGACCTCACCAACGTCCCTCGCTGGTGTCTGTGCAGTCTGTAAGGGTTCTGTTGTCGTTGTCTTCAATGAAGCTCGGTTCTGACGATGACCAGATACAATCTCTGACATGTTGGATTGCAGAACGGAGCACGCTTGGATGAACCGGGGGTTCTGTGTGACCTTTGTGTACTGCTCCTCCGCATACTGTGCTGCTATGCCCAGGAGCTCCAAGTCGGACCGGGCAAGCCGGGAGCTGGGTTGTTTGAGGATGTGGAGAGCGAGAGCTACTGCAGACATGAGAGGCTGGGTCATTGTAAAAATCATAGATTCTGATCTGTTGTGATGAGACTGAGCGAACATGCCGCCGTTACCGCCGCGCGGCGCAGGGGTTGCGTCGTCTGCGATTTCGCCAATGAGTCTGGCCATCGCTCTCGCCGACCCAATGCAGATCTCTGCGCCTCGTCTGAGTCTTGTGAGTTCGACGGATGACAGTGCCCCCGAGTCTGCTTGTGTGTTGATATGTGTTCGATACATCGACTCTGGGAAAACCAAGGCCGCCCGGTGGAGGGATATGAGGGCATGGTGGTAGTGAATAGCGAGGAAAATGGCAAAGTGCTGATGTCCCGTATCACACAGGTCGGCATTTCCACTATTAGGACCTGGAGGGCGGATCTCGGTCGGTAACGACTGGGCCCATTCCGTTAGTGCCGTATCTAGACGGACCGTGTCACCGAGAAGGATTCGTGATGTCTGGGATTGCCCGGAGCGGCGGTAAATGTGAGCGCTTATACTGCTGATAATGCGTGATAATGATGCCCAAGGTTGGAAGTAGTCAATAGTATGTCGATCACCCTGGGCTTCAGGGCTCGATGTCGATAGTGTCGAGGGTGCTGGAACTGGAACTGGGTCCGGCAACTTTTGGTCACAGTCCGAATCGTGGATCGCACTTGGACGGCCGGTCTCAAGCTCCATCAGCTTTTCGAGGGTGTAGCATACCCACCAGACTTGAGTGTTCAGTTTCCGGTTCGCTTGGTAGCCTGGCGAAGCTGCAGAATCTCCAGTATCTGGCGGGTTGCGGGAGTGCCGTGTTGAAGCATGTCGGTGAAGGCCAATGGAATGGGCGATGCGGATAGCTTGCCCAAGAGTCTGCCATCCTTGGCCCTCTTTGCTACGACCACGCAGTGCTATGGATAGGAGTAGTAGAGCTTGTACCGAAGCCAAGTATGGCGTGGATATCACATGCGCTAAGAGGCTGTACGCGGCAGTGAGGTAGTGAGTCCCAATCTCGGCCAATGTCCCGGTCTCTTCATCTGCACCGATGCAAATAATGCAGTAAATGGAGACTAGGAGTGGAACTTGGGATGGCTCAATGGAATTTTGTAGAGATCCGGACGCATCGGCGTCTTGAAGTGTCGTAAGTCTTCCTAATTCCGAGCGGATAGTCGGCTCGTCAAAGACAGGGAAAAGAGGGTGAATCCTCTTCATGTAAACATCTAGGTAGGCATCGAGGGTGGGAAGTGGAGGCAGAGGGGGGAGTTGAAACGATAAAGGCAATTGGAACTCCTCAACGTGGTGCATGCCGAAGCGGAAGTAGGGCGACAATGGCCGAAGACCGCGTTTGCGGAAGAAAAGATCGGCAAACATCGTCAGAGACTGTACACTGCTACCACCCATGAACTTTAGCCGATGTGGACTCTCATCAGTGTTGAGCGTCATGTCGGGGTTCAGATCCGCATGCTCATGAGGACTGTGATTTTCTCGCGCGTTGGCACGATATGCCTCCGCGACCCATGAAAGCTTTCGTAATGCCGCATCTTCGGCTTCGGAGCCGTCATCGTACGCCGGGGATAAGTACTGCCGCGGGCGCGGAGAGACGGCGCGAAGAGGATCTCGAGGTGTCTCGGAAACCCCCTGCACACTGCCGCCGCCCTGACTTTGTGTGCTGGCGCTCTTGGCCGCCCATTTCCGTACGGCGTGCTGGTTCGGATTTCTGGGGTTTGTGGTCTGGCATTCATCGCCGCGGAGGATGCAGTTGTGGCATTTTGGAGTCTGCGCATCGCACCGGACCTTTCTTTTGCGACATTGATTGCAGGCCAGAGACAGTCGAATGCGCTTCGGTTGGGAACTTTGCGGCTGTTCGCCCGAGCTGGATACGGAGTCGGGCATGGCTGCTGACGGAAGGTGAATGAGCAGAAGTTTTCGGTTGAGAGATCCGGACGGAGAGCCAGTCTTCTCCTCGGTCGAGGCCCGGAGGTCTTCCACGGCAAGGTATATACTGGAGACCCCTCATAAAGGGTCCTGTGTCACTTGAAAAACAGATGGGTTGCATTCGACAGGAAAAGGGATACGTGTGCCGGTTAGTTTATCTTGCATTTCCCCACGCGCGTCTGACCCGAGCGTGGGGCGCACTTGACGCTTCCCCATGCCGGTTCTGAACCTACTAGTGCCAATTCAGACCGCAGTCAAGGGAAACCCCGCGTTGGGAATCCGGGGGCGGGGGACTGCGGCATTGTGCCTCGGGAAGAAAGGCCACTCAATACACTGCCATTTGTAATGCCAGCTCAAGTTCTGCTTCATTGCTGCCAGAGCTGCGGATACCTCAGACTACGTTTCAGTTAGTAAGATGTGGGTATGTAATATCCAGTTTAAGCTATTTCCTCACGCGGGCTACGATCCGACTGGGCGATGAAGCCGTACCCAGAAGCCAAGAGTCACCCATACCTACCTATAAACTACTGACCTCACGCCTGCTGTCTAATTGATGAATATCGAGAAAGAAGCAGAAATTCTCTGGTCTGGACATGCAAGTCAAATTCGGTCATCAAAACTCCGGTGCAGAAGAGATCATTGACGCTTGACTCAGTACTTGCTTAATTATCGGTTGGCGAGTTAAAGATCTGGATCAACGGAGATGGTGGGAATCTTTGCAGGATCTGAAGTTGGCAAAATTGTTGGAAAAGCAAACCAATTGCATACGAAATCGTATAATCGAAATCATAGAATAGCATGTTCTCTCAAATGAGACTAAGGCCTGGACTATCAATATGCCTTCACCGCCGCCAATTGCAACAGCCTGTCCGTCACAATAGGCTTCTCCAGAGGTTCCTCGCGCTCTTGTGGGTCAAGAACCCCGTCCCTCTTTGCCTTTCCTTGGGGATGGATGTTTGTGTGCGGCCAGTGCGTGGTACCTCCCCATGAACGAAAAATGTTCGCTTTCTCCTTCAATGCCTGTGGGTCGGCGAATTTGACGGGCGTGAAGCAGACGTACTGCGCGTGTCTGATTTGAGTTCCCGTGGGATGTTTGGCGTAATGCATCGATCTTGACACGGTCAACATGAAGGGTTCCTAAACACTGGAAACAGGTGCTGTAGAGATGTAAACATACCGTGAATCCCAGAGCACCAGGTCGCCTGGCTCAAGGTTGGGTTTGATGAGGCGACACCCACGATCCTCGAACCACTTGACATCCTCTTCCTTGAAAATGAACAGGTCACGATAATTCGCTTCGGGAGGTGGGGCGTCTTCATGGTTTGCCATTTCTCTTGTCTCCTTGAAGAATTGATCGTAGAGCTTGGCGGAGCCATCCATCAGGATGAGGCCGCCATCGTCATCCCCATTGGGGGCGAAGTTGAGAAGACCTTGAATGCACTGAAGGCCCTTCCTCTTGGGATCCTGGTCTGGAATTCCTCTCTTAGAGAACGAAGTGATTGGGTGGTCTGCAGGTAGACTTACCACAGTGGGGCCATGGAGACCACTTCAAGTCCTTCTGGCGAGGAAGCGTAATGTTGAACATGTCAAAACTGACCAGCAACTCCTCTGTCTCCCAGATATGAATAAATGGGTTCATCACTCCAGGCTCCCTATCAAAAGTTCAGCTCACATTACACGAGTCCATGGACCGGTGCCACTCACATTCTTGCTTCCCACGCGAATCGCTCATGTGGGGCGCAGTAGGACCCGTACATGCCACCCTTGAACGAGACGGGGAGGTGCTCAGAGGTCCAAGTGTCTTCGTTTTCCGGATCAAAGCCACGATTGAAAGACTTGAGCCATTCGACCTGCTTTGATTTGTAATACTCAGCTCGTTCAGGAGTAATAGCGTTCTTAATGATGGCGTAGCCATGTTCGAAGAAGAAGTCGCGCCAATCGCCGTAGTTTGACTTTGGGGTTAAAAGGCTCTCCGACATGATTGAAGTTCAAGAGTGAGTACTCTGTCAGATTGGTAATGCGTTTGCTATGACGATTCAAGAAGGTGTAATCACGTAGTCGGGTCTATTGAAGAAGATGCAGTGAATCTGGATTATCCTGTCATCTTCTCTTTGACTTTATGTCTCCTCTCTTTCCTGCCAACAAGTAGAGATCTCAACCGTGAACCCGTGAAGCTATTCTGAGACCACAAGTCAGGCTTCCCCGCACAATCACGTCCCTGAATCGATCTCTCCTGTATGAGTGTGCATTCCCTCGGGCTTCATCCTAGGCCCGGTTCGGTCATCCGTTTGACCCTTGGCTGATGAGACAGCTATTATGGCCGCGGACTCTTCGGTTCGGTTCGGTTCGGTTCGGACGGGCTCTCTGGGCTCCTCTTCTCCGCAATTTCGTAGCAACGGCGGGGCCGGCTGCCCCTCGATCTTGGCTAGATCTGGTGCGGCGCACTCCTCGCCCCACAGAATCGTGCATATCCGCCTGGGGATGCCCGCTCCGGGCAGAATTAGACCGAGGCATTCAAATTATGGAACTTGAGCTTCGCGACAACGCGATGTTCTCGTATAGCCATTGAATCATCAGACGCGTTCCATAAAAAGAACTTTGTTTGCATGTTCAGTGATATGACGAACTCGTGATACCCCTTTGCCTCACCGTATCTCAATTATTCAGTCCCAATTGTCAAGTCGCCACATCCAGCCATGCCTCTTCCCATCCAGATTGCGTATAAGCCCATCGGTAAGCCTGAGATCGGCACCAACAACTACCAAGGCTTCACCCCAGGTCGGACCGAAGTTCTGCCTAAAGGTTGGAACGGCTACAATGCAAAGCCCCTTGAGAGCGACATTCGAATCGATCACGATGTCGAGATCAAAGTTAGAGACGGGTGTAGACTATACATTGACGTATACCGCCCAGCGGACAGCACCGAGAAGATCCCCGCCATTGTTGGCTGGTCACCCTACGGCAAAAAGTACAGCGCACTTACCATGCTCCCGATGACGCCATGGTCCTGCTGCGTGAAGAAGAGCGACCTCAGCGGCCTGGAGAAGTTCGAGGGTCTCGATCCGCAGCGGTGGTGCCCCAAGGGGTACGCGATCATAAGCGTCGATAGCAGAGGCGCTGGCAACAGCGACGGTCAAGTCCCAATTATGGGTTTGCAGGATGCCGAGGACGCTTACGATGTTATTGAGGCTATTGCAAAATTCGACTGGTGCAACGGAAGCGTTGGTATGGCGGGCAACTCTGCGCTTGCTATTGCTCAATGGCATGTCGCTGCTCTGAACCCTCCATCCCTCAAAGCCATTGCACCATGGGAGGCGAGTGGTGATTTATTCCGTGAGCAGTTCGTTCGAGGTGGCATTTTCTCCATGAGCAACTTCGATCTTATCACCAGTCTCATCATCAAAGGCAACTCAGGTGTAGAGGACTTTGCGGAAATGTACCGCAGAAGTCCCCTCTCAAATATCTGGTGGGAGGACAAGCGTGCAAACATGAAGGCAATTAAGATCCCGGCCTACATCTCCGGGTCAGACTTTAGTTCTATCCACACAATGGGTAGCATCAGAGGTTTTATGGAACTGGATACTTCCGACAAATGGATACGATGGAGCGCGTGGCAGGAGTGGTTTGATCTGTACAGTGTGCCGGAGACAAACGAGGATTTGGCGGTAAGTCTCCCAGTCCTTTCCAATGCTCCTTGTCAGGCATCATGCTAATCATCGCTTCAGAAATTCTTTGACAGATATCTCAAGGGCATCGAAAACGACTGGGAGAAGACCCCCAAGGTGCGGTGGACATCATTGAAGTTCGGCGACCGAGAGCCAGAAAGCGACATCATCTTTGAAGACTTCCCTCCACCAAACACCGAATACAAGACCTTCTATCTCGATAACGAGAAACTGTCCGAGTCTGCTCCGTCGAACTCCTCAACAGTATCCTACAACTCCGAAGATGGCAATTCGCTTGTCAAGTTTACATACACGTTTGACAAACCCTCACGCCTCATTGGCATTCCGAAGGCAGTCTTGTACATGTCTTGTCCTTCACACGATGACATGAACGTCTTTGTCAACATCAGAAAACTCGATAAGGACGGGAACCCGATGATGCATCTCTGCTTCCCATTCTGGGCTGCACCAGTCAAGTCCATTCATGACATCCCTAAGAAGGAGCAGAGTAGCACAAATTTGCATCTCGGCTCGGTCGGTCAGCTGAGGGCCTCTCATCGAAACACTGATCCGGAGCGATCGATGCACCCTCAATTCCCTTTCCACCCCCACGACAGGGAGGACAAGGTCCCACCTGGCACCATTGTGGAGTTGGAGATCGGCATCTGGGCCATGGGTGTAGACTATGAGGCGGGTGAATCTGTTCAGGTGCAGATTGGCGGTCAGTTTCCCTCCATTGCTGAGTACAAGGCATTTTCTACTGAGCGGCCGGATTATGAGAGGAACAAGGGCAAGCATTTCATCCACTGTGGGCCAGAGTACCAGAGTCGCATTATCCTTCCTTCCATTCCATCATAGTCTTCTTATGGCTAGGTTATTGCAGCAGAACAGCAGATATCATAATGGAGACCCATGAAGTTCTGGATTTCTTTCGAGAGCCATCCTGAAACCCACAATCAAGTTTGAGTGACCTACATCTAGCACTACGTTCTGAGGGCTTCTTACCTTCCGATGAAGTAAAAGCATTGAATGCCATCGAAGTACGACTTTTCAAAAAGAACCCAATACTGTGAAAATGTTCGAAGTAACAGCACTGTCAAACTTTTGTGGCTTTGAGTTGCTGAAAACGTTACGACGTCGGGTGTCAGTCAGAGGCATTCGGGTGTTCCCAAGTTCAATCCGAGTCTGCACGATTCTCTTCCTCTATACCCTTGATTTGTTCAGTCAAGAAAATAGACAAGCAGAGAGAGGCAGATAATTGTAGTAAATATCACTCATTCTTGTTGAATGATTTGCTCAGGCCTACTTTCAATAACTCCCAAACTACACATATGCACCTGACTGTCATCCAACCTGCCGCCATCTTAAGGCCTAAGGTACACAACATGGCACCAATTCTGGGGACTTCGGGACTATTTCATCCACCCGAAGTTTCCAGCTCAAGGAGTTTGGCCATACTAATGATTGTATGAAGGGGTTGTCGTGGTGTTTGCAATGGACCACTTCGAGACCATTTCTCTGATCTGGGTGCCCCAGATGAAGACAAAGATTCCAGCAGCGCCGATACCTGCCGTAAGAGCTCCATAAATACCAAATGCACCATCGTATCCCATTGAGGCGATGAAAGGTGTCACTCCATAGCTCGTTCCGAAAGAGATGACGCCGCGCATAGCGCAGATGATGACCAGCACCGGGCCAGACCGCGTCGGGTACGCATCGAGAGCATAGGTGATGCCGACTTGGTTTGCTCCGACAAAGCCGAAGTAGTAGGCATTAAGAGCAAACACAATGGCAAACCAGTGATATCTATCGGGGTGCTCGGCTGCCTGGCCGTAGATCACGGCCGCGAGTGTACCGACAATGACGGGAATGATGAGAGGGATCAGTCGGTATTCTGCTTTGTGAACACCGCCGTTCCTTCGAGCGAAGAACTTAATGACCCAGTCTGATCCTCGACCCAGAAGTGGCAAGGCAAGGAATGCGACGACAATTTGACCGGTCAGGGCGAAACTGACGACTGATGATTTCCAGTTGTAGGGGGCATTCTGCAGGATCCCGCCATAGGTGGTACCAAGAGCGATGTTGACGCCGCTAGAAAGGAGATTAAGTTAGTGACAGTACACTGAAGCTTTGTGGAATGGGGTATTGGCCGTTGCCAGGGCTGCGTCTTACATCGTCAGGCCATTGAGCAGAAGTGCCCACATCATGTCAGGAAAGAAAGTAACGAGAGCCATGCCAGTGCAGCATTGCCAGCCTTCTTTCCAATCGGCCTTTTGCGTGAAAAGACGGAGGTCGGAGGCGAAGGTGCGAGGCTTGAAGTTGACGAAGTCAAGCTGACGGGGCTCCGTGGTAGTCTTGCGGGTTAGCATCTCCGTATACACTCCAGTGGTGTCGTCGACTCCAGGACTAGCAGTTGTGACAAAGTGCGAGACCTGGGCAGTCTGGCCTTGGTATGCTGCCAGCGGTCGGTCATACTTTGTCTCAGGTACCATGAAGACCGCAAAGATGAAAGTGATGGCGGCAAAACCTGAGCCCAGGAAGTACCAGCCAGACGACCCAATGCCAGCGGCTATGTAGGAAGTAAGAAGGGAGTAGACAGCGCTGAGAGTGGACTGCCAAAGCGTGAACCACATGAGACACCGGGCACGCTCGTGAAGAAAGTGAACCTCTTGTACCATTAGCGGGCAGAGAGCTTCACTCTGACCGGCTGCCAGGCCAAGGACCATACGAGCAACGAGGTGAGAGGTATAGCCTTTCTGAACACCGCAGAGGATTGAACCTATGACGGCCAAGGCACAAGACCCGAGGAAAACCGGACGGCGGCCTACTGCAAGTGCAAGAGGCATTCCAATGAGGTTTCCAAGTCCCATAAACAAGGAGGGATAAGTCATGAGATGGGAAATATCATCATATCCTCTGCCTTCGGCTGCATATTCAGGAATAAACTCTCCGAGAAGAGCTCCAAGGCCGGAGACTTGGACGAGACCAACAGCGGCAAAAGTCGCACAAGTCATCGTAATTATCTATTCAAGGATTCCCAACATCAGTCATCGCCTTTGCACGGGATATGAGTGTCGGATTCTTGAAAGGTGACTAACCCATTTTCGAAGTGGGCTCAAGTTGAGGGGATCTGAGTTGTTGAGGCGAATGATTAGCAAGAAGCACTTGGGTTTTCAGGAGACTTTGATAATCCGCAGGCTCACCGCGTGGGTCCGAACTTGGCGTTGGGATAAGATAGGTAATATCTCCGTCGGCAAGTTGTACATTTGCCTTGAAGCTGCCATCGTCGAGTTGAGGCTTCTGGGGGAAGTCAGAGGCGGACTCTACCCTTTCTTCGGTGATCTTGTTGTCTATCTCGCCCATGTTGAAGCGATCGTCTTGAATAGTTAATAGCGGAACTTGGGTTTTTGGTTCGGAACTCAAAGACTGCCGTCCTCTGTCCTCTATCAAGGACGAAGAACTGTTTGTGGAACTATTGTTGTCGTGAAAGTTGGATTGATGCCACGGGAGGCAGGTCATATTTCTGCAAAATAGACACCCTGACAAACATCTGTGGTATCATTCGTCAATCTCGGATTCGTATCAACTCTCTCGCTTCTGTGTTCTTCTACCCTTGGCAGACTATCCGGCATCCCCAGATTCAACCCCAGATTCAGTGTGGGGTTTGACAGTCTGGGGTACAGGAGAGGGGCCCCGGCTTGGTCATTTACTAGGTCGTTTGCTTCGGCATAGTGCTATCGCTCAGCTTCGTGCGGGGAAGCCTACGCGAACAGGGAAGTCCTCAGCCACAACGAGGGATGTGACAACCTAGGGCGCTCCGGAATTGGAGTCTTCGGCTCAATATCCGTGCCGTTGTGTCTATGTAGTCGTTATCTTCGGTTCGGAGTTTATGAATGCTGCTCAGCTATCGTTTCCCTTCGAGATCGAAGCGGTATACGTTTTCCGGCTTGATTTGACCCGTATCTTCAAACCAACACTTTTCTGGGACCCGAGTGCTGGCCAACCGAAATCGCTAACTCGGTCTTTGAACCGAAATCCCATAGTCCATGGCACTCGGATAGCCGGCTCTCGCTCAGGTGCAGTTTGATAATATTATGTCTAAACAATACTGCCTATCTCATCACCTGGGCGCTAGATATTGCTCTAGGGGAAGGTTATGTCTCTAAACAAGTATGTCCATGGATACGAGGTATTGAGTTCTCTTGAGGGTGATAGTCCCGGAACAAAGCTCTTTGCTCCGTTCTATATCGGCGTTGTTCAAGTGGCCTATAGAGTGACTACGTCGCGCCTATCGATACATGCATGAAGTAGCTCAGGTATGACCTTCCAGCTGTCATTCGGGACACATTGCCGGTACGCGGAGCTGTTGTAGTAAGTAATAGCGTCACCTTGAGGCACAGTTGAGAAACTTTGGAGACCAACGATTGTGGCATTATGCATGTCAACGAAGGTAAGAATATAGAATCCTAGACCCTTTCTCCGAGTATTGCACTTCCCATCAACCAACAAATACCTTGAGCATTCACAATCATACCCGAATGTAAGGGATGCCTGTAAGCTTGAAAGCTCTCTCACTCAACTTCTTGTCGTTCAGTGGTCTCTCCCTAACAATGTGGTCTGGCTTTCCATTTCGGGTGGCGGTGTTGGACCCCGTGTGACGAGCGTTGGGCCAATGGGTGGTGCCCAGTCGAGCTGTAGAGGAAAATATGGTCAGCTCCATCTAGATGCACCCTAGATCAAGAACTTACAGTCATATGCGGCTTTCTTGCGCACAAGATCTTCTTGGGTAGCATCTGTGACAGGCATGAAGCAAGTGTACACAGCCATTCGATCAATCTTCCCCTTGACGGGGACATTGTAGTGCGCAGTGCGCGAATCCCATACAATCAAGTCACCAGGGTCAGCGCAAACCTTGATCCACTCTCCGCCGTGCTCCTTCAGCCATTCCATGCCGCGGTCAGTGAAGCCATACCACTCCTTGGTCCAGGCTGGGATACGCGGCTCGTCCTTGAGGTCTTTGTGGAACTGTGCACTCAGGTTGTGAGAGCCCTTGCAGACGATGAGACCGCCATCATCGGGGCCGCAGGGGTGGAGGTTGACGAGACCTTGAAGGCAGCGGAATCCAGGCTTCTCAGGGTCTTGATCTTGGTGGGGCCAGGGCTTGTTTTCGGGAAGGTTTGTGCGATTCGCGAAGCCATAGTTGATGACATCGAAGGAGACAAGGAGGTCCTCAGTGCCATAGACCTTCTCAAAGGCACCAACTACGCCGGGTTCACTGCGGATATCCCAGACAAAGTCTTCGTGGCAGGCCCCGTAGGCCATCAGCATACCCTTTTCATTGATGACGGGCAGCTTGTCGGGATGAACGGTCGATGGATCGTTTCGATCATAGCCGAGGCCGCTAGAACCAGTCAGATTCCTGCAGCTAGACCAAGAATATCAAGATAGAACTTACAATGACTCCAAAAGCCCGTACATCTTGTCCGCATATCCGTCGGCGCGCTCTCTTGGGATAGCAGCCTTGATCACGGCATATCCGTCTCTGAGAAGGTCATCACGCCAGTCGCCGTAGGACGGGTCATGGCCATCCATCTTCATTCTGCCATCATCAACGGTCTTGATTGCAGCGCTGGGCTGCTCCGTAATTGAGACAGTCGTAGTAGCCATTGTCAAAGATTGGCAAATTTGAAAGGCTTGGAGTCAGTGCAGCGAAGCTGAAGGATGGTATGGTTCAGTCTTTGGTGCTATCACAAATTGCAAGCGGTAGGTCTATTTGACTTTTACCTGTTCAAACGACGTTGCCACCACGATCACAATCTAGCTAACATAAGCTGTGTCTTGCACCCCTGCAAATATTTCCGAAGTTCTGGGCCGGGTGTGCTGATCACGTTCCGGATGGGCACTGCGATCGAGCCGCTCGGTTCGGTTCGCCGCTCGGTTCGGCTCCCTGAAGTTGGCCAACTGGGGGAGATACGTCCCCCAACCCCAGACACATCTGCCTTCTTTTTCCAGTTCACCTGGCTTAAGGGTTCAAAAGCAGCTAGGTATCGGAAAGTGGATGGGCTGAACTCGCGGTTATGCATTCGGGATAGGCAAAGCACCAATGTGACTGGCGGTCTTGTCCGAAGAGGGTCTTAGCTTCCGATCACAGCTCATCTCGCACATGCCAATGCCGCAGTACTTGATCCCCTGCGCCGATGCAAGGCCTTGAGGGTTGCATACTATTGACGTCCATCATTTTTCTTCCATTCGTGTCAGAGTCATTAGTAATTCTCGTCGCGATGTCTGCCTCAAACGAAAGCAGCTTGTTCAACATCATCGTAGTTGGCGGTGGCATCGCAGGATTGTCCGCGGTAAGCAATTGTAGAAGCAGACGAAACTGCGCTCTGACTAACTGCCATAGGCGATTGCGTTGAGAGGGTCAAATCGAAAGATAATTGTTCTGGAGCAGAGTCGCCTCAACCGAGAGATCGGCGCCACAATATCGTGAGATCATCCGCCCCGTGCATCTTTGAGGCATATGCTCTTCTAGAGACGAAGTGGACTAACAGGAATTCTCAGTCTCCAGCCAAATGCGTCAAAGTAAGTCATGAACCATAGATAAAGCGAGGTATTCCCCTCCACGTAAGGTATCTGACGTTTGTAGAATTGTCGAGAAACAATGGGACCTCGAAGAAGGCCTTGCGAAGACGGGGTCTATGGCCGACAAAGCTGTAAGGTCAAGGACGGAAGCCTGATGAGGATGTCAATTGACAGGTTTTTTCCAGTTTCGGATTTACAACACAGAAGGAAAACTACATGCAGAGATTCCCTTTCACTTGAAGAAGAGCTATGGCGCTGTAGGTGCACCGTCATTGCTTCTGACACGCCATGATCTGAATCACTGACAATGATGCAGGAGAGAATGATCTATCATCGGTAAGCACTGATGGCAAAAACCATTTCACTACTAAGCTGACTTCAAAGTGTCGATTTACATGATGCTCTAAAATCTGCAGCAACGCGAAACGAAGGAAACGTGGATCCTGTCGAGATCCGAACGGGCTGCGTAGTCCGGAAATGCGACCCAGAGGCCGGAACCGTCGCACTCGAGTCCGGGGAAGAGCTTTCTGCAGACCTCATTGTTGGAGCTGATGGGATGTAAGTTAAGTTTACCGTCAAATCAGAGGGTGGTATTCCTAATCCCGTCGTAGCAAGAGCGTTCTTCGACAATCGATCATCGGAAAGGAAGCCCCCGCGATACCAACTGGACTCTCCGGTAAGCAGGCGACTGTATCAAGAAGACACCGTGTATCCAACGTCGATGCTGACGATAAATCGATTTAATCAGCATACCGACTAGTGATTGACAGCTCCGAGTTAGAGCAAGACAAAGATTTCACATCCGTAATAGATCCGAGAGAGTCGTTCACCACGATGATTATGGGCCATGATAGACGTATCATCATGGGCCCCGCGAGGAACGGAGCAATCTACAGCATTGTAGCTCTAGTACCAGATGGTAAACAGCGTATTCCTCAAGCCAAAGTAAAGTCGTGGCTGACTCAATATTACAGACCAAATGCAGGAAAGTGCCGAAGGGAAGTCGTGGACCACCAAGGGTAGTCCCGATAAGCTCAGGGAAACATTTGACGTTTTTCCAAAGTGGGCCAAGGCTGTTTTCAAGAACTGCACAGAAGTTGGATTGTGGCAGCTACGCGACCTAGTAAGGCTATAGCCCAATGGTAATATTTGGGGTAAAAGATCTGACACTCTTTTAGGACCCATTGGATACTTGGTACTGCGAACGTGCAATTATCATCGGTGATGCCGCGCATCCGATGCTTCCGACTCAAGGACAGGGGGCCAGTCAGGCTATTGAGGATGCAGAGGCTCTAGGGGCCATCTTTTCAGATATCAAGGAAAAGCCGACCAGATATCAGATTACAGAGAGACTGAAGGTGACAAGCCTAATAGCCATTGATTTTGAGGCTCAGTGGCTAACATTTCAACAGATAGTATTCGACTGTCGGTACGAGAGGGCCACACTCATCCAAGGCTACAGTAGAGAGTCCGGAAAGCCTGCGACAGACAAGGGCAACAGCAAGATCACGATGTCAGTTATTAGAATTAAGCAAGTGATTCTGTCGCTAATAATCACAGGAATCCGGCTGAGTTCATGGACTATAATTGTACCTACAATGGCGCAAAAGACTGGATTGAGCGACAGGCCAGGGCGAAGATATTGGCTGAAGTTGAAGAGTCGAAGGGTACCGCGCCAGTCTCCATTGCGACGAAACAGATGGCTGCAATTGCTCTGGGCAGTAAATGAAAGATGTTGATTGGTGCTCCAAAGAAGAAGCATTGAATAGGTAAGAGACAAGGATGGTATGAGTCTTGGATATTGCCACTCTATCGTAATTGGGCCTGTCGAGCATATGAAATCGCAGTCATCATGTCGTTCAAAATCTGCCCAATTGCAGCATCAACCTGTAGAGAATTTCGCGAGATACTGACCTCTGAGTCATTCCCGACGTTGCAATTGAGCTTGTTGCTGGCCCTCAGCCACCATTGTGCGAATTGAGGTTTAGAATTGGTTGACCCTTTCCCCTAGTCATGCCAGTCTAACTAGCGGTGGTCGTAGTTTATTCTGGCCTCAGTGGCTCTGTGTCCCGCAGTCAAGAATGCCCACCGTTATACGAGCACCTTGAACGTCGACATTTCCAACGTATCGGGGCCCGAATGTTCCGTTACGCGATGATGCGAAGTGAATCATACTGGGCCGGAGAGATGAGTCAGACGCGGCCCGAGGCTTAGTTTCAAGGTGAAGAAAAGTGGATTGGACCACGGCACTTCAGCAAAGCCTACAATCCCATTCCGGGTAGATCGTAAATGTCTATGGGGAAAATTATCAGCGCTACCGATGCGGCGATGAACTCAAGGCATCTACCGGTACGGCAGTGTTACACAGGGTAAGATGTCATAGCGTCAGATTTTTGGTGCATAGCACGGTTATCCCCGGGAAACCTTAAGTAAAGAGTAGACTACGATAAAATCTTTCTCATCAAGTACTTAAGACAGAGAGTGAGTTGCCAATGTTTAGTTTGAGTTTCACTCTCATCTTTATCGACTCCTTCACGATGATCTCCCCTTCACAAGCCTCGCAGGCCCTGCACTACGGCTGTGCCCTGAGCGCCGTGCTCATCGGCCTTTCGGCTTCAGTTCAGTCAGGCCAAGCCAAGAGGAAACACACATCAACGAAAGATTACAAACATCGCCGATCAAAACCCGAGAAAGTTGCGAAACTCATCGTCATTCTTACATACGTCTCTGAACTAGTTGCTGCAACATTTCAGCCCGGCGCTTTCAATGAGGAGCAAGCTCACATTATCCACGTCTTGCTGTCAACTCTCGCGTGGATAGCGCTTTGTTCTAACGGAAATGTGCCAAGACTTTTGCTCGGCGCCTGCACTGCAACATTCTTGCTCGAGATTCCTCTGCTGGTTCTCAATGTTCGTGGACGATCATTTTCTACCCCCGACGTTGTTTGTCTTGTTTGCCAAGGAGCTCGAATCTTTGTCATTGCCGGTTTAGTTTTGGTTGCTTTGGCCAGCACTACCAATCGGGGCGGTAGCAGTGGAGCCTGCTCAGCAGAAAGTCAACCTTTCCTTGGATCGCATGAACAAGAAGGGCCTGCAGACTATGGAACCGAACGCTTCAGGGATGATACCGATACCGAGATCGCCAGTGGTGGCTCCGAAGACGAAGATACAGACGATGACGACGACGATAGTGCCAGCATCAAGCGTCGGCGAGCCAAGAGACTAGAAGAGACGGGCGGATGGCTGGGATATTTGAAAGACTTCAAAGTCTTTGTCCCGCTTCTGATCCCCAGAAACGACAGAAAAGTTCAACTTTCAATTGTTCTCTGCCTTCTGTGCATAGCAGGTGGAAGAGCAATGATCATCCTGATCCCCCGTCAACTCGGCATCGTCACCGACAAAATCTTGGCGAAAGAAGCACCGTACGGTGCACTGGCCATATGGTTGCTTTTAAGTCTCATCAGCGGCGAGTCGGGTCTGGGTTTGATTGAAGCACTCGCGAAAATTCCCATCAAGCAGTTTTCATACAGGCAGATCACCAATGCCGCCTTCAGTCACGTCATGAACCTTCCCATGGAGTTCCACGCTGAGAGAGACTCTGCAGAAGTCATGAAGGCCATTGAGCAGGGTGGAGCTCTTAGCAATCTGCTCGAGACCGCCGTCATTGACATACTGCCGACAGTTGCGGACATGTTCATCGCACTCTGGTTCCTGTACTGGAAATTCAACGCCTATGTCTCTCTGGCTATGCTTGTGGCTTCTGTGGCTTTCACAACCTTGGAGGTCGTCACTTCAAACATGAACCTTGCGAATCGCAGGGCGTCAAGCAAAGCTGAAAGAGAGGAAGCGAGAATCATGCACCAGGCTGTTCAAGGATGGCAGACCGTCACGTATTTCAACATGTTCAATTTCGAGAAGCGCCGCTTCGGCCAGGCTGTGGACTCGCAACTCGCCGCTAGCCGTAGATATGGAGTCGGCGATGCTTTCATTCAGGCTCTCCTGGAGGCGACCGTGCCAGTGACATTTTTCGTGCTAGCATGCCTGGTACTGTATGAGATCACTAACGGCCGAGCTTCCCCCGGAGATTTTGTGTTGCTCTTAACATACTGGGAGTATCTAGTCTGGCCTCTGAAATTCCTCTCACACAATTACCGGTACTTGATGTCAGACTTGGTGGATGCCGAACGTCTTCTCAATCTACTACAGACCAAGTCAACCATCGTCGAAAGGGAGAACGCCAAGAATCTCACGCCCGTCAAAGGCCACGTCGCATTTGAGAATGTCGGCTTTGCCTACGATCCGAGGAGACAGACTATTGAACAGCTGGACGTGTCAGCAGCACCAGGAAAGACTATCGCCTTGGTCGGAGAGACGGGCGCTGGAAAGTCATCAATCATGAAATTGCTGCTGCGGTTTTACGACGTCACAAGCGGTCGCATCACCATTGACGGCCAAGACATTCGCGACGTCACTCTCACATCGCTTCGCGAAGCCCTTGGAGTTGTTCCGCAGGACCCCTTGCTGTTTAACGCATCCGTCATGGAAAACTTGCGTTACGCACGGCCATCTGCGACAGACGAAGACGTTTTCGAGGCATGTCGGGCTGCTGCGATCCACGACCGGATCCTGAGTTTCGCCGACGGCTACGAGAGCAAGGTTGGCGAGCAGGGGGTCAAACTTTCTGGCGGTGAAATCCAGAGACTTGCCATTGCGCGAGTATTTCTAAAGGATCCGCCCATTCTGATTCTCGACGAGGCGACGAGTGCGGTTGACACGATGACTGAGGCGAATATTCAACATGCTTTGGAGACTTTGAAGAGTGGCAGGACGACGTTTGTTATTGCGCACAGACTCTCAACGGTTGTCAACTCGGACAAGATTGTGGTCATACACGAGGGTAGAGTGGTTGAAAGTGGTACACACGAAGAATTGTTGGCGCAAGGTAACAGATACAAGGACTTGTGGACGAGACAAGTTGGTGGTGCTTCAGAGAGGAACAGGATATGACAAGGTTCGTGTTTAGGTTTCCTTTTTTTCTGATTTTGATAAGCGTTTTAGTGTTTTTGGCCATTCTTTGATTGGGATCTGGGCCATTGGTGGCTGCCTCGTCGTTGCCAAATGAGACATTGCTCGGGACCGTAGAAACTCGGGAATCAGAGTACGTTCTCAGGTTAAGCTCGATGAGGAGCATTTTCACATTTGGCTGTCTTAATGACTCCAACAATGGTGGCCTTTGGGGCACGCAACGATGTACCGGTACTAGGTTTTAGTGATTTGGAGCGCAAATCCCCTACTAGCCCTTGAGTGGCGTGGATCGATCGGACGGTTAGGGGGGCTTGCGCTTAGATCGACAGGGACTACGAATGCCGTCATCAAGAGAGATGGCTTCTGTGTCGGACAACAACACTTGTAAAATTGTCCGTGAGAACTTATGAATGAGACATGTTGGAGACCTGACCTAGCATGAGAAGGTCAGCAAATTTGGAACTGTTTCCCAGTCATATAACGCAGATGCGCGTAGGGGTCTGCCTCGCACGATCATACCTTCTCTTGAGACCCGCCTAGACCAGAACAAGTTTTAACACCAGTCCCATAAACAGGGCATCACTGTTAATCCCAATAACAACACGCACGCGATCAGCTACCCAGATAGGAAATCCCAGCTCTATATCGTCCAAAATAACGCACAATGACTCCGATTGCACACTTTCCGACGAGTTGGAAGCCAATATCAAGCGCAAGACGCGTCGGAAATCTTCATCAATCACAAAGGAAGTCACTGATAAGAACGCGCCAAAGTCTAAGAAGAAGAAGAACGAGAACGCGATTGTTGATTTCAAGGCAAACCCTGCTGACGATGAATTCGTCCGCTCACCGCCTTCAGCCCCAAAACTCTCTGGAAAGAGGTTTGCCGCCTGATTTCAACATGCCCAGTCATCTCCATACCCCAACTTCCTCCAATCGACCCATAACGAATATCAGGTCGATTATATACCCCGGAAGGTCTTCATGGAGATGTGATTCGGGAACTCTCTGCAGATCTAGATGTTCCAGCTCAAGAGTGCCTATATGTGATGGATGCTTTGGTGATAGCTGCCCTCAGCCAGGCGACCAGTTGGAACAATGCCAAGCGTGCCATGAAGAACTTGAAGGAGATGTGTACGGGTCCCTGTCCAACTGGGAGGAAATTGTGGAGGGCAGTATGGAGAGGTTAGTGGAGGCGCTGCAACCCGGCGGGATGCAGAGCAAGGAGACCAAGATTCTCATGCAGCTGTTGGACAAGTGGGATCTTCAGCGCCCCTTCAACGCAAGCGATGAAGAAGTTGTCAAGGACGTGGTCGGCTACTGGGGTGTTGGATTCAATGGCGTGTTCTGTTTGATGCGCATCTGTCTGAATCAGGATGTCTTTGCTGTGGACACCCACACTTACCACATCACAGGTCTCTGGGGTTGAGACCACGTGATGCATTATGGGAGCTGGCGCAGGCCAGTCTAGATGCTCGAATACCGAATGAACTGAAGTTTGAGTTACACTCTCAGCCTGTTGCCCACGGCCAGAAGTGCCCTGTCTGTCGAGGCAACGGAGACAGCAAAGCCCTTTGTGATTACCGAGTGCTCCTGCGTCAACGAATGGGAGAGGCCAAGGACAACATGGTAAATTTGTATGTAGTAGACTATCGTATTACCTCCTCAAATGATTATCTTTAACTCCGTTCAACATTGGCGCATCTGCTATCACAATTGACTACTCGTAACTCGGGAGATCAACACGGAAGGATGAGATAAGAGGCGGCTCACACGGAATGTAACCACCCTTTGCCAAATGAGACGACTTCACTACCACCACTCTACCTGAATCTGGATGAAAACCCTTCCACTGTTACACCACATGCGTTTGATGACTCGAAAACCCAAGACGGACTTCGGGCCAGGTCAGCAATCCGCGTAACCCCCAGCGGGAAAAAGCAACTCGGTCAGACATTCCCATTCAAAGACAAGCAAAGACTGGACGGAAAAGGGGCCGCCCCACATAATTGTCCTATAGCACTGTGAGGGCCGTGAATGGTGTCGACGCTTGGCCCGGCGCCAAAATTGCACTTTGGCCGCGCTCCAACTGGCCCGAAACGGACATCTGTGGACCATTTATGGCCGCGTCCAAGGGGTCCCACATCGGTCAATTTCGCCTCAAGCCCGATTATATGAGGCCGGGTCCGATCCGGAAGTTTTTCGCACTGTGACGGCGTGCATATTCCCTAGTCTATGACGGAAAGCCGCCGAGAAATGTGAGAACCTCTTGTGTGGGTGAACAATATGACGCACCGTGTCAATGCTGGGGCCTGATACGGGAAAGAGAAACAGACCAGAGATAGGCAAAGATGAGACTGATAGAGTCGATCTTAGTTGAGTAGAGACAGATAGGGAGAGGAAAGAATTTGCTACTTAAAGATGAGTGACAACCCGCCTTCATGTCTTGTCTGAGCACACTCTTAAAGCATCTTCTTTTCTCATCTTCATTGACAATCATCACTTACATCCCAGCCAACAAGTCTTCATCATGAGCCCCTCGTTCTCAGCCCTCCGCCAAATTGGCATCTACAGAAATCTTCCAACCTTTGACGAGTCCGTTGAAGGTCTCACTGCCATCATTACTGGTGCCAATGGTATCTCCGGTTTCAACACGATGCGGGCTCTCTTGGATAGCCCTAAGCGGTGGAAGACCATCTTCTGTCTCTCTCGCCGTCCTCCCCCGGAAGAGATGATGAACCTCTTGTCTGCCGATGCTCGTTCCAGAATCGAGATTGTTACTTGTGACTTTCTCGATGAGCCTGCTTCGATTGCCAAGAGCATGAAAGAGGCTGGCGTGCGAGCTGATCACATCTTCTACTACTCCTACATCCATAAGCTCTGGACTGATGTCGATGGTCTTGTGGAAAGCAACGTTGCCCTCCTCAAGAACTTCCTCGAGGCGTTGGAGTTGGCGGACATCAAGCCAACTCGTTTCATTCTCCAGACCGGCGGCAAGAGCCATGGTGTACACATTGGTCGCGGACGCACCCCCCTTCTCGAGTCTGACCCCCAGCCAAGACACCTGCAGCCCAACTTCTATTACCCACAGGAGGACTTGCTCAGAGCCTTCTGCCAAAAGTATGGCACAGCATGGAACATCATCATGCCCTGCGCTATCATCGGAAGCTCGTCACAAGCGGGAATGAACATGTTCTACCTGTTCGGCATCTACGCTGCTGTGCAAGCACGCAAGGGTGAGCCTCTCGTTTTTGGAGGAGACTGGGAGGCGTGGCAGTATGAGACCTACCACGGCTCGGCACGAATGACTGGCTACCTAACCGAGTGGGCAGCCCTGAACAAAGACTGCGCCAACGAGAACTTCAACGCCCAGGACGGAGGCCCGCTGGTGTGGGAGCGCTTCTTCCCTGAGCTGGCTCGCTGGTTCGGTGTTGAGAAGGTGGTGCCCCCACCGGACGACGAGTCTGGCCTTGAGACGAAGATATCTGGAAAGTCGGGGAAGAAGGCGCCCCTCGGCTACGGCCCTCCTTTCTCTTCCAAGACGCGTTTCACTCTTGCCGACTGGGCAAAGGAGGAGGAGAATGCTGTTGCTTGGCGCGAGATCATGAAGGAGTCTGGAGGCAAGATTACGAATGACCCATTCGCGGACCCCGAGGCTTTCTCCATGTCTGAGTATGCGTACCTTCGGGCTGGAAGCCCTTGTATGAACAAGGCGAAACGGCTTGGGTGGACTGGATTCGTTGACACGACTGAGAGTCTCTTTGAGACGTTCCAAGAGTTAGAAGAACTCGGACTCTTGCCGCCGATGAAGGTAGACTCCGCTCGTCCTATGTGCTAAGACTTGAAGAATGGTAGGAGAAGGATGACTCTGAAGATAAGAATCAGAATAAGGAGATGAAATCACGTGTGACGAAGGGATTTATATTGATTATTCAACCTTCATGAGCACCTCCAATGTAGTTATGTTTTGTCGCTTAGCTTCACACCAGAGATATTATTCTTTGGTGTTTAGTAACCATTTTATTGAAGGCGACATTATGTACAGTTGCGGCTTCATCAATATAGCCTACGCTATAGTTCTGAATAGAGGACCCGCAGAGAAAGCTTGTATAAGTCATGAGAGTACACCTTGACAATGTCAACCACAAAATCGGGGAGAGCCAAGAAGACGAATGGCATAGGCTCCAAATGTCCGAAAGCAAAACGACTTGCAATGGGCTTGCCTGACGAGGGGATATCAGTAGCCATCCAGAGGCCGCTGGGCATGTTCTTGGTCAAAAGGAACCTTGGTCTCATTCGAGCAACCCTCTCCGAAAGGTTACCCGTCAAATCGGGCCTGGAAGAACGCAAGCCACTCAGGTGTTGCTGCTGTCAAGACAGCAGAGTGGTCTAAGCCGGGGTAGATGCTCATATGAACAGGGTTTCCGTAGGCGCAGGTCTCGTCGAACGAGGCGATACCGGACTCCTCTGAGACGATGGTATCATCCTCACCCAAAACCAAAAGCAGCGGCTTTGAGGCGCGGCCGCCTTGAGCTGGGGCGTTCAACTCTTGGAACTCTCTAAGGCGCGTGTCGGATGCGGCAGTGCGATTGGAAAGAGCGTCGAACCGAAGGTCAACTGTGAGACTCGAGATAGCGGCGTCGCATAGCTGTGCGATCTTTGCGAGCTCGATTCTGTTTTTCAGTTTGGCCGAAATGATGGGGGCGTCGTAATCAGGGAACGTTGCCCTGATGCCAAGTACAGCAGATGGAATGACGCCCAAAGCCAGAAAGTCGTGGTCGTCTCCTCCGGTCTGAGTAAGATTGCGAAGCGATTCGATGGCAACCAGCGCGTCGTAGGCCTTGGTAACAGGCGCCACGGCAACACCTCCCAGATATTCACTGGCTGAATCTTGGACGAGCTTGTGCTCTGACAGCTTCCACGCCGCACCGCCGCCCTGAGAGTGTCCAATCGAAGCCCAATCGTGCGAAAGAATGTCGGGGAAGGCTGTACGAGCAGCTACAACGGACCAATATGTGTCATTGGCATTGGCTGCGCTAGCTACGTATTTGTGAGCCGTGTAGTTATTTCCCAGGCCAGCATAGTCGGTAGCAACAACCGCGTATCCTGCAATTAGGAGCGGTGATCAGCTTTGATGATCGTACAAGCTGGGTGACGTCGAAGGAGCACAGCCACGGAAGACACCGCTGGTTCCATGTGCGTAGGCGATCAGGTTAAAGGGCTGCTGTGTCCTAGCAAATGGGAATGCGACGAAGCCAGTGACGGGTACAGGGGAGCCGTCGATGTCGGCGCTGGTGTATTGAATCTTGTAGACGGCAACACCGGCGGGGACGGTGATGTTGGCAGGGATGACAGGTTGGATCTTGAGGACATCACCGGGCCTAGAGCCTGTGAAGTTGGCAGCGGTTTCGTAAAAGTCAAAGTCGAAGTTAGTTCCAAAAATCTCTAGATCGCCCTCGTTGCCAGTCTGGATTGCGTCCTGGCAAGCTTCGCCACAACCATAATTCTGAGCCACTTCAGTCGTGACATTGAAACTGCTTGCTTGTCCAACAATGGCTGCAAGATTTTGCAAAGCCACTTGTCCCAGGATCAACGGAAATAGAATCAGCAGGATCATTGTGATAGCCGAAAGATGGAATAATTCGGTGTATGATGGAGAATGCTTGGTTAACATTCCAAGTGAAACTTCAAACACGTCTTCTTCATTGAGTTTATGTTCAATTTCACAACTCAAGCGGTCTCCGCGAACTCCTGGAGTGGATACCGGTTTGGTTGCTTTGACTTCTCACTGGCAAGCAAGAGAAGCTATTGCGTATCACGAATGCCGTAATTAGGTCTTTCTAATTTCGATCTGCTGCTGGGGTGCATAGGTATGCTAAAATACGTTCTCTCATTGCTACCTTACTGCAGGCATTTGACGTTCAAACCAATCGCTTAGCGAAACCATTGGACCTAGGTGTCGTCATGTATGGTGATGTACGCGTAGTCCACGTTCTCGCTGCCCCCTACAATATTTCATTTCCTCATGCAGCCAGCGAATTAGCTTCGACGTGATAGTTTCGACGCTGCCACTAGGCGTATGCGAGCTATGACTTCCGCAAAATTTTCATCCAACGGAGAAGCGTTGGCCGACGATAGCACAAATGGGGTTGCGTTCCGTCCAGACTCTCATGCCTTGCCAGTAGGTAACGTAATCCGAAGGAGGATTCGACGTTAGCCTTCTAGATCCACCCTCGGCGGCCGCGGGCCTCAAGCGGGGAATTGGTAGTTCAGCAAAGTCGTTTGTTGTTTGATAGAGATGCGAGCCTAGGTTTTCATCACTTGGTTTATCCGTTTATTATGCGACGAAGAATATTGAGAGTTACTTAGGCAGATCCAATACGGAGCAAAAGGTCGGAAGACTCGATTGATAGGTACACGTAGATGTGAAAAAAGCTTTTACTGGCCCTTCGAGCGCAGAATTTCCATGTCGGCTACCACAGGGCGATGATTCGAGTAATAAACACCGTCATCGAAGCGGTTTGAGAGAACGGCGAAATTGCAAAAGTGGATGTGCTTGTGGTTCAATACAAAAAGATAGTCAATCGTAGTCGATTCCGCCTCCCCAAAGGTCGTGTGAGTGATCTTATTCCCGTAGTGCTGATAAGCCGGGACTAAGTCCGAGATATCTCTCATGCCTCCAGGCTGGGCTGTCAAAATCTGATGCGGCTCGTCCTTCGGCCCGCTGTTGAAGTCCCCGCCTAGGAAAACCGGCGCATCCTTTCCAGAGCCTTGTGATGCATTCTTGAGCCACTCTTCAGCAATCTTAAGAAGCATTTTGGCACTCTCGCGCCTGGCTTCTTGGCTCTTGTGATCGAGGTGCGTGCTCATCACAATGATCCTAGCGTCGGAGGTCTTGTGCTTGAACAGACCAACCGTGACAATGCGATTGATGGTTGCGCCCCATGCGTTTGAAGGCTTCTTTGGTGTGGGACTGAGCCAGTACGTCTCACTTCGCTCTGCAGTCCAGTGATCAATCCGGTAGAGCACGGGCGAAAATTCTCCATCGGACACCCCATCAGCACGACCACAACCGATGCTGGCCCATCGTGGGCCCAATTCCGCTTCTAAGTCGTGGAGTTGTTGGTTCTGCGCCTCTTGGATGCATATGAAGGCATTTGTGAGGCCGGCAGTGTGGAATCTTAGTTGAGACGTCAACTTCGGGCACCGGACTTCCCATGGCTGCTCATTTGGCAAAAGCGTCTTTTTGATGGCGTAGCGGATGTTGAGTGTGATCAAACGCACTGGCATCGGTTCAGTAAAACAGTTTTCGGGCTTCATGATGCTGCGTGTAAATCTACGACTCTCAAGAGTGTGCTTATGGGTGTTCGATGGACGGAGTGAGGTGATGAAGTCTGATTGAAAAGGATGTTACTATTGACATTTGAACATGAAGAAGAATATCACCTAACAGTGATGCATGTGTGTTCTTATAAGACCGCAAGCATAATCGTTGACACGCCTCTTGGACCAAATAGTATATAATGCCAGTTCACTGGAAACACGGCTGTAGAGGCCCGGCTTGCCGATGACTTGATAGTACAGAATCGTCCTAGGTACATGTATCATGTGGTGCCTATCCACTGACCACGGCCGAAGTCCGGCCTAACTAGTCATGCGCCTACAAAGAACCTTGAAGTTGGGACTATGCCAAGACAAGGCATACTTCCAACTTGGTCACTACTGTTGTAAGATACGTGTAAGTACGTCGGAGCTTAGCGGTACAGAATTCAAGGGACGGATTCTAAAATTATCGCCCGCAACCACGTTTTTATTGCCTTGCGTACTTAAGTTTTCTGAAGTGCAGAAATACATGCATGCTTAACCTTCCTGGGGCTTGGTGACATTAAGGTGCTTGTAGTGTCGTAAAGACTTCAGGCGTACATCAAGTTTCTATCAACATAAGTGCCGAACGGTGTCAAAAGATTGAAATCAAGTCAATGCAAACTAAATAGAAACTTGTGCTGAGTTTACCGATATCTGTCTTGAATTCGCGTTTAAAAGACGCAGGCTCTGACAAAAGATGGCAAGAAAACCGAGACAGGCACTAACGATTTCCACAATGGGTGGGACGAGCCCCACGGAGCTTTTCAGTCTGGATGACCTGATATGCATTCCTTTTCCAATTGACAGTAGCTATACAATAAGAGACTGAAGCAAAAATACAAATTCCCTGGGTATCTGCCGCTCAAAATCTTCCTCGATTTCCACGCCCAATACGCACTAGACTGGTAAGTCTCCAGAATCGATCACGCAAGTTCATATCTCCCAAAGACACGAAGTCTGTTCTGTTCTCCAAAAGGCTCAAATTTTGCCCAGAACTCGCTTCACCAAAGACTTCTTTCTCGGCCTGGGAAGAGGCTGGTTGATCGACCTTGTCTGCCGAAGGACACCGAGCAAGGTGGCAATCGCCAGCGCCTCCGCCTCTCCGTTGAGATCCTCAGAAAGTAGCAAAATACCCTCGCTATAGTCGTTGGGCAGAGCGAAGCCGATACCGACGTGGTGGTAGATGGCATGAATCGCTGGCTCACCGCCGCTCAACTCTGCTTCAGTGTCGACCAGAGTATAGCGCAAAGGCCCATCTTCTGTTGGGCGCGCTTGCCACTCCAAATTCGAGGGAACAGTTATGCTCCCGTCTCGCGACGTCTGAGAAATCGTGAACCATGGGTGTCGCACGGGGTTTGCGGCTGCGTGCATCTTTGTGTCTGGGACGGGGAACGAGCTGGTGACTGCTAGCTGCAGGTCTTGCTCCATGCTGTGCGGTGCAACGCGAAAGTTTCCATTGTCATCGGCAGGTATATGCCTTGAGAAAATGTTAATAACCGTATTTTCTTACTCCCTGGGTAGGATGACGCTTCATAGAAACTTACAAGCTGACGATCTCGCCATTATGGCTTGGCACTCTCCTCTCTACCGTTGCAGCAACACCATCAAGGCCCTTCTGGAAGTTGACCAGATAACGAACTTGTGCATCGGTTCCATCTCCCAACGGTCGCCTCATCATTGCCAGGCCAAGTTTGTATTTGCTGCTGCCGATAGGCTCTTTCTTGACAGCCTTGTCGTAATTTTCATTGTAATCGTAGAGAGGCAAATGAGTAGTGATGTCTTTGTGATTTGGTACGTAGACGACGCGCGTGAGATGGGCTGGCGTGGGTGTAAGGTGACGACCCAGCCTCTGATCGAGGGCACAATCAAAAACCTCCGCCAGCTGAACGTGATGATAGTTCCCGTACGCTGGAAGGGCTGCCATATTGGTGATGATAGACGCAGATAAAAGTGAACTTGATGCCATGGGATCCGGCGTCGTCTTATCGAGACGTGTTGGTGGCTAGGGAGAGGACAAAGCTTAGTTGGACGACTGCAGGATCGGGGTGGCCCAACAAGGGATGGTGCCGTTGGGGTCAATGATGCGACGATAACAACTCCGGGTCAAGTATCACTCGAGATAGTTCATGGCAACAATAGACGCAGCGGATAATCAACTTAAGTATTGTCTGCTTCGGCGTACGGTCGGGATGCGCTACGCTTTCAAGGAAAGCACGCTGGCAGTCGATAGAAGGTATCATCAACACAGGGACGACACGACGGAAAGAAGTGGAGGGAGATGGATTCCCACCGGGAGCAGATTCCTGTCCCAGGTCCACGCTGAGGGGGAAGATTGTCACGGCATGTGACGTCGAAATGCAGCTAACCCCGACAGCGTAGCTTGATTGTCTCACTAGGTGAGAGCTAGAAATTGTTAGCCGAGCTCCCGAGATACCTAGTCCTAACGCCAATGAGGGATGTGATCGCCGTATTTGATGTGTCGGCATATCAGACCAGCCAGCCAGCGGTTAGTCATACGGCATGATTTGTCAAGGGAATCAATTTTCCGTCTAGAGTCACACAAACACCAAAGATCTTGAGTCCGGTCAGCATCGTGACTGTTCCGAGGATCAACCGGCTTCGGGGATCCGAACGGGGCAAGGCCGGTTGATCGGGTGCTGACCCGGCAAGCGGAAAACTCCGCTACCTCCGCAATAACTCCACTTGTTTGTTATTTTGGAGACGAAAATGTGATGCGGCCCTAGATCCTGCCATAGGAGCACTGAAAGGTTCTTGCTGCCAACTGATGACCTGATTACTCAATGGAAACTGGCGGCAAATGTATTCCGTCTCAACAGTTGATCTTATTTCAGCCATGGCATGATGCCTTTAGGGCCACAGAACATGCGAAGCTGGTGGCCCAAGGGACCTTAGCAAAGTCATAACCCTAGCTTGCCGGTGGGTTCTATTACCTCTTTGGGGATCGGCCGCAATCATGTACCTTGTTCTGCGCAGGGATTATCCAGTGCTGCCACCGCCCAAACACCCTCTTTCGATCTTAACTTGGAAAAACTCACCCGCTTGGCTTTGCCTCACAGCAAATTGTAAGGTACTCGCTGAAAGCAAAAGCATATCTCGATGCATTGCCTGGCTGAGTACCTACTCGCTGCGTTTCGAGGCTGAGGACGTTGGATTAACCTCACTTCCGACGGAAATCAATTCCGCTCTTTGCTGACGGAGTGCCATCATGATTCGGTCTATATTGCTGAAGAGCATCATGAGGCGACACGCACCTTCGCTGGCTGCGTATCTTGCTCCTTCGATTCTTATCGGAGAGAAATCGAGCCGAAATTTCTGATTCCTATTGATGATCACAACAGTCCGGAACGGAAGCTAGACATCAGTTTCCATGCTTTCATTTTTGTCACGGCTAACGGGCGTTGAAAGCCAAGATGCGTCCCTCAAAATTCTGTGAGCAAGGTCGTTTTGCGTCTTCCGCATTTATCGAGGTCATTTGGTTGATTGGCTTTCCTGGATATTAGGATGGATCGAGATTACGTGTTCTTGAGAGGGACAGCAGATGAAGCAAACGAGCAAGCTCTTCGAGGAGTTCTTAGTCTTTGTCTACCTTCATCACAGCCTGCAGTCGGCGTCCGGCTACGTTTAGACGGCTTCTTGCGTCGCAGGTAGGTAGCGTATTGAGACTTAGTACACGACATGAGGCTGATGATTTGGTCTTCAGAGACCATGACATAGGATCAAAATCCAGCGAAGGCTCAACCACAGTCCGCGTCTTCGAGTACGAATGGCCTCCCTTCCTCACCGACCATGGTCATAGAGAGCTACCCCCTTGTTCCTCTGATACCACTACTCATGAGTGGCCATTCAAACTTTATATACCCGGTGATACACCAGAAACTTTTCAAGGGTGTAGTCGGTGCAGCATCACCTACCAACTGACGGCAACGACGATTCGAAGCAACACCTCTTCTGCAACGCCTCAGGCATACAAAACGATACGAATAAATAGGACGCTTTCAAGTTCCGCATTCGAGTTGATGGACCCTGTGACGGTCGAAGGTACATGGGGAGAAAAGTTGCGGTATTCGATCTCCATCGGCCATCACGCCATTGCCCTGGGCACAGCTATTCCTCTCGAAATGCGCTTTGCGCCGCTGAAAGCAGGAACAAGAATCTCGCAAGCAAAATGCCAACTTTTGGAGTCACACAAAGTGAAGGCTGGTAAAAGCCAGCAAACAACCTTCGTTGGCGATAGGGATGTTGCCGAGTGGGAGACGCCAATGAACGACCACGAGAATCTGGAGCAACGCTTTTACAAGACGACGCAGAGCCTTCCTCTTCCTGCAGAGCCGAAACAATGTTCTCCAGATATGGAATCCCACGATATCAGCATGACCCACCTTCTTTCGATCGAGGTCACTGTTCAGGATTCAGACAATAGTCCTTTTGCAAATAAGGTAAGTGTCTGATGGCGCACGAGAATCCTGACTTTGTTAACAAAGCTCAGTACCGTGCATCGCTGCCTGTCGTACTCTTTGCATCACCTCAGATGCCAATTGATGCGAATAACAAGTTCGTTCGGTCAACGAGTCCGAATATCGAGGAAGATGTGGCATCACTCAGCGGGCTGGACGTACCGCCTGTCTACGGCGCACATCTGCAGGACAAAGTCTTAAATGACTTGTCGAAATCCTTGCATGTGTAGGTATTCTCAACGAACTATGAGACCTAGTCCTTAGCCGTAAACACTCAACTGCAATGTTCAATTTTATACTATCGTTTTGGTGAGAATATGGTCGAAGGATGTTGCTGAAACTGCTTCGATCATTGAAACTCGGCCAATTGCAATAGTTCTCCTGGAAACACAACGGAAATAGCAGAGTGCAGACAAAGCAGTTGTAAGTTATACTTCCATACTGTAAGAGTCCCTACTACATGACCCGAAGCACATGTCTATACAAGTACTCAGGCAGTCAGATTCCTGGCCGGCGGGGAGTACTTCCTAATTCGGGAAGGGGTTCCTGACTACATGTCCAGGCCTCTGAGCCTTAGCGCTCCACAGTTTCCCAAGCTCAGCATTTGATCCACTTAGGAGACACATGTACACCTACCAGCTTGGTTCTTGACTATGAATTTGTGTCAAGAAGCACGGCGAGACATGTGCCAGAGTATCCGTGAAGTATTCGTAGCTGTTTGAGGACTAGAGGGTAGCCAGAGCCACTGCCAAATCCTCTTGAACACTCATAATGATCATGTCTGAGCTGAGTTTTGGGGAGATTACAAATCCTTCTTCGAATACCCATCGTTTGATATCTTGCTTGTGTATACATGTGATCACGTTATCTAATGTCACAAGGGGTCAATTACAGTGCTGCTAGTTCGGAAAGAGCTTGTGTGAGTATATGTACTGAGTGTGTGGCCCATGTCATGAAGTAGCATGCCTGATAGCCGCATTTCTTCTCTGGGAACTCCGACAGAAGGGACCACTCATTTCCAGCCACACCTGCTTGGAAGAGGCTGACAACGACAGACCAGCTCTCATGCTACTGGAAATCCTGCACTATTCCTGAGTGTAGTCTCCCCAATTCACAAAACACCTCATGTCCATTTCCATTAAAGGGCTCCGACTTATCACGTTGAGGCACAGACCTCCAGGACAAGCTTAAGCTTCAGTTTCACCAGATGGCGCCGACTACCCACGTTCAACGCATCGAGTTACGGCAGCTTCCTCACCTACCTACCAACAGAGAGCATGGCACACCAAATGGCGAAACATTCTCGCCCCAGTCAGACCCCGGGTATCCGGGTGTGTCTAGCCATCCGTCAGAATTCGTCCATCATGAACGCACTGGATCGGCTTTCCCACCCGATGATGCAATCGTAGCCTTGCAGACATGGAAAAGCTCACGTTCGAATGTTATCCGAACTTTGGCTGTCTTTGGGAGTTTATTGGTCATGGGAGCAAATGATGCCTCGTATGGTGTAAGTTGGTACAATGAACAGTACAGTGTCGTGATCATGATTACTAACGTAGGCTTCATGTTCGACCAGGCAATTATTCCTCATGTAAGCTATGTTCAAGACTTATTCTACCGATACCATCTGACAAGACCGTGATGCGAAGCTGGGAAAATATTACGACTTACCGTACTCCTTCACGTCTCTGATCTTCCTTGCGCCTTTCATAGGCCACACGCTCTCAGCCATCTTGAACAACAGTCTACATGAGAGCGTTGGACAAAGAGGCATCGCAATTATCTGCTCTTTCTGTCACCTAGCATCGTACATTGCCATCTCACTACATCCACCGTATCCAGCATTAGTTTTTATCTACATGTTGGCTGGCTTGGGCAATGGCATCGGAGATGCCGCTTGGAACTCTTGGGTCGGGAGTCTGGCGGACTCTAGCCATGTCATCAGTCTGATGCATGCTTGTTATGGTGTCGGCGCTGTCCTCAGTCCAATGACGGCAACTGTAATTATAAGCAAGGCTCAGCTTCAGTGGCACACGTTTTACTACTTCATGGTGAGAGTCAAGTTTCCACAACGAACGTCTTTCAAGGTTTTGCTAACAGAGTCATTCCGCAACAAGGCTGGTCTGGCTATGGTGGAGCTCGTTCTGACTCCCTCTGCCTTCTGGTCCGCTACTGGGGTTGCATACTGTGAAGAGAATCCCAAGGGTCCAGAGCCGCGAGAGTCAATCGTCCACGAGACATTGTTCAAACTCCCTTCGGCCCGGGTTACTTGGCTATGCGCAATATTCGCCCTTGGCTATGTCGGACTGGAGGTGTCTCTTGGCGGTTGGATCGTCACATTCATGTTGCAGGTTCGCCACGGAGAAGAATTTGCCAGCGGTATGACAGCCACTGGTTTCTGGGCTGGGCTGGCTCTGGGTCGAGTTGCTTTAGGTCTTGTGACCCCTCGAGTGGGCGAGAAGCTCGCAGTCATGGTACGTTTGATAACCCGACCCAAGTTATGTTCAAATCTCGCGTAACTATGTCACCCTGAATCAACTAACCACGTCGAAACCTTGATAGCTATACCTCGGCGCTGCCGTTTGTTTGCAGCTTTTGTTCTGGCTTATTCCCGAATTCTTTGTTTCCGCGATCACCGTATCGCTCCAGGGGTTCTTCCTCGGACCCCTCTTCCCCACCATGATGATAGCCATCACAAAGCTACTACCGAGGCACTTACACGTCAGTGCTATCGGTTTCGCCATCGGTCTTGGAGGTAGTGGCGCTGCTATCCTGCCATTTGTAATCGGAGCTCAGGCTCAGCGCCACGGTGTGCAAGTCTTATCGCCGATACTGCTCGGGGCGCTGGCATTCTTGTTGTTCACCTGGTCCTTCTTACCCAACTTTGGTCGCAAACATGAGTGAGGTGCAAGTTGAAGGAAGGCGCCAGGTTTTGAAACTTTATTAGAGATGAATCAGCTAGGGACTCGAGTCATTCCACAGAGGTCCTAAGAAGAGCCCTTGATTCTCCCCGGCATCGCGAACTTGTGAAGTTTGGTATAGTTGATGTGATGTATCAACTTGGACTGCTTCAACCAAAAAATTCATCTTTCTCTCACATCATTTCACTTGCGTTTGCTATTCTGGCCATAACAGTTCCTCATTGAAAGTCGACTTTTTCGTTCAATTGGAAGCATCGAGTCGCATGAGTGGTATTTTGACTTTTCATCTCTCGCAGGCGAAATTGCCAATAACGCATAGATCGCTTTATGACTCAAGCTCCTTGAACCAAAGTTCTCAAGCCTTTCGGAAACCGCATCACTCCCGATATTCAATCTCGGACTCCCACTCAAGCCCGCTTAGTGCGCTGCTTACCTGACTCGGCGGCAAAGCCATCTCCAGTGATGTGTAGAGGAGAGCGTCCAGCAAAAGCATCGCCAGAGCCCCACAGTAAGGTAATCATAGAGAGTTCAGTCTAGTTCATAGACTAATTTCTGATTAAACCTTCATACTGGTCATTCTGAACCCACGAAATCGTCTCAGGAGGTGCACCTAGCCGAAACTTCCGCCAACTACGGCTACTGAATTTGTGCTAGAAGCTGTACGGTGTATAGAGTTGATATATAAATACTAGCTAGTTCTTTGAAGCAACGTCAAATGCTACTATAAACGCCAAGCGATATCACAACTCCCTAAGTAAGAACAAGGAACCTACGCCTCATACGTTACCATTTCCATACTTCAAGACGGAAAAAAATCCTCAAACTCAATCAAAGACAGCTACGATGCAATTCTCGGCCATCTCTATCATGGCCGTAGCCCTGCTTTCGGGCCAAACCCTCGCAAGTTGCGGAGAAGGAACCTTTAACGGCAAATACAACGGGTACAAGCGAGTCTCAAACTGTAACCTCAACGCAAACAACGTCTACTTCTGCGGAGACTCTGGCACATCCGTCGTCCACAAGCAAAGTCAGCTTGTACTTCGCGCTGGAAAGGTCGATTCGACAGTCTTGGTCAACTGTAATGGGTACGGCTTCTTGTACCACTGTTCAGCCGGCGAAGAAGGCCGGTTCAGGGAGCCGCAGTGTAAGGGCGCGGTTTGGGAGGTTGAGAACATCAAGGAGACTTGAATGTCAATTCGAAGGTCGCTCGATCCAAGATGAAGCATGGGCTGAAGCATGCTCGTGATAGGAAAAGTTCAATTCCGTGTAACAGCGTCAATTATGTCTGGTTTGTCACAAGCCAAGGCTTTCTAAAGAGAATCTTTTGTCGAGGCCGAATCATTCCTTTTCATCAACATTATCTTTCATCAATGCTTCAAAGACTGTCGCTGCGTTTCGCCGAGGGCTTAAGCGGCCATGGAAATTATTGGTTGATTGTCAATCGATGTTCTGGACTCAAGGGTTTCAGGATACTCGAGTCGACCTGGCATAGCTATGCAGATCTGGAGTTTCTTGCACCTATGGGCTGCTTCAAGCGAGGAAAAACAGGTTTGACAGACCTGTCGTCCAATCTGACAAGATGATTGAATTTGTTCGTTCACTCAAAGCTGTAGGGGTCTGGATAAGTCGTATTCTGTATAGATGCTGGTTGTTCCCTGTGTTACATAAAAGCAGCAAGGCCGGGGTTATGGAGACTTTCCTGTCTTTAATCCGAGGGTGACTAGCAATGTGGGTAGGCGCTGAAAGGATGTTCTCATTCAATACAGTGGCAGGAAAATACTGCAAGTCTTAGCTATCGATGAGGCGACTTCCAAAGGTGACTTATGGCCTGCCCTGCCTTGAATGCAGTACGGCTCACAATTGCTTTTTAAGGTTGAACTCTCAAAAAGGTGGAAAATGTAGTGTAAGGTAGTAAGGTTCATACAGTTATTGCACACATACCTTGAAAGCACCGATTCACTTCGTGGTCAACTACTCCATACAACCTTCCACATTAAAGGTCTCTAGCGGAACCGTGAATTGAATTGCATGCGCTCAATGGTTTTAAAGCCCAATCCGCTTTTAAAGTATATCTCAGTCGTGCATGAGTTGACAACATGGGCGCGGAAGCACGTGCGCCTCTGACAAAGATAGAGTCAAACCCATCTTCAACATGTTGGATACAGGTCCAGGAGATACTCTGCTTCTGATTAGACGATGGACATGATGGGCTGACCTATTACATGGCGCACAGGCAAGAGACAAAGCCCTCTGGCATTATAGGAAACGGGCATAGACACATCGTCGTACGCCCACGCACTTGAGAGCTTACCCCCACAACTTTAGATGCCATTTTTGTTTCCTCGAACTATTGCATAGGTTGTATCACAAAAAGAACGAGAAAATGTGCTGCCAAGGGTGGGGGTCTTGTGTGTGGAATAGAGTTGATGATCTACGGCAGATCAAGCGTGTTAGTGTGTTGTCGGGACGAGTTTCCGACGAGATAAGCCCTTCCGACTTTTTGGATCCGACATGTCGGGACGCACGCACCGACACCTGCTACATCCGGGGTCGCCCCTCATTGTCTAAGCACCCGACTTTGGTCACTTGGTCATTCTTATCTCATGGATCTAAACTCAAAGCATTCCGATAACGGGCTTTTGTTAGATTTCGATCTCATCGAGGCCCAATGATGTCTTGAATTTGCGTCGGTGGCGGGCTTGTCTTATCCACCGGCGAAGTGAGGATCCAGTGCAAAGACGGCTCCGCGGTGCTCCGTGATGGAGAAGAGCCGCAAATACCACACGTAAACCATTAGTCTTCTCCGGGGCGTGCGCAAAGACGCACCATCGGAACGACGATGGCGGGGGTTGGCTAGCTCGGAGACATACCTCCCACGATGCCATGGCTCGGTCGCGATTCAGAGTTTATGCCGGCCGTAGCCGTTCGTGATCGATAAATAGAAGTACCCAGGCACCCTCCCACCATCTCTACGTGTGTCAAGTCTCGTCTCAGCCAAATATCGAAGTCTACCTATCTAACTATCACGATGACCGCAAGACTCGTTGCGTGCAGGCAGGCGCCGATGCCTTTCTGCAGATCCCTTCGACTGAAGGGAGCGGCGAGATATGTCAGCACCACGTCGGCCAAGACTCAGACCTTATCTCCAACAGCGCCGCGGACTTTCACGCCGACCCCGAAGAAATCACCCTTATCTAGACTTTCAACAAAAGCCCTGATCCGGTCACTATTCCTCACACAATTCATGTCAACGCCACTTCTCATGAAGCCAGCACTACCTCTACTGCACTTTATCGCTAACACAAAACTCGCACTTTTCAACCCCGATAAGAACCCATTGCTGAACCGACTATTGAGATGGACTATCTACGACCATTTCTGTGCTGGAGAGAACATTCCTCAGGTTTCAAAGACTGTTTCTGAAGTGAAGCGGATGGGATACCAGGGTGTCATTCTCAACTACGCAAAGGAAATCGTTCTGGATAAGAAAGCGGCCGCGGCGGAAGCGAAAGCTGGAGAGTACGCACCAGAGGTTTACCAGATGGTCGACCAATGGAAGAAGGGAAACCTCGAAACTCTCCATATGATGGCGCCGGGCGATTTCCTGGCTGTCAAGTAAGTTGCCCTGGAATACCTCCACGTATTTCTCCACTAACAACATCAGGATTACTGGCGCTGGTCCCATCTCTGTAGATGCATTGAAGGCGAAAGCACCCATCCCGGAAGTTTTAAGCAAGGCTTTAGACGAACTCTGCGAGGAAACCAACAAGCAAGGATCTCGTCTTTGGATCGATGCCGAGCAACAAGCCCTTCAACCCCAATTGGACGAGTGGACTATCGACCTCATGAGGAAGCACAACCGCCAGAGCAAGCCTTTGATCTACAACACTATTCAGGGCTATCTCAAGGGCTCCAAGGCTAATTCCGAGCGCCACATTTTCCTGGCCGCTAAGGAGGGCTGGAGCTTGGGAGTCAAGTTGGTCCGCGGCGCATACATCGAGAACGAAGTCCGATCCCTGATCCACGACACCAAGGAAGATACCGATAAGAACTTTGACGACATCGCCGACATGTTCATCAGCCAGAGACTCCCTCAAGACGCCAAGGAGTGCCAGTTCCCCGCTAGCGCGCTCTTTCTCGCTACCCACAACGCCGCCAGCTCTGCGACAGCGATCTCTACCCACCGCCGCAGAATCCTAGACGGCCAAGCAACGACTGAGCTTGAGTGCGGTCAGCTGTTTGGTATGGCGGATGAATTGAGCTGTGAGTTGCTGGACAACTACGATACCTGTGTGGCAGACTCTGGGTTGAAGAGAGATGCTATCCCCAAGCCGTTCAAGTATCTCCCGTGGGGTTCGGTTTCAGAGTGCATGGGATACCTGCACAGAAGGGCGGTCGAGAATAAGGGAGCTGTCGCGGAGAGCGCTCACATGCTTGGCTCATTGAAGAGCGAGCTGAGACGCCGGGTCTTTGGTTGAACCGACATGACCTTGTACTTTTTGTTTTCAGCGATGCATCATGACTTGATTTAGAGATATCCCAACAATAGACGCTCAAAAAAAGGAGAAACTACAAGAAGTTCACATGCTCAATTCCATACCTTCGGCCGTTCGATGTCTTCATATTTCCGAACCACGCACCCTTGCTTCCTTTTCACTAGTCTTCCATTTCTCTACTATTACACGTGCAAACCTAGCTGGGAGGTTCCATATCTCCCAACCGCCTTGCATTGGCGGAGTATTTGCCCTCTCCCTGTGAGAAGCTCATTAGTGATGATGATTAACTCGATGATACCAGGGAACAACTTACCCATTTGGGGAATGGTGTAAACTCGTAACGTTGGCCTTGAAATTCCAGCGCCCCTTCGAACCTCCAAATTTGCACAAGTCCAAGGTGACTCTGGTACATTATATCCGGAGTGAAAGAAAACCACAAGACGTGAGACATTAGTCTTCTGACCTCGCCCATGTCTATGCCGAACCGTATCAAGTAAACGAGAATCTCCAAACACGACGTCAAGTAGTCTTTGTCTCGCTCGTCGCTACACCTGTATCCGTACTTGCGCAACACCGATGGAACGCTAGTTTCCTGCATTTCTTGAATGTGCTTCACAAACTCCTGATTATCCTCAAACTCCTCGATACCCCCATCACAGGTCAGGGTATACTCTGCAATTTCATACAGGATCCAAAGGCGCGGCTCAAACCCGGGATAGAACCACGAGAAACCGCAGTTGCGAATGATTCCAGGCATTGTTTCCAGCCCTCGCAGGAAGTATTCCTCTTCACTCTCGGTCCGGGGGTACTGAGGCAGACAGGTCCAATCGACCCAGATGTGCGACCAACTCTGAACCCCAAGCTCTTTCTGATGAAGACGCAGACAAGAGCCATCAGGATCCGGGTTGTTGCTCGTGGTCCAAAAGTGACTGACGAAGAAACACTCTGATCGCATGACAAAGTTGTTGAGGGCAGGAAGAAGAACATAGTCCTCAAGCCGATCTCTGTTCCACTTCGTGAATGTCTGTTGCGAAAGAAAGGCTTCTCTCCTTTGAAAGAACCAAAAGAGCGGGAGTTCCCGTGGACTGCGTAGAAAATCGTCTAGGCTTGTGTAATTCTGCAGAAATCCCATCGCGAAGTCATGCATGTTTCCACTTGGCGAATTCCATTCCTTGATACTGCGCTCGACGAGGGACTTCCACGCATCTTCTGCGATGATAGAAGTTGTTGAGGTAACTTCAGAGGTCATCTTGGTAGATCCTGGCGTTTGACGAACAAAGATAGTGAGAGGGAAAGGGGCGTCAGGTTTGGGCAGCGTTGAGCTGGCTGTACTTATCAGTGGTACTGCGCTTTAAGAGCCTCATCTTACCACCCATCGAGGCTCTGGTCAGCGTCAAATGTAACAGCACCGCCAGCCCCAAACCACTTGATTGGCCAACAAATCCCTACCATCGTAAGACTTGTTCGACAGACGTCCAATCAGGTAGGTAAAATCGCAGTATAAGGTTTCCAAGCCATCCATCATCCATACGCCATAAGCCTAGCCAAGCTAAAGGATTTTCCACATTCATAGATGGGGCTAGTGATTGTCAATGTCGTCTGGGTAGAAGTACGCGTAGGCAGGCAGAGATGATCATAGTTGATAATATTGAAAGGTTTGTCGTAATTGATGCACGCGACACCGAATGCCCGGAGACTCTAGACCAGCGGCGCCATCTGCCTTGGCCATAACGTCAATATCTGTATGCCTTTATTTAATAATGGAAATATCTATTTGGTGGTGGATCTGTCTAGTTTCTGAAGAAATTCGCTTTTCGGTTCTTCATCCTGCCATCTCCTGCGAGGCACCTCAAACGTTGACGTGATGCGTCCATACGACTTTCCTCCCAGCTGGCCCACGGGACGTAACTTCTCGAGCTCAATATGACTGAAGTCAGGATCAGCAGCATCCTCCATGACCCAAAACCGCGTCGCCTTAAGCAAAACCATTCCGGCGACACTCTTTCCATCTTTCGCGTGGTCACTGAATTCTTTGATGTCTACCACTTTTGCCTCTATCGAAAACACTGACTCCAGAACTCTTGATGGCTGCACCGTTGTAGTCTCTCCCTCGTGCAGCCCTGAGATAACCCACTCAGAGACTCCATGCGGAGCGTCGATGGAGGTAGCGTTGACAGCCTCAATCATGTCTTCCGACACTGTGTTGATGACGCATTCGCCCGTCTCCTTGAGATTCCGGTACGAGTCTTTGACAGCACCGGGTCTCGATGAGAAACCGACTATAAACATGGGTGGGTCATGGTCAATGACTTGGAAATAGCTAAAAGGCGCAAGGTTCTTCTTGCCATCCTTTGACAAGGTGCTGAGAAATCCAACCGGCCTTGGTGCGATTCCAGAAACGAGAAGGCGGTAGTTATTGATCATTGATCGATTTGATGCGTATGGGTCAATTTCCTTGTGGGATGCGGAGTTACTGTTCCGGGTGCGGACTCCCTGGCCGTAAGACCACGTTGGATTGGGGGATTTTGTAACCTCAATTGGGGCGTTCGAGTGGTCAAAGTCCGGGCGCTTGGATTGTATCTCTTCGAAATTTCCGAGGCGCTCTACAATAGCTCCTTTGGAGTCATCTGATTTGCTTGAAGACATTCGGGCTGTCCACCCTTCGCTGGGTAACATGCACGGGGTGAGTCGCCGTCTACTAGGCGGCGGCTTACTTAGCATTTGGTCCATACGCGTTGCTATTAATACTAACTTACCTTGGAGTAATCAATCGCCCGAGCAAGGGAAATCTCATTGTCACCACAATTGCTTCAAAGTCTGCTTCAATTCTAATTACAGAGATTCTGGCTACAGCGCGGAGTTCACTTAGTTTCAAACCCCGACAACCTCGTTCTCCAAGTCGGCGGTTCGCCTAGCCATGGCGTGCTGGCAAGAAGCCGTCTTGGAGGTGTGATAAGACACAATGACGCTATTGGTTCACAAACAGTCGGAACGCGAGTCCGATCTCCACCTTGGCGTGTGTTGGGGAATGTCGGAGACCTCATCCGACATTACGCAACTCGGCCACCCCGTGGCAGAACCGGTGACTTTCCAAGCCTCCTTCTCAAACACAACCTAGCTGTTTGCCATTGAAGATCTTACGCAACGGTTATCTCACGATGCCAAGGTGGCATTTCGGCGAAGACTCCTGGGGTTTGACTCCTCTGCTCACTGCATGCCGACAACGCTGATAAAGGCAGGGCTCATCATTCGTTCTTTCGGCGGCCCTATCTGCAGATTCCATTGGGATGCTGATTCATACCGATGCATACACCATACAATAAGAATCTGCTTCCAGATGAGAGCGCGATGTTCATCTGTTCGTGTATTGGGATGCAAATACCAATAGGTTTGGCCTTCACCTGGTTGCTTGGACCACCTGCTTGGGCTGGGTTGATGACTTCATCAACGCCTCTTCTCCCTTGCAAGCCCACCCCTCGAAGTCAAATGGTCTCGTGATCGTTCGACCCCGGATTTCTGGCAAATTCTCCATATCCCTTGACGTCCGACACACACGTGCCGATCTTCCCCGCGATAGAGCGCGCAGCTCAGCAGACGCTACGTTCTCCGTCATCCTTACCGACTCCGGTGCCTCCGGAGACAATGAACGGACGAACATCCGTAGACGCTGTGGGGTAGAAGAACAAGCATCCCAAAGATAACAATGGCGCAAGGACCGCAAAGACCCTCCTGTGTCGGCTATCTACGGCGAGCCATCGACCCCAACACCTGGCTGATAAGCCAACCTGCGGTCTCGCACTAGCGGACTGTATGCCCCAAATTTGCCAGTGCCAATAAAGAGGTCAAGCCGCGCACATATAAAACTTATCGGAACCCTGCTCCGACATATCAAAGGGCCCCAAAGTTACGGCGAAGACTACCCAAATTCCAGCAAACGAGAGAGGGCAAGAGACATGAAATTATCGAATTGGCCCCACGAGAACCGTCCGTCATGCCGCAATTAAGCCAGGGACAATACAAAGTGACCAAAAAATGCCAAAAAGCGTGCGTTTCTTGTGCGAAAGGGCTGAGGGAAAGGCCCGGGCGTTCCGATGTTCGGAGAGAGTGAAGGCTGACTCTAAGACTTGCAACAAAAAGTTGCGAAAGATGTCGGGTAATGAAGGTCAAGTGCTCCGGCTCTCAGCCTTGCACGCGTTGCGATCGAAAGAAGCATAGATGCATCTTTGCTGTTGAGGATAAGAGGATATCGGTGCCGGAAAGGTGAGTTGTCGGAACCCCTGCGCGTGCATTGCAGGCAGTTGTCGGGTTGAGAAACAACAACTGACTCCACTTTCCAGTTACCTCCGAGAACTTCAGAACCGGAACAGTGAGCATCCAGGCTCAGACCGCTCGACGAGGGCACTGAGCCGCGGAGACGACGTCGAGGACGTGCAGAGTCGGTATGCGGATGCGGATGCGTATGCGACGCCGCATCATACTTCTCTTTCTCAGGGTGAAGATAATGCCGGGCAGTTGGAGACCCCGAGCCATGGTGAGTTGTGCTTGTCTCTTGTTGCCAGGTTTGTGCACACAGACGAGAGAAGTCTTATTGACGCGGCCAACGTCGTAGACAGCCCACAACCGATAGGCCCTCCGGCATCCGAGCCGGATACTGAGGTAGGAGATGCTCGTTCGAATCAGGAGGATCACGGCGACTTTGGCCCAGGGTTCAGGCAAAACCCGCTGGTGGACAACGATTACACCTTTGCAAAGGTCGGGGAACGATACTGTAAGCCACATGCTGTTTCTCCTAGTACTGAGTGAGTTGAGCCAATACTCACACCTCCACAGGGTACATGGGCCCAACATCATCATGGTCATTCTGCCGACGAGTTCTGGCCCTCCTGGGCAAACGCCTACCAGAAGCAGCCCCTGATCCATGGCATCTCCCTCACGAGGGCGCCTTCAGGATGCAATGGACGCCATTAGGTGCCACTGAGACTCCCGATGTCTCCAACCTCCCGCCGCTTGACTACGCCCTCTTCCTCTTCAACACGGTCAAGTTCTACCTTGGCGCCGTCTTCTATGTAATTGACGAGCCATCCTTTCTCAAGAACCTCCATGAGTTGTACGAGGACCCCGCGGGTAAGGCTAGCTCGGCGAGGCTGTGGTATGCGCAATACCTCTTAGTTCTGGCGTTCGGCAAGGCATTTGTTGTGAATAGTATTTCACATACGGCACCGCCGGGGGTACAATATGCTTCGAGGGCCATGTCATTGCTGCCAGATCTATCAGGACTGAATCCGGATACGATTCCGGCTATCCAGGCGCTTGCTCTGGCTGCGTTGTATTTTCAGTGTTTGGATATGAGGCTGGCTGCGTATCAACATGTAAGACCCTGGATCCCTCTCTGCTCTGGCTTTCTCATTACTAGGGGTTGCGAGAGGAGTCGTGTACTAATGAGATGCTAGATCGGACAAGCATTACGAATCGGCATTGTTGAGGGCATCTACAGACACATGCCTGAAGAGGTTGTCGGGATTGAGTACTCGAGACGGTGCAACATTGTCTTCTGGGTGGTATACACCCTAGACAGAGAGTTCTCGGCCTTGATGGGAGCGCCGACCTCAATTCGGGACGAGGACATCACTGTGAAACTCCCTTCACAGATGGACAACTCCCTCGATGCACTGAATATGACCCTTCATGTACGGCTATCGCGGCTCATGGCTCGTATTCTTACAAGTGAGTTCCATCAGCCGTAGGACAACGTACACCGAAGTTCTTGGTTCCTGACATGATGTTACTAGCTATTTACGGTGTGGGCAAAGAGTTTGATGGCTCACTAGTCCCCAATACCCAATCTATCCTACGAGACCTGGCCAGGTTATCACGAGATCTTACCGCACTCCTCGACACCCACTTCCAAGGCTCAGTCAGCCGCGCTTCTAGAATGGCACTGCGACTCATCCTATCATATCACCACGTAAGTACCTTACCTCCACGCACTCTTCCAATGCCATCGTTAATCCCAGAAGTGCGTCGTCCTGACAACTAGACCACTGGTCATGTGCGCCCTCCACATGCACATCGAACACTCCGACAGCCACGCGCGACACCCACAAACAGTCTCCCTAACACCACCAGTCGCATCCCTCCTCCAATCCTGCGTCGACTCGGCGCAAACCGTCCTCCGAACCCTCCGCGTGCTCGGCGACGAAGACCTCCTCGAAGCCTTTCTGCCCTTCCAGCTTGAAGACGCATTCTCCTCCGCCTTCCTCCTCTACCTCATCCGGGTCATCAGCCCTTCTCTCTTGCACGACGATTCATGGTGTGAGAATATCAAGTGCGTGCTAGACAAGATGATTTCAAAGGGGAGTCTCGTGGCGCCGCTGAGAAAGCTGGAGCTGAGTCAGTTGGAGCACATCATGTCTGCGTTAACGCCTGTGGGCGAGGAGCCGCCGACGCCACCGCCGACGAGTGCGGCGCATCACCATTCTCAACATCATCATGGGCACGGGCACGAGCATGGGTCATTCTTGGACCAGATGGAGGAGGCTGGGTGGGATATCTTTGATACGAGCGGGATGGGCGGTCTTTCTCCGCAGGCGTTACTGGATTTGGCGGAGAGGTTGGATGTGGAGGACTTGATACAATCTGTTGATGGGGATGGTGATAGAAGATAATGACGTACTTACGGTAATCAAAAGTTGAATGACAAATGGGGTAGGACAATGGCAACGAACGGCTCTTTGGTGGTCTATTTTCATGATCTCGTCTCTGTCCCAATCATACGCTACTCGAGGATTGCTCTCGGCATAATGAAAGAAAGACATCGTCCCCGGTGGGGCTATATCTCTTGGTGCTCATGCTAGGGGTAGAACTCTGGTACTCTCGCTAACCCTGTCGTCGAGGAGGCTGTGGGCGTAGTTGATTATTGACCTTGAGCCACTCCACCACCAAGCTTGATCGGCCTGACCAACCGACCTAGGAAGACGCCTGCTGTGCTGGTGACAGAAACGGCGTTGGAGGCAGCCATATTGGCTTTTTGTGTATTCAGGTGGCCGAATACGTTGGATCCAACATCGTGAACTACAGATTTGCTACCATACTCAGACATTGATAGTTTACAAAGACTCGCGAATAGCCGACTTGAACTATATCGAACGTTCTATGTCAGCTTGAAGCTTCACAACTATTTGCGGGTAGTTAAATCTAAGAGCAGGACGTCAACTTACCGGAATGACCTGAGCCTTCTCGAGGTCCCAGACGTCGTTCTTAGCATAGACGTCGCCTCTGATGAGTTCCCAGGCTTCCTCGGCGTCCTTGACGGTGTAGATCATCACGCTGCCCTTGAAACCGGGGGTTTGGCCCTCGACGGGGTGTTCCTTCTCAAACATGGCGCCTATCATATTCATAAGCACGAGAATCGCGACGAACGCCGAAGGAGGGATGGTGTGTCAAGCTTGGATACATACCACCGACAGCAATCTTTCCGTTGCTCTTGTGGCCCTGGGCATTCTCGAGATGCGTACTGAGACAAGTCAGCAATCGGCCCGGAACTACACTCAGCCTCTTATAAGAGACCTGTTCTGAGGACTAGGTCACATACGGTCGGACCTCCAAGCGCCGGGCAAGCGCATCGGGCTTGTCGGGAAGGATGCAGAGGAACTCCTTGGTAGCCATTGTGCGGTAGCGATTGAACGGCGAAGAGACGAGTCTTGTAGTAACAAAGGGCCTCCGAACTGCGGGGACTAAGCTGCTTCTCAGAATTCCGACGGACATTGACATTATTGCAATCAGGGAGGGGAAAGCTTCACACGGCGAGATCAATCACGGCGTCATGTGACCGGGAAGTGCGGAGGTGGAGCGGTTCGAGTTCGGAGTTTGAGGGGGAATGGTGGGGCACGGTCTCTGTTTGGCAGCTCCGATGCCGGAATTTGGTGCCGAAAGTAGCCGGCAGTGTGTTGGGAATGCCAGGCTATGAGCCTCCGGAACTTGCCTCCATCTCGGTTTTCTTGCGACGTTCTGATAGATTACTGGTGAGCAATGTTAAGAGAGAAGATGTTCCGATGAGTTATTCGCTTTATCCCTAAATGTGTATGACCAATTGCTGGTTCATGATCAGCATTGAGTTTTCAACTGACGTGTATGATTATACTCAGGTGCTGCAGCTAAATGATGTTATGCATTTGAGTCCGTTTGCTCGGCTCATGATGGAGGCATAATTTTTCAGTGATTGTCACCGATAATGACACATGGAGCATACGCCTATCTTTATCTTACATTAAATGTGCTTGCTAGTCGTTACCCAAGCAGGTGCTTGATACTGAAGCTGATCCTATGCATCAGATGGTGCAAAAATGCAAAAGAGGACGGAAGCACCTTGAAATGTGTTGATATGTCAGGTCGTACCCGGGTTCGAACCGGGGTTACCAGAAGTTTGGATATGATCAAAATCTGGAGTGATAACCGCTACACTATACAACCTCTAGTTGGTCTCGTTGACCCATCGCCTGAGTGGAGGCTGGTTGATGCGACTCCGAAGCGAGAATCCACAATAAGAACGACCAAGCGCTGACTGTGTCTCGGTTATGACCAAACGACGCAGACGCGTCTGACCAGGAACCACATTGTGACTGATCGTCCAAACCTCGACGACTATCTACGACGTCACGACTTTAGGCTAGTCAGCAAACCAGATGCACAACTACATGTATATACTTCAAGATAAGCGGGTAACAGAAGCCCTCAGCACTTAATCTCTATTTGTCTCTTTGACCCATCACCCTTTTGCGCTAAGTAGTAGTAGGCTGAGCTAGTTTAAACAATACCATTATCCAGCGACGCGTCGACAGTAAACTGATACTCAGGCCTCCCATGCAACGCAATGCTCTGATTCCCATAAACAAACTGTCCCTGCGTGCCGACTGGTGCCCGAATAGTAACACCAATATCACCATCGCGCACCCTCCACTCAACACTCAACTCACCTTCAAACGCAGTGACAACCTTGGCGCTCGCCCTCTTCAGCCCCATCTCGACACCACTCGCAGGCGAAACCACCCAGTTCCTGTACCCAAACCCGTCAACACCCGTAGCAGCCCGCAGCCCCGCAGCCCACTCCGTTAGCACATACGTCGCGGCGCCGCCCCACGGATGACTCAGGCTCGTGAACAGTCCCAGGCCGGGCTGTTGCGTCGCGGCGTTGACGTACTCCCAGCTCGCGCCGACCGCGCTCTTGTTCTGCGCTGCGGTCGTGTCGCCGGGTAGCATAGCGCCCCAGAGACTCTCCATCAACTCTTTCGCTGCCTGCGTCTCGTTGCCGATGAACAGCGCTTCCAGCAGGAAGCCATTGGTGTTGGGTGAGATGTTGACGCTTGAGTCGTTGGAACTCACTGCCGAGGTATCCTTGTATCCCGGACCCAGCTTCAGGCGTGATACAGCGTCAAGAGACCGCGATGCGCGTGTTGCATTCGCCACGCCTGAAGTGATGCAGAACGCCGTTGCAGCCACAGAAATGCCGTCCAGATCAGCCGGCGAAAGACCGTACGCGCCTGCCTCCTCGTTCCAGAGACGCTCGTTGATCGCAGTCGCAAGCGATGTCGCCGCGTCCCGGTATCGCGTAGCAGATGCCGTATCATTGAGAGCATCAGCCACGTCAGCAGCACCGTTGAGAGTTTGAACGGCCTCGCATCCGATCGCGGATCCCCCGTCAGCGGGCCCCGTAAACGCGAACCCTCCATCGAAAGTCAACAGCCCTGTCGTAGAGTTGATCTGTGGCAGAAGCCAGTCGAGCACCCCCTGCCATCGCGGCCACGTGGATCTTGCCCACTCGAGGTCGTTCGTCAGACGCACGTGGTCGTTGAAGGCCATGAGGCCTAGGAGCTGGTAATCCTGCAGCCCGAAGCTCCCCGCCGGCGCTAACGCATCGGCGACGGAGGAGAGGTTGTAGCCCAGATTAGGCGAGATGTTCATCTGCCCGTTTGCGATTTGTGAATCAAGTAGCAGCTGCAGGGTCCCCCTAGCCTGCTCCGTCTTTGATGTGCTGACGGCGATGATGCGTGCCGTGTGGTAAAAGTCGCCGAGCCAGATGAGGCGGTCGCGCTTCGGACCGTCAAGGCAGGCGGCTTCAGTGTTAGCTTGAGTCCCGTATTCGGCGAGGATGTCTTCCGCGTTGCCGGTGAGGGTGTTTGAGTAGAGCGTGGAGCCATTAGCGGTGTCGTAGACATGCACGTTCTTGAAGTAGGCTGCCTGGTCTTGGTACGCCCCGAAGCCGAAGGAGCCGCTGAAATCAGGCGACCCGGTGTAGGAGACTATGCCGGAGCTGAGAGCCCACGGGTAGTCGGAGCGCGAGATGTTGAGGATCTGGGTGTCGTTGATTGAGACTGCTAGGTGGCCGGTGGGGGCCATGGAGGCTTTGATGCGGTACCACTCGTTCTCTTTCACTGTGAACGGGACCTCGAAGACGTCGAGCAAGTAGCTTGTGAGTGTTGTCTGGTTCACAAAGTCAGGACCGTATGCCAGTGAAATGGTGTTGGGCGGTGTCAGAGTCTTGTTGACGTTCGCGAAGGTCCTCGACTCGGGAAGCTCGCCGGTGAGGAGCATGGTGTATCCATTGCCGGCGATGACTCCTCCCTGTGTATCTCATCAGCATTGGCTTTCCCCCGGACCTTACGTGAGTCCGAACTTACCGTTATCCACCAGCTGCCTCCCCTCTCGATCTTGGTATCAAACTCAAGAGTGTAATTGCTCCACGTTGTGCCCTTGTATGTCACTGAGGGTCTGGTGCTACGCGCAAACACCCCGTTCTCTTCAGTGACCTCCCAGATTGTCGTTTGCGTACCCTTGTCAAAGCAGGCCGCCGTGGCTGCCCGAGCACCGAGCTTCCAGACCTCGTTCAGAATCTCATCGTCACTCTCAAACTGCCCCGGAAGCTTCTCTGGCTCAATAGTATCGATCGTCGCCTCGAAGCCCACGCTCGAGAAAGAGACAGTGCTATTCGTCAAAAGTCTGATGGATTGCCATTTCTGCCCTCCTTGAATGAGCGGGGATTGGACTCGGCCGACAGACGTGATGTTGAACGTCTCGACGCGGAAGCTGTTGCTGAGCTGATTGGAAAAGGTGTACGGCCCGTCGCCGAACGGATGATCGAGCCCGTCAAAGTGCTCAGTGTACTTCACCTCGATCTGGGCCGGGGCGCTGAGGGCGGAGACTTCAAAGATCGGATAACCCGCTCTCTCGGCTCCGTAATCCAAGGTGGCCAGCGGGATTTCCGGGCTTAGGGTGAACGGGGCGAAAGGGGAGGTCTGCAGCTGTGCTGCCGTGCCGGTAGCGATGCCTTTGGCCGTGAAGCTTCTGATTGAAATCTTGAAATTAGGGGTGGGCTCCTTGCCTGGGAGAAGGTAGCTCTTGGTGTCTTACCTCGTGGTCGAGTTGAGGCTTGACGCATTGGCGACAACACCAACGGCACCGGCTGCGAGCGCCAGCAACAAACGTGAAACTGCCATTCCTACTTCTGGGACCTAGTGCTATGGGCAGGAAAGATCTAAACGACAGTTTGAAGAGGCAAAGCAGCAAAGTTTCCTCTCACAACGAAAGACTCATCGAAGACGAACATCCCGGCCTTAATTTCCTCGGCTTGTGGCCGCCATCTTGTAGTCTGGAATATTCGCACGATCCACACCGAGCAGATTACGTCGCGTCACCCTCGCAACTGAAAGCATGACTGCTCGGGCCATCGGTAGCCGAGCAGAGCAGTCCTTGTCTTCGTCTCGTGTGCTTATTAGTGTCATTTCGATCACCATTTAATGTTAACATCCCTCGCGAAATCCACAAAGGAAACTTGTGGTTAGGGTTGCTCGCCGACAAACACCCCGATCAGGCGCGCTCGATGCAAGTTCCCCGGACCCAGGTGTTTGTTTGTGGGGAAATGCGCGGGGAAGGCTGTTCGGGGCAGCATGCCGGCTGTGTGAAGCACTTTTATCGGCACTTCATCGCGGTGAAACGTTGTCGATTGATCCCCGGACCGAACCGAGCCGATGAAAGAGGTCCGGAACATCATATGAATGTTATGAATGCAGCACGAGACGACGAGCCAAGGATCGGACTGACTTGCAGGAATAAGAACATAAAAGAAAGTCCTTTCTCTGCCGTTGCCCGCGTTTCCAGGGTCTATCGAAGCTGTAACATGTTCTTGCTGCAATGATGGCGATCATGGGAAATAGGTACTTGGGATTCCGAAATGTAAGACTCAGTTCAACTACCTTAGGTATCAATCGCAATGACTATAAAGAAACGCATCAATCATCAAGGGCACAAGAAAAGTGCTTCCCTCTCCACGCCTCTCCGTTAACCCTTATTGTCATTCTTCTTCTCGTCCAGACAGATGCACAGGGCACACATGAGCGCCATATCGACCCCCGGTGCCACCGTGAGCGCGTACGTCTGCTTGCCACCGAAGAAGTCGCGCGCCCGGAGCATGTTTCTGTCAATTCGCCCCAGCACCTGGCCGGTATTCGTGTCAACAATATCGGCCTGTGTCGATAGCCAATTGCCCTTCATCTCGAGCGATTCCGTCTTGCCTGTCTGTGGTGAAACGAACGTCGCGGTAGCTTTTGAGCCGATAACTAGTGCAACCCACATGGTTAGCTGGGTACTCTTGTCCGCTATGACTAGCACCAGGGAGGTAGGTAGGGGTAGCAAACTCACGAGCAAAGCTATTCTTCACCTCCATAATCTTGTTGCCCTTGGGATCCTGCGCCGCAAATGTCGTGTGGAGGTGCAAGTGCTCCTTGACGATATCAAATAGGTGATTCCCCGACATATCATAGACAGCCTTGCGGCCCGAGATTGACAGCGCCTTGCCCTGCACACGGAGGATCGGTTGGCCATTGGCGAGCTTGATGTCGAAGCTGTCGCCGGTGATGGAAAGGATCTTTTCCTTGAGCACGAGGGTCTCGCTCTGGCGCGCCGTCAATTGCGGGAAGATGCCGACCGAGTTTCCGGCTTGGGGCAGGCTATGAACTGCTGGGGCAGCCATGGTGCTTATTTCGTGTGTTTTCTCGTGGGGGTTTTACTGGGTCTTCTTATCCCGTTTTCTGTCGTGAATTGTGAGATCGCAATGGGAGTTGACAGAAAGAATAATCTTCACAACGCTTCATGCAGCGGAGACGAGGGATGACGACTGGTTTTAAGTAAGACGCATGTGAAAGCTCATGCGAATCAAAGCTCCTACCGTCAGCTTGAACCTCGACACTTTGGAGATCTGCTGGCTGCCTGCGGCTGAGTAGACCATTGGGGGCAGTGCTTATTGCTTAGCGCCACCATCCGGTTTCGCAGGCTCACAGGGCGATGAGACACAACACAAGTACCTGAAAGAAGGGATGATGAGGTGAGGGGCACAAGGAGCTGGTTCGTTGAGAGCTTGGTGTCAGACTGTCAGATGAGGCTCGCGATGACGTCAAAGGATGAAGCTGTCTGTCCACTGGCAATGCGGAGGGAAGCTCAAGCAATGCAGAGATCAGACCCTTTTTCTTCCCGTTTGACGTCTCAAAAGAATGGGCGAGTCTCACGCTGATTAGCTGTGATGAAGCGCTAAGTACTTCGCGGTAGAAGAGGGGCTGCGTACGCCACATTATTCCCGGCTCGCAAGTTGCCTGTGGTTTAACGGTTTCATTGCAGCTCTTGGGAAGTCATGACTACTCACCAAACTACTTACCTTGGGAAATGTACGTTGGTCAAGTTACAAGTAGCTTGGGCATATGAAGACACCATCCCATCCGAGGCCGAAACCGAGAAACAATTTTCCTCAAAGTTTGGCACAGCCACAAACATGCGGCGCATGGCCGCTCCAGCCACTCATCTACGCATTAGCTCTACAGCGCCTCGGTCCGCCACAGTTAAACATCGCATGGCTAAAATGCTTCAAGGCACACTCGGCTTGGCCAGCTGCTCGTGGTAAGAGTGTCAAGGAAGTGGCGTCATGATGTCGATGATGGAACACGATGGTATTGATGATTATTGGTAGCATTAAACACATATCAGAGTTGAAGGTGATGACTTTTCACTATTTATACTATATTTGGTCGAAACAATTAAGGCCACATCAGAAACTCATCAATCCAATCTACTAGGTAGACGAGAATGGAGAGCAAGGACCATTAAGTTGATTCATCATTTTCTGGAAAATTATTCACAAACGAATACAAGATTATCATGGTTATGTCAATCTGTAGTTGATTGTGACCCTTCTTAGATTACATCAACATTGCCCTTCACTTCCCAGCTATTGATGGGATAGAAACGTGACATGAGTTGCTTTCCATCTCTCAAGTAGTCCATGGCCCGGCCGAAATTCCAAAGGTACCTATATTCAGAAGTCCAGAGGAACGGAATCAATGCCCCTCAAGCTCCTTCTCAGTCCAATCCCACAACTCCTTGGCCGCCTTATCGTCGTACAAATTCGCCTCCTTATACTCCTTGAACTTCGGATTGTAAAAGCCGCCACTCTTCACATTGGCACTCGCAGCCGTGCTGGCCCAAAGCTGAGCTCGCGCACCCGCGTGGACGTCTGTCAGGAAGATCGATCCAAGTACGCCAATCACTCCACCGACCCAGGGCCTTCTCTTTCTGAAGTCGTCAAAGAGACCGGTGTTGACGACTCCAGGGTGGACTGCAACGAACTTGATGGAGGGGTAAAGCTGGCTCAGCGTGCGGGTGTGGTAGTAGTCTGCGAGCTTGGACTGCCCATAGCGAGCCAGACTGGAGATGTCGTCGAGTGGGGTCTTGCACTTTGAGAGGAGAATCCCCTCCGAGGGCGCTTGTTTGAACAGCTCTGAGCTCAAGTTGACGACGCGGACGTCGGATCCTGACTGTTCGGCAGTTTTTTTGAGGATCGGAAGCAGCAGTTTAGTGAACAGAGCCGGACCCATGTAATTTGATCCAAACTGAACTTCGTATCCATCTGTTGTCAGGCCTGGTGGTGTAGCCATCAGACCAGCGTTGTTCATCAAGATGTCGAGACGGTCGGCTGAGGTGAGGAAGGCGTCGGTGGACTTCTTGATCGAGGCGAAGGAACCTAAATCTAGCTCGAGGTACTTGATCTTGTTCTTGGCTGCCGGCACGGCTTGCTCCACCTCCTTGATGGCGGCATTACCACGGGCTTCTGTCCTAGCTGTGAGGTAGATTGCTGCGGGGTTATGCTTCGCCAGCTGAATAACGCTTTCTTTGCCGAGACCGCTGCTTCCACCTGTAACGATGATGACCTTGCCGGCCAGGTCCGGTATGTCCTTCTCTGGAGAAAACGTCATGGTAACGTCGTGGCGTGAGCTAAAGTTGCCAATGGGGGCGAGTTTATGGAGTAGTGAATGGAAAAAATGGACGCGTTGTTATATGGCACTGTCTAACTTGGGTATGTTGATTCGATGATGCTTCGAATGGGTATAACGAGGTAAAGGGGTGTCTGAGAAGCCAACGTGATGCTACAAATCTCTAGGTAACAGCGACGGTTAGCAGAGCTAATGGGTCATAATATACTAATTGGTCAACTTTCAGAGCCGCGGCCAATATCAGCTGATTGGTTCACATCCCGCCTTGTCTCGGAGACTTTGTCTTTGCTGCATCGTTCATGGCTGCGGCCTTGCGGGTTTCGAAGAGCTTGGAAAGCCGGCGCCGAGTTGAAAACTCGCTGACCAATCCGATCAGCAGTCCATAGATTAAGACAATCGACCAAGATTTGTTATTTCAAAATGCGTGAAAAGTATTTGCGAAATTGCGACTTATCTTGGTTTGGCATGCGCCCCGTAGCCGGCGATACACGAATGCGGAAGCGGAACTTGCATTGGTCCGATTCTATCAGCCCAACGCAACGCGTTCACTAATCATTTTCAGCTGACGTTGACTGCAGCTGAGTCGGAGGTATTAGTCGTAGGGCCCGAGTTGGTCGCGCGTATTACAGCAGGACAAAGCTCTGTTGAAGCCAATTGATATCTGCGCGCCCATTGGCCAAAAAAAATCCAATGGTTGTCCCCTAAACCCTCAGAGCATGGTTTCTTTGAGTTGTGAATTTAGCGACACATGTTCCGATACGCAATTCTATTGGGATTTTGCATAGTCACGATAATCCCAACCTAGAAATACTCATGGGCTGACGTTCGGTATCCAACGTATCAAATCACGACAGATAAAATCATGGAGGCTTGGTATTAAGGTTATCTTGTTCAAACCTAGCACGGGATGATGTTGAGAATGAGATGGTGACAAAATTTTACGGACTACTTCAAGGTGATGGGAATGAAGACGAAGCAGCGGCTTACTTTGATATGCTACGTACCAATACTCCAATCTTTCAAAGTTTAACTTAGGTAATGAAGAAATTGAGATATCAACAACACTGAGGTACGCAAAGTCCCAAACGTTTTTCAAAACACAGGCCGTTCAAACTGATTTCCCCCCTTAGGTGTAAAGACGGGCAATCGTCTCAGGCAAGTTCAGCTCCAAGTCCACGGCTGAGACATTGCGAGAAAGCAATGCCGACCTCTTCGCGATATCCTGCGCCTCCGGATCAAATTGTTGCTGGAAGAAGTCCTTGGTATCCTCAATGACCTGCTCAAGCGACGGCGCCGAAGCTCTGTTAATCGTCTTCTTGCCGCCGCTGAGAGCTGACAGAGGGAACCAGCTGAAGCGCTGGGCGAGCTTGTCGATGTAGCCGTACATTTCATCGGAGGTGTCGAATGCCTTGTTGATCCATCCGATGTTCGCGGCGTCCTCTGCAGTGATGTCGTTGGAGCTCAGGACATACTCCATGGCGCGGCCTCTGCCGATGAGACCCGGGAGGAATTGGCTGCCGCCACCGCCGGGGAACAAGCCGCTTCCGACTTCGGGTTGGCCGAAGAGGCTCTCGCCCTTTGTGGCGAAGCGCATGTCGAGAGAAACGAGGAACTCGTTGCCGGCACCGCGGGCGCGGCCTTCAACAGCCCCGATGGTGACTTGGTGCAACTGGGAGACGTTGTAGATGAGAGTACCAAATTCTTTGCCAAATGCAGCTTCAAGATGTCAGTGATTGTGCCAGAAAGCTAATAGAGGGTTCAGTCTTGTTTCTCAGGCGCACTTACGATCTGCCAACTCAGGCAGGGAGAGATCTAGATGCGCCATGAAAAACCTAGGAACATCGCTGTTGAAGATAACGACCTTGGTTTCGTTATTGATCTGGAGGCGAGACACCAAATCGGTCAAATCGTGTTGGGTATCCAGGTTCCACAAGTTGATAGGGGACGAAGGATTGTGAAAGGTCACCGTCAAGACGCTGCCATTTTGAGCTGTCTTTAATCCGGTGTAGTCGGGAAGGTCTATGCAGTATGCGGGCCGTACTAAAGTAGCAGCCAAAGCCAGGCCAGAGAAGATAAAAGAATGCATTATGAGTTTTGAGAGACTAGCAGAGAGCTTGAGACGAGGATTCGAGGAACTGATCGACTGATGAGAGACTTGGGATGAACTAGTCTTTATTAGCAGCCTGTTGCTTTAAATACAGGCTGGATTTCCTCACAGCAAGGATACCCGTTATTACTTGCTTATAAACCAAGTCATTTAGAGCGTCGTGCGAGTTATATGGAGAGATTAGTGATTATTTGCCGAACCCCTTTCTCCGAGAATCTGAAAGAAGCAATCCAAAGACCAGCTAGTCATTCACTCAGTGCGCTTACAAATAGCTCTCAAAGATATTTTCCCTTCAGCATCCTGCCTCAAGACTTGAGAATCTGCTTGGAGCGAATCGGTGATACCTGGAGACAACCCAAATGCATAGTAGCCTATAACACAATTTGGAAAGATTTGCTCTAGTATCTCGTGTTATTTGGAAGCGTTGAGATCTAAGCACCTGTAAATAATATGGATATTGAAGGTGGTGTGGTCCACTAGACCGACCACTTCTCCATTTACCTAAGGTAGTACATCTTCTAGCGAAATCTTGGGCTTCTATCCATTCTTCACATTCCATACCACTCACGTAGCAGGACCATCAACTCTTGACTATCACACCCACCCCACGGTTGGTCTGCTGATGTGTGTACCGAGAGCACGCCTGCGGCTTTCCACGCCATGTACGGTTTAGGAGTTCAGCCGCAAGGGCTGCAGCATCCTTGCCGCCACGGCATTGAACAAAAGTGACAACAAGAACGCCACATACCATTCGAGAGGTCAGCCGCAAGGGAAGCGCTCCCTTGCTGCCATGGCGTTCAAGACAACGCCACATAGCCCCCGCTCTTATTTGGCTGAAAGCATGCGTTGTACGGTTATAACATTCTGATGTTGACCTCTGAAGCTGCCAATCTTAGTATTGAACGTTGGTACAAACATAGCGACGCTCTTTCAATGTACAGTTAAATCTGATCTTATCGTGTCCCAACACCTACACCGACTTCCTCTGAATTGCTTCTGCCGTTGCATTTGTCTGGTCGTCAACTAGACCCACCAAAAACCGATGGAGAACATTCCGGAGATTGTCGAAGCCATCCGCCAGCCTGCGGAGGTGCTCTCCCAACATCCAGATGATCTTGGTGTGAAGCAAGCACTTGCAAAAGCCATCAATGCTGCAACGAGAGCTTTGGAACAGCTCACTAGTGTTTCCACGGGATCGCTTCAAGACATCAATCTAATTATCGAGTGGAACGAACAGGTTTTATCGGTCGTGCCTGAAAAGCATGCGTCCCGTGCGACCTTGTTGGGCGACCTCTCCCACGCATATTATCAACGATTCTCCATGACGGGATCCGACGGAAACGTAAACGACCTGAACAGGGCTGTGCAACTTGCCGAAGAAGATGTTCCAGCTACGCGCCCAGAAACGGAGCAGCGGATGTTAGCTTTAGCCAACCTCAACCAAATGTTACAAAACCGGTACGACTACACGAGAGATAAGCAAGACATAAATCGGGCCATCAGTGTGGGTGAAGATGCGGCGGAGAGGATACCCAAGGACTCGCGTTACACTGCCCTGATTTTGCGCCGGCTTGCTATCTCGCGTGGTAAGCTGTTCGAGCTCACACATAACCTAGATGACGCCGAGCGAGCTCTTAACACGGCTGAGGCCGCTGTAAAGACAGCAAAATCACAGGGGGACGTGCCTGGTGTGGCAATCGGTTCCAACACTCTAGCACGAATTCTGGGGAGGCGGTTCGAGCAAACAGCGAACATTGAAGATCTGGATCGTGCAGTCGATGTTCTCACTGCCACTGTGCCACTGATTCCAAAGAATCAGATAGACTATGTGGTTGGTACAAGCTACCTGGCAACCTTGCTGGGTATCCGTTACGAGCAACAAGGGGATGTTGACGATCTCAGTGCAAGCATTTCATACACGAAGAGTGTGCTGCAGTTGATAAGCAATGATGATACTGAGAGACCTGTCCAGTTGTTTAACTTGGCGAACAGGCTTGTTGAGCGAGCGCAATATACCGGTGTCCTCAGCGATCTCGACGATGCCGTTGACTACGGGCGACAAGCTCTGCGCCTGGTGCGTGCAAATCATCCCAAACGGACCAATTGGCTCAGGGGACTCAGCCAGTTCCTGGGTATACGATTCAGCATGGGTTCAAAGCATCCACAAGACATTCAACAGGCAATCGACCTCAGTAGAGAAGCGGCTCAGGTGGTTGACGGCGATGACACGGGGATGCGCGCGGCAGTGCCGAACGTTCTTTCAAATCTGCTGAAGGAAAAGTACGATCACTATGGCGACGCTGCCGACTTGGACGAGGCCATTGATGTCATTAGAGAAGTTATTCATGGTGGTCTACCAGAAAATCTTCCTGAGAGAGTGTACCTGGAATTCGGCTTGGGGGACGTGTTGCATGCTCGATTTGACCATACTGGCGACGTCACGGATCTGGAGAAATCTAGAGAGGCCTTTCAGCGAGCATGGGACTCTCGAGCTGCACCGCTCACGATTCGAATTGATGCTGCGGTTCGGGCTGCTGATGTTGCCAAGGAGCAGCTGGAGAGTCACTATTCCTCGGATCCATCGTTGCTACTCCAATACTGGACGGAAGTCTCATCGGACCTCGACCGTGCTCTCAGTCTTCTCCATGCTTTGAGCCCCCGACATATGCAGAATGTCAACAAGCAACAAATGCTGAAGCGATTCGCTGGTCTTGGCGCCAACGCTGCCGCCGCCGCTTTGAATGCAGGGAAGGAGGCCTCGTATGCTCTGCAGCAGCTGGAGCTCGGGAGAGGCGTGATATCTGGTCTTGTTCTTGATCTCCGAACTGATCTGTCATTTCTTCGAGAGGAACACTCAGAATGGGCAGATGATCTT